GGCCAACAAGTGCTAAACACCTCTGGGAACTCCTTCAAGACTGTTGGAAAACCATTTCAGGTGACTACCTCTTGAAGCTCATGGAGAGAATGCCAAGAGTGTGCAAAGCAGTAATCAGAGCAAAGGGTGGCTATTTTGAAGAAACTAGAATATAAAACATGTTTTCAGTTATTTCACCTTTTTTTGTTAAGTACATAACTCCACATGTGTTCATTCATAGTTTTGATGCCTTCAGTGAGAATCTACAATGTAAATAGTCATGAAAATAAAGAAAACGCATTGAATGAGAAGGTGTGTCCAAACTTTTGGCCTGTACTGTATACTTGTTATAACATTTCAAACTGCTTCACTTCCACTTTTGACTTTTATGAAATGTGTCTGACTGCTGAAGTCTTTGTGGTCTTATTAAGTGTGGGTAAAAGAGGTTGTGGCCTTGAGATTGGTGGGTTAGAAATTACAGGTTATAAAAGCAGTAACGGTCAAAGAGCCTGAATTGTAATGACGAGGATGGAGAAGACATTGAGAGAAAATGTGTGTCTAAATAAATTAGCTGAGGAAGATAAGGCAGCAGACGTGAGGAGGAAGGAGGACACCACCTCAGTGAAAGAAAAGAGGGGGGTTGGTTGAGAAGAGACTGGAAAAAGGGAAGGAGGAGGAAAAGGTAGAGAGACAGAAAACGTTTGAGTCTGTGAGGACTGCAAGGTTAGATTAATACCCCGAGGTTTTTTTCTTAAAGATTATTGCCGTGAATGTGAGCAGCTGGTAAAAAGAAACACCAGACCTTCAGAAAGAGATCAAGACTCCCGGCTACAGTTCTCCTCTGAGGCGATTCTCTCATTTCTCCAGTTAGTGAATGTGAGTGTGAACGCTGAGGACCAGATGGCCTCCTCCTCCCTCCTTCTTTCTTCCCCCTCCTTCCCTCTCCTTACGCGACACTTCTCGCCTTCCCTTCTTCGCAGCTCCCTTACCTCCCTGGCGTGCATGTGTGTGTGAGTGTGTGGGTGTGTGGCTGGATTTTGTGCCAGTAGCCAAACAGACTGATGCATGCTGACATTTTCTACAGCAGATAGAGAGAAAGAAATGAGAGAGCTCTCCTCCTCCTCCTTCTCTCTCTTCCCTTGAAAGACGCTGTCAGCTACGACTGGCCTTGTTCAACACCAGCACACACAGACACACACATAGACACACAGCAGTTTTCCCTGCTATAACACACAGAAACACATACTGTATGTGTGCACCAGACTCTCCCTCTGTTGCTGACAGGCTGGAGTCAAACCTGCTCCATCCCCGTCAGTAATGCTCTCTCTTCAGGATGTGACAGGGAGGAAACAAGGTTGACTCGAGCTGAAGTCATGCTGTAGCTCAGGGGCAGACGAGGAGGAAATATCACCATCCTGCTAATGTTGTTTTAAATAGCCGTGTCTTTGGGCCAGACAGCGAGCACTGCCGCCACACTGTCACTGCTGAGGAGGATCTACAAGGGCCGCTCCATTCGATTTGACGCAGTCTAATTCAATAGGATTTCATTTGAGTCCGTTGAATTAAATTTCGCAGCGTAATGAGTGATTAAATTATTTGGGGATGTGCCTTACAGTGTGTCTCTCGACAAAACGCAAGTCTGCAGAGAGCAGTTGAATTCTGGGAAAATCAGCTGATGTCAAATGAAATGTAAGCTTTGCTATTAACAAAGCAAACACACAAAAGAGTAAAACATGCCTTTTTGAAGGTCTGGCGTGTTTGCCAAGAACAGAATGAAATACGAAATGCAGCTACAACAAGTAAGTGAAAAGTAAGTGAGCAGTGCTAAGAGGACACATCTGCAGTAGGATCCAGTAACACTGAAACCTCCTGGTAGACCAATGGTTAAATCGCATCTAGATGCAAACCATATGTCAGGTTCAATTTCAGCAGTAGACTTTTGTTGGATGTCATAACCCTCACTCTCCTTTTTTCCCTCATCTTCTGTCTCTTTACTATCAGCTGTCAATAACTATAAGATAAAACTTTATTGATCCTAAAGGGGAAATTGCTGTGGAGCAGTTGAAATACAAAGTGGCAAGAGTGCAAATATAAAGGTCCAAGATAGCAATAACATTAAGGTGCAAATCTAAAATGTGTACAATGTATGCAATGCAAAAACCAGGTTAACAGTGTGGATCATAAAAGGGTTAGCAGACTGATGGTAGGAACAGTTATGATGCAAGACTCTGGGGGGCCTTAGGCAAAGAAGCCCATCAAGGCCTCCCCACCAACCCCACCCCCGCCCGCATGCACCCATGCCCCTATAGAAAAATAATTCTGCGTATACAACACACCAGAAGAACCACTTTTTGATTCAACACTTAAACTATTAACAGTTTAGACTGTACTTTGTATAAAGTTTGTTTTATGTTTACTGTAAACTAGGGCTGCCCCCAACTAAGAATTTTCTTGGTTGACCACAGTGCAGCGCTAACTGTCTTTCAGGCGCTGTTTATAAGTGTGTAGGCGTATCGTCCCTGGGACAAATGTAAAGCTCTTGGTAGCCCTGCACTAAAATGATCAACTTTTATGTGTTTATCAGACTGAATATTTACAGAAGAGGGGAAAGATATCTGTCGGCTGTGACTGGTTTGTAATGTGACTCCTGTCTGACCGCTGAGCGTGGCCACTTCCTGTGTCTGTCCTTTCAAAGTAAATTCCCACATGGTCCAGTATATAGGTTTTGATTTATTTTGACAAGGCACAGCTCCTAATAGAGGGTCACATTTTTGTTTTTCTGTGACTAAGCGACCAATGAAATCTTGCCGACTAATGACCTTTCTGGTTAATTAACTTTTAGTTGACTGTTAGGAGGCAGCCCTAGTGGGGACAGTGGTGTTCCAAGACTCTGGGGGGCTTTGTGTAAAGTACTGTACTTTGTATAAAGTATATTTTGTGTTAACTGTAAACATGATTAACAAATTCACAGAATAAATAAAACCAAACCGAAAACAACAGTTTAACACCAAATAACAGTAACAATACTAAAAGCCACAAAACAAATTTGAGCTGGGAAACCACTCAGTAACTCAGCAGACTCAGCAGCCAGACATTTCTCCATTATCTGTTTCGGAGCAGCTCAGATTGCTGCTACAAGGAGAATAGCTGATGATCCATCGTAACACTCCACCTTAAGTGAGCCTGGTCAGTTTCCAGTGGGAGGCTAACTTCTCTCTCTAACTTTGAGGCTAACCCCCTTCACTTTAATCAGCAGGTGACAAGCAAGACATGGGAGCTTGTGTTGGGTCTTGAGGAGTTGTAGCATTTAATCTCTGACAAAGAGCTTAAACTGAACTCACACTGCACTGCTATGTTTTACATACTCTCTGCTCCGGTCGCTGCACACACATGTTCTCTCTGTCACTAGGGGCCCCGTGCAAGACGTTTTTGAGGCAGCAGTGGTGCACTGTATATGTCCTTGGTGGGAGGTTTAAGGGGGTTTATAGTTGTCATTGGAAAATGTGGACATATAAGTAGCTATGGCTGTCATGACCTCGCGCCTCTCAGTAGGGATCAGTTTAGGTGCGTTGCATATAGATATGAATGTGAATCAGATCTGAGGTTTGGGTAGTGTGAAAGTACATGGTTAATACACAATGTTTATGGTTCTGATTATATGTAATAAAGCTGGAAAATGCCAAAAGAAACATCTTTTTAAATTGTGAATTAAAAGCTAACTTGTATATTGTAGTCTCGCTGGTACTTTTAATACCCCCCTTATACCCCTGTCCCCACCCCTACAAGAATCTTGCACATGACATATTTGCACGTAGTGCGTTAGTCAGTCCACAAGGGTCGGGATCAACGATTACGATGTTGCACCTTGATCACCGAGATCAATTTTTAATGGCGTATTTAACTCAGAAGAGAGACACTTGCAAGCTATGTAAGCTGCATTGGAGTGTGTATCCCCTGTCAAATGTGGAATCTGTAACATATCTCAGTTCATCTGTCTTATGTCATTTGGTTTTCACACATAGATCCTTGTTATGTAGCTCTCAAGCTCTCTGCCACAAATCTGCCACATGATCAAGGCGAAGTATTTAAAGGTCCTGGAAATCAATTCTCTATATGAGCTTGTTATCATGAACCATGACATCCTGCGTAAACGTAAGATTATGCCAAAGTTCAAACAGTTTTAGAATTTCACATGAAATGCTTTAGTTTATATTAATTTACTTTTTTTAATTTCTATTTTATTTATTTATTTTTACTGTGGGCTTTTCACTGCTTTGAATATTTCTTGCATATTTCTCTGCACCTGTCAGGATCCAGCAACATTTGAACCAAAATCTGATGACAGTTGCTGAGTTGTTTGCTCATGTTGCCAGGTCACTGTCAATCAAACCTAATTACAGTCAATGGTCTCTTTTTTCCTGAACTGACTGTTGACAATTTTGTAACAAATATTTACTTTTATTAGAAATACAGTATAAAACCATGTTTTGGTCTTGTTTGTGCCTTTCCTGTGTGTGGTTTCTTTTATTCACAGTTCAGCCGGATTGCAAGATTGCAGCAGATTGCCACAACTTTTACAGAAAAATATCTCAAGGTTTTTCTCAACATGGCATCAACATATAAAATTGGTAGACAACTTATGAATATGTGTCTGAAATGTCTGCAGGATGGCCTCTTCTTTTCCTCAAGTTTCTACCTAAACTTTTTTTATTCCATTTCTCCTCCTGTCTTGTTTGTCACATCTCTTTTCCCCCTCCTGTTCCTTTTGTGTTTCTCAAACAGCTCTGTCCCTTTCTCTTTTTTTCTTTTGTCTCCCAGATCAACTCCCCTCTGCTGACATTGCAGACATATCCTGCTGATGTAAACTAGTGTAATGATTACTACAGCCATGAGGGACTCCTAATGACGAGATCAAAACACATACTGTACACCACACACGCACACACACACATACATTCACACAGCCTCACTCTTCTTCCTCTAACTTGTGTATATGTGTGTATTTTCATTTTGTTCTCCAGATTCTGAGTAATAGGAAAGGTCTACTACCAGAGCCCAACATAGCCCAGCTGTTGACCAGTATGACCAACCCTGCTGCCCTGCAGATCCTCATGAGGCCGTACCACACTGGGAAAAGAGGCGGTATGTGCTGCTGCAGGGAGCATGGACCAGCTTTCAAACCCCAGAAATTATCATATACAGACTTTATTTTAACAAAGTTTGACTTTTTTAACATACCCACTAATTGTTTCGTGAGTCGTGACTACTTTCAGCCCACTGAATTATACATAATGACCTTCATCAAAAATATGTCATGTAGTGTACAACACCTTGGGCTATTAGTGTGCAATGACCTTGTGCTAGCTTGCCCTGACATACTTTATCACAAGCTGGAGGGGAGGGCACCAGAGAGGAGTGTAGATAGAGATCAACTGGTGGTGTCACATATTCACTTTGAAGTAAAAGGTTTGGTCAGGAGAAGAGATAACCACCCACACAGTGAAATGACAGCAGCGTGACTATAAGAAAATCATAGCAAAAGAGCCAGGCAAGGTTTGGCGTCGCCCTTCTGCCTCTCTGTAATACTTTCCTACACATGATGATAAAACACAGGCCTACTTAAACACTAAAGCAAAAGCTAATATAAACATTTGGGGCAAAAAAGAAAAATAAAACTAATTTTATATATACTAATATAAGATATATAAAGTCAGAATAACAAAATGTTTTAATGGTGAATGAATGTATAGCGAAATTTACACTAATTAGAAAAAAACACAAATGAAAGTAAATTATTTTTAAGAGTGGAAAACTAGAACCTGACTGTGACATAACACCCACTGAGGAAGTCTGTTTGATGTGGTTGAAAGCTTTAAGAGCAAGCTAATGAGTTAAGACGTGGAGATTTCTGAATTTGCAGCCCTTGCAACCAATGTTAACATCCTGTAAAATCTAAAGCTTTTGTTGTGCATACATTTAGTATGCAGCCATGGATGGATTACTTGATGGGCCTAATGAGCACAGCTTCAGCCCCCCCTGGCCTTCACCTGTAAAGTGTCACTCAAATGAACATGTACAAATCATGAAGAGACTCAAAACGAGCAACAAAAAGAGACTGCGGAAGAACTGCAAAAAGACACAAATTAACTACAAAAACAGGCAAAACAGCAAATTGACACAAAAAACTACAAAGAGACAAAACAAGGATACACAAAAAGTGAGCATCACATTAGTTTAGGCAGGACACAATGTCAAGCTCAGCTCACATCCCAGCTACATCAGCTGATTTCAAACAGCCCAATCAACTGATTGAGCAGCTGATAAATCAATGATTCCTTTCTATGCAACCAGTTGCTGCTGCTCTCCCTGCCTTAGGCTCTCCGTGTAGGCGCATGGAAGGGCAGGGAGGTGTGCTCTCTCTTCCTTAAGGCTTTCCACGTAGGCACGCAGAAGGGTGGAAAAGTGTGCTCTCTCCGCCTTATGCTTTCCATGTAGGCGTATGGAAGGGCAGGGAGGTTTGCTCTTTCTGCCTCAGGCTTTCCTTGTTTGGGCATGGAAGTGCAGGGAGGTGTGCTCTCTCTGCCTTAGGCTTTCCACTTAGGTGCGTGGAAGAGGCTTTCTGCATAGGCCAAAGGAGGCAGAGAGGCCCCAGAACAGAGCCATACTGCCAAAGATAATACTGCAAATGGAAATTACGTTTTCTTTGACTAAAGTGGTCCTGACTGAATTACCTCAAAGAGACACACAATGACTACTGTTTAAAGAGAGACAAAATGACAACAAGGAGATACAAAATGACGTCACACAACATTACCACAAAGATATACAAAACCAGAGAAAGATGCCCAACAACTACAAAGAGAGACCTCACAAAGTCTGTGTGTCTTGCTTCTGTGTAGGAGAGGTGGTTGGGCCTTTTGTATATCTCTGCCCAGGGGCCCAATGTCTCATAATCCACCCATGTTTGCAGCTAGTGCAGTTCCCTTGTTAAGGTGCAACTAAAAACCTTTAACTTTAAAAATACTTCATCAAATTTGCATGTATGATGCATTTTTTCTTTTTTTAATGATCTTTGATATTTTAAAGCAAATTCTGAACTCCGTCTTTTGTGTCATCTCTCCGCTCCTGAGGGGTCTTGGAAGACAATCAAAGATCCACTGAAAGAGTCCGTCCCTCTGTTAGACCCTCCTATATATTGTAATCACCTCGTCGACTGCTTCATTATTTGATGAATGGCTAATCAGGTATTAAAATGAAATCGTGTGACATTAGTGGAACAAATGAGAACAGGAAGGAGAGAAGATGGTGGAGGTGGGGGAAGCTCTCTTCAAAGAAGTGCACGCACAATTAAAGTCTAAAATTAGGACCTTGATTAAATGTTAAACTTTCTCCACCTAGTCTGGAAGCTACCATTAGCATTGACGCTTACATTTATTATGAGGAGGCCTTGTGATCCCGAGAAGTAACACACACGCACACAAAAGCTAAAGAGAGGGGGTGTGTAGGTGCAGGGTGGCAGTCGCCTGAAGGTGAGAGAAGCCTTGCTGATATGAATCCTAAACTGGGAAAATGTGTTCAAGTATGTGAGTGGGCAAGCCCTCCTTAATTTTGAAGTGTATACATGATTTTCCCATTAAATAGAAATATTGTTTTTATACTTTATCTTAAGAACAAGACATACAAGTAAGAATTGATGAATGTCAGTGTTCTGGTTGTTGCCATGGTGATTCGGTAAGCAAGAGGATTGTTTATTCTGTCTGCTGATAATAATAATTAAAAAAAAACCTGTAACTGCTTATTTTCAGCATTGTGCAATTCAAATTATTCAGCACTCACACATAAAACTTCACAGTGTGTTGAAACAGTTTTATCAAACCAAAATTTGGTAGTACTTTGTCTTCTCTCAGACTTGAACAGCTTCAGCAGCAGAAGAAAACAGGTGTTTGGTCATTACTTTATTCTTTTTGGAAGAAAAGACAATTATTGGTGCACAAACATGCACAGATGTAACCATTTCACTAGATCCCTCAGCAACCAGGTTGTCTTTATCACAGCTACGTGGCAAACTAATCACACTTCAAATAAAAGTTTAAGACCACAATGGGTCTTGAGGTTTTGCATTAAAACATAAGTGAAACTGTGAAATCAGTATTGGACATCAAATTCAGTTATTTTGATTACAAATCAGAAAATGATGAGACAACATGTGGTCATTAGACCACAAAATTACAAAAGCCGTAGTAAGAAAACTGGTTTCAGAAAAGCATAGAACTCTTACTGTAAAATAAGTTATATTGTCTCATACCATTGAGATTGGCAAAAACACTACAACTGCCCCAAACATTTATATTAGGAGACATGTGCTGGAGATTCAGAACCTATGCCTTTTTTTTTTTTTTTTACAGAAATCCCCCAAAAATTACATGCTGCAAATGAAAAAGAGTGCTGCAGAAAGCTAAAGCGAATACATCAACAGCAAACACACTGCAAATACAGAAACGATGCAAAGAAAAAAAATACACAGACCACAAAAACAAATGCAATAGAAAAATGCTGCATATCTGGTCAACGCAACAGTTATCCAGTCTTCTTGGGGGAGGGTGCTAAGTAGCTGCATCAAGATCCCGCCCCTTTTTGGAGGGGTAGAAAACAGAGGATCCTATAAATAGATATCAATGCAGTATGACGTGCTTTTGCATTATAATTTTGAAAGGTTTGTATGCATTTATTGTTTATTAGCTAAATGTTGTTTTATAAACATGTCTGTTTTTATTTGGGCATTTTTTTAAATGTAAATGTTCCATTCGCGGTCCCAAGCAGCGTTGTCTCGTCTGCCTCCATCATGCGACAAAGCAACTGTGGCCTTCAATGACTCACCAGGTGAAAGGGCACCACAGAGCACAATTAATCAGTGTTAATTTTTTTAACGTGTTCTTCTGTGATTTTCTGTAATTAATTAATTGAAATTAACGCGTTATTTCGACAGCCCTAATATTTACATTGCAGGGACTGATTTATTTATTTTTACAATTTAAAATATCTCTCTTGAATTCATGCATTTTTACAAATGAAGACAGTAACTTGCCAAATTGTGAAAACAGCCAGTGATGTGCTGCAGCTAGAGGCAGCTTCTATTGTTTTTAAAGGAAACTGTCAGTGCTCTTAATAATGACAGACCATTTGAAGTTTGCATTTTTCTGCTTTTCTTCTCCGTATTGATTATTTCGTTGTCGTTTGTTTGAGCTTCTTTTCAACGGCATCATCAACATCAAAATGAAGTTCAAACTTGGGAAAAAAGTTCTGGGGGAGGCAATTTGCTTTGTGCTAACACAATATCCTCATATTGCTTTACTTGTGCTTGTTATGAAACAGAGGGCCGTGCGATTGTTTGACATGGGCTGTAAATGACTGATGGATTGGTTGTCTGACTAATAATTCTGCCTGTTGAGATGATGATTGATTAATGCATTAGTGGAAACCAAAATGCAAAACAGAAAATCTCACAGAGCAGCTGTGATTGATGTTTTTGTTCGTTGGTTGTCTGTGTTTTTAAAGGGAAGTACGGGCGTCACACCAGCCTGCCGTTCCTCAGACCTCCTCTCACCACGGCTCTGCTCACACTGGGAAAAGCACACCAGGTCACAATATCATCAATGAGTTTTCTTTGTGTATGTGTGTATGTGTGTGTTGATGTTTTTTTTCTTTACAATATTTTTCTTTACCTTTCAGAGCGCCATGCTTGGGAACGGACTGGTCCTCCAGAACCTCCTGCATATGCAGCTCGCACAGCAACAGCTTCTTCACATCAAAGACAAACGCATCAGCAGCGTAAGACACCTGTTTGTTGGTGTGTGTGTGTGTGTGTGTGTGTGTGTGTGTGTGTGAGTGTTTTATGATTCGCAAAGGTTAGTGGTGAGGGTGAGACATAGTTGCGGGCATGTGCATATGTGCTCTTACCTTTTCCTCTTCAGCACTTGATGCATAATGAAACTAAACAATCACCAAAAACCATGCAACCTAATTGCTTCTTCTCTGTTTGAAAGGAAGACCTTGAGGTGTTGGAGTTTCCATCCACATTCTGATTTGCATATTTCAAAATGTCTCTGGTGTTTGCTTTAATTGCTGAAGTGAAAGTTAAAAGTCACAGTGACTGATGTTTGGAACATTTGATGCTTTAGAAACTGGATGGTGACGATTCAGAATCTAGCGAGGGAGAATCCTGTTTATTTTTCTCCCTTTCTTTTTTAACCCTCCGTCACCCCTTCGCTTTTCATAAAGTGTTTGTGCTAGGCTTTTTCCTTTCCACTGTTTTCCTAATCATTTCCTCTGACTTTCCAAACAATATATACAGCTGTAATGGGGCCGAGGAGAATGTTAAAAAGAAGATAATACATACTGTTTACATTTTATGTACAGCTGAATTATTATCCTCTGTAGTATGTATTCTGTTTCTCTTTTGTAATTGTGTCATTTAAACTGTATGCATGATAGTTGAACACTCAGCTGTCTCTCCCTCATCCTCTCTCTTATCTCTAATCTCTGTCTACCTTCTCCTTTTTTTGCTTTGATAACTTTTCCTCTCTGCATCCCCTCCTCTCCTTTCTCTCCTCCTCAGGTCTCCAGTCTGCTCGGGGACCCGTCCAGGCTGCTGATGCAGAAAGCTTTGTCTTTGCGGCCTCCAGGCCTTGTGCCGCTGGGGAAAGGCCTCCTGGGAGACTCCCCTACAGGTGAGAAGGGCCAAGTAATCAGTACGCCCTCATCAAATGACTTGGTGTCATCAGTGCAGACTAATGAGAGCACAGTGAGACCTGCAGCACGTTTCTCTTTGGTGTCTTTGTCAATGCTGTATTTATCAGATTCATTTGGTTTTCTTTTTTCACTTCTTCAGTCATCTGCCAGTGTAAGAGCATTAAAAAACTTTTGATGAGTTAGTTCTGCAGTCACAGCACCTTGTTTGGTGCTGTAACACAAAGCAGCGCATGCAATTTCTTGTAACAGGAGCAGGTGGCACATATAATAATGTCAGATCAAGGCTGATAGTGGCTATGCAGCTGCTCAGTGACTGCCTTTTTTTTTGTCTCTACTGAGGTCTCAATATGAATGTGGAAGTGATTCATTGATGTCAAAATGACTGAGGTTATCTTGAACTTGTTGCTTTTTCAGATTAGATCTTTGAAATATCAAAACAGTTGTTTTTCAAACACCATTTTATATTCTAAGCATAGATTAAAGTTCCAGTGTGTCGGGTTTAGAGGGATATACTGGCATAAATGGAGTATGTTTTATTTAGTGTATAATCAGCTGAAAATTTGAGTCGCAGTGTATTCATTACCTTAGAATGAGCTGTTTAGCTCTTCATAGAGAGCGGGTCCTCATTTACAGAGATCGCCATGTAGCACCCTCATGTTTCTACGGTAGCCCGGAACGGACAAACTCAACACTGTCTCTAGGGCTATTCATGTTTTCTAATGTCAGCCACAGTAGTTTGTAGCCCCTCCATGACGAGGGTGTCATATAATGACTTTAACATTTTTTTCAGTGTTCTCACCAGTTTAAGTCACTATGTCCTTTTGTTTCGGAGAGGAGACAGCTCGGTAAAAACCTCTTGAATTTCTGAATCGGAAATAAGGTGAGCACTAGGGGTATGCCATATCATCTTGTTCATGATAATACAGGTTTTTTTTTTTAATATCATATGAAAAATTCATATCCTGATATTTGCGATAGTTGGACTTGTTGGCATATTGATGTCATACTGTTACCCATGGCAACAAGAGGCATGGCTGAAAGAGAAATAATAAGCAAGTCTGTGGTGGTTCCAAAAAAGGAGCAGCTTCAGTAGTGTGGAATAAACTTTGGTGTCCTGAATGTTTTATGAACAGCCCCGGACTTCTCAGACTCTTTTAGCAAGTTACCATAAGTTACTCTCCCTGTAGAGGCAACTCATTCAGCGGCTCCTCTGGCAGCAGCACAGCATTTCTCCCTCTCCTTTGTTATAAACCTTTGGTAATGTAAACCTATATGACGGCGGCGGCCTGACAAAAAACCACATATATGTGAATGAACGATTAGTTATGGTAGCATAACAGCCTGTCACAGGTTACAGCGTGATGATGGAGGGGAAAATGGCGGAGCATAAAGGTCCAGGTGGGAAAAAAAACAATTCAATCATTTAGGATTTTGCTTAAAAAGAAGGATATCACCTGTTGATTTATATATGTATGTAGTTCCCAGGGTACAGTATTTTGTATTTGGGAGCTGTTTAAATGTGTAATTGTGGTAGATTTTATTTTGTTGAACTATTAATATCATATACAGAATCCAAATCTCACTCTGAGATACTGTTGTTTTACAAACTAAAGAAATGAGAGATCAGTTTTGTTTAGTATACAATACTGTTTTCTGAAATTAGTAATATTTTTTTTTTTTTTTTAACCAATTTGTCATATCATCAATAATATCGTTATCACAAAAATACCCTGAAATATCGTGCTGTTATTTTAGGGCCATATCGCCCACCCCTAGTGAGTCCTCAAGAAGTTATACAAGAAAACAGGTGAGCGCACATTAGCAGGTGCTAGGCAAGGGGCTCATCTCCGCCATATGAAACAGCATAAGAGAAACACTGATTTGTAACATGAAGCTGATTTATTCAGTGTTTTTACCGGTTTAAATAAACTCATCTGTTTGTTTTGGAGAGGAAGAGACCTCTGCGGATAATACGGCTCCCGGTAAAAACCTCCTGAACAATGAACACTGAAGGAAGTCTAACCAGGAGAAGTTTCAGCTGATTGCAATCTGCAGTACTCACCACTAGATGCCACTAAATCCCCCTAAATCTTACACACTGTTCCTTTAAGTAATGTTAATGACCAGCCTTGTGTATACTGCTCTGAAACTAAGCACTGTTTTGACCAAACATTGGCATAGCACAGAAAAGGGGACTGCAATATACTTAATGTGTTTTTGTGTGTGTGTGTGTATGTAAAGCAACTTTCACCTCCACAAAAAAACAGAACCATTACCTCTTAGATTCACCCTCATACAATCTTGACAGCCTCCTTGTTGAATGTGCCTGAATTAAAAGCCAATATCCTGTTAAGGCTGTTAAGATAAGCCAGCTGCACAACTTCATATCCCAACACAAACCCAAATTTTGATTTGAAAAATAAGCTTACATAAACCCAAGCTGTGACATCCTGTTTCACAAAGTAAAGCGACTACATATGCCTCAGTATCCCAAAGAGTATTTGCATTTCGTCATGAAAAGGGCTTCCTTTTTCTTGCTGGGTGCGAATTTCTCATTTGACATGTTGCAGCTGGGAGCTGAGTATTTGTGAACAATAAAAAGGATGTGAACACAGAAGATGAGGGGGTTATACGTGTAAAGCGATATGTAAATAGCCCTCAATCATAATATGTTAATGTCAGGTGTCAGGGTTGCCCCTGTGCAGATTCCTGAATGCCTCACAGTTGCACATTACTGTACAACACATCCCCGGGAAAACTGCAGTTCATTTACAATTCAAATCTCCAGCTGAGAAAAGCTCTGTTGTTTTAAATGGAAATGATACATCACAGACACAAGCATGTGTGTGCATGTGTGCGGATGTTTTGTGTGTCCCTCTTTGATTGTGTGTGTGTGTGTGTGTGTGTGTGTGTGTGTGTGTGTGCGCATGTGTGTGTAATGTGAGGCTTTTATCAGTGCATGCGTCTGCTGGGATTGTTAGCTTAAGGCTTGTTAGAGCTGATTCTCTTATTGTGCTGTGGAGGCCATTTGTCACAGCAATATTGGATTTATAATAAGTGTGATTGTGTGTGCAAGTGTGTGTTTTCACCTTGAGTGTGTGTGTGCATCTTTAAGTTATGTGCGCTCTTATGTCTGCGTATGTTTGTTCTGTGCTTGTGTGTACATATTTGTGTTTATTAAACCCTGGAGTGAGTGAAATATTGGGAGTGTGGAGCAAAGTGCTGGGCTGTAAATAAACACAATAAGTGATGATGTACGAGCTGGAAACCCATTCTCAAATATTACAGCTGGCTCTGCAGAGACGCTAGGGCTGAGCTCTCAGTTTCCAGCCTGTCTGAGTGATTCGTCTCTGACCAGGGGAGACGGAGACGCTGATGCTCATCAGTAAAAAGCATTTCACGTGTTTATCTGGCATCTCTCCTCATCTTGCTTTCGTTTCCTTTCACCTCGTTTGCGTTACTTTACATTGCTCCTCTTTGCTGTATTTTATGTATTTCCTATATTTTGCTTTTCCTAACTTTAATTTTTTTCCTGCTTGTATCATTTTTCCTTCCTTTCTTTTCATTTTCTGTGTCTCTATCTTGTACTTTGTCTTCCCTTTCATTTCCTTTTCTGGACTTTGCTGTTTCCTGCCTTTTGTTTTTATTTTTATTTTTTTTTCCCTTTCAATTTTTCTGTTTTGTTGTTTTCTTCTCCTTTCCTTTTAATTTCCTTCTTCTCCTCTACTTGCCATTGCTTTCTTTCCCTGTCCTTTTAATTGTTTTTCATCTTTTCCTTTCGTTTTCCATTTGATTTCTTAAATTTAACGTTGCTACTTCTTGTTTCCTTTCCTTTTTCCTTTCCTTTTAATGTCCTGTCTTATCCCCTCTATTATATTGGTTTCCACTGTTTTCTTTCCTTTCCTTTACTTTCCTTTTTTATCCTTTCCTATCCTTTCCTCTCGTTTCCTTTGTTTTCATTTCCTTTCCTACCTTTTCTTTCCTTTGGTTTCCTTTGGTTTCCTTTCCTTTCTTTTCCTTTGTTATCCTTTCCTTTCCTTTCCTTTGGTTTCCTTTCCTTTCCTTTGATATCTGTTGTTTTTCATCTGACTCTTTTCCTCTTTCTTATCCTCTCTATTACATTTCCATTCTTTTCTTTCCTTTCCTTTGTTGTCCTACATTTTTTTGTTTTCCTTTCCTTCTTCCCCTTGCTTTTGCTTCCTTTCCTCTCCTCTCCTCTCCTCTCCTTTCCTTTCCTTTCCTTTCCTTTCCTTTCCTTTCCTCTCCTCTCCTCTCCTTTCCTTTCCTTTCCTTTCCTTTCCTTTTCCTTTGTTTTCCTTTGTTAACTTTCTTCTTGTTTCCTCTTTCTTTCCCTTTTCCTTTCTTCCCTCTCCTCTCACAGAGTTGGGCCAGGAGTCAGTGCCACCGTCTACCCACAATTCCACAGTAGTGGTGTCGGCGGCAGGTGTGATGCCATACCTCCAGGGTCGAGCTGGAGGGGGAGAACAAAACAGCAGCCATTCTATCTCCACAAACCCTTCTGCTTCCTCCTCTTCTTCTTCCTCCTCCACCTCCTGTGACAGGCAGCCAGCTCCTCCTGGGACCATGGTGAGCTCCCATCCGCAGGGACAGAGCTACTCCTTGGGTATAAGTAACTCAGGTCTCGGCCCGCCTCCACCTAAACCCCCTGGAGGAGTTTATACATCAGCAGGCCAGCACAACAGCTCTGATGGCTGCCCCCTGGCTGGCATGGTGAGAACAAATCATTCACACACAGCAAATACTGAACACTCTGCTGTCCCTCCACTTCTGCATCTCACATTATTCTTTGTCACCTCTGTTTCTCTCCGTGAGTCATTAGTTGTCTCTCTGGTTGACAGATAATTAAACTGTTTTTAGAATCCATGAATAGTTGCTTGTTGTGTTTAAAATGATGTGTTAAACCAGGGGGTGGCCAACCAGTCAGAGACCAAGAGCCACAAAAATTACAGTGGTAGTACAAAGAGCCACATCATACACCTGTGCTTACAAACGCACTCCCTCTCTCACACAAACACTAAATGACATAAAATCAAAATCCATACATTTCCAATTTTCAAAGCCAGATTTATTTATCTCACACACAAATGAATAACCATGAATAGAGATACACACAAACACAGTCTCTCCCTCTCATACTGTCTTTCTCCATCCCCCCTCCACACCCACAGTCTCTCCCTCTCCCACTCTCTCCACACACATCCACACAGTCTCTCCCACTCTCATACTCTCTCCAGATTAGTGTTGTCACGGTACCAAAATTGGGACCCACAGTACGATACCAGTGAAAGTATCATGGTTCTGAGTAGTATCACGATACCACAGCAAAGATGAGGCAGATGTGCCTTTTGTCATTTATAAAAAGATAAATCACTTTTCTATAATACATCAATGATATTTCAATGGAATAAATTACTTATTGACTTATTCATACTTCAAAAACAGCATCAATAAGTGATTAACATAGGGGGGATCAAAATAAAATAAATAAATAAAATAAAAATCAACCAGCCACCCTCCTCCCCTGACAAGTAAAGAACAGTCCCTTCATAAGTAAAGAACAGTCCCTAAAGTGCGGTGAGGTTTGTGGGCCGTTACCTGACACAAAGAGAAATGTGAACGGCTCGTTTCTCCTCTGACACGCCACATACCTGTTTGCCGCCATGGCTCGGCTGTTCAGGTATTTCTAGGCAGTCATGACGCCAATTTATTCACCTGGAGCCGGCGCCGGTATGCCATTATCTTGCGCCGCGGAGCACTATGGCCATTATTGGCCAGCGCATGGACACTCACCCTCCTTTGATTGGACTTTGAACTTATCCCACAGTAGTGGCACCATGTCATGTAGCCTACTGTGGTGTTTAAGTAGCAGCCTACTGCGGTCTACCGTTGGTACCAGTATACCGTGCAACACTACTCCACACACATCCACACACAGTCTCTCCCTCTCTCATACTCTCTCCACACACACGCACACACACACACACACACACACAAAGACACGCATTTCTTCCCTGACATTTTTTGTTGTGTGATATCGCCACCGCGCTGCAGTCCTGCATTCCTCCCGAACTCCACACCCTCTCACCTGCCTGTGCACACTCCTCTCTCTCTCACTCGCTCCACTTAAGCCTGTTACATTTCTTAAAGGGCCATACGCACTCATAACAATAAATTGATTTTTTTATGACGGAAGAGCCGCACGCCGATGGTTTTAATTAATGGATCGAAGAGCCGCACACTGATAGGCAAAGAGCCGCATGCGGCTCACGAGCCGCGGGTTGGCCACCCCTGTGTTAATGTCTGAAATATTTTCAGCTGACTAGTTTTAATTCTTGTGATAGGGTCCTAAATATGCTCATAATGGCGAACTCACATATTGTGCTGAAGACTGAGGCTAAAGCTAAAGTTACCATCATCACCAGCTGGTGATTTAAGTAACTTAGAAGACACAGAAATAAAGAAACAGTGTTGTATTGCAATGCAGAGCAAGTTAGTTATAGCTTACATAATAAAAAAGAGACAAAAAGACCAGACTTAAACTAAATATTTCATCCTAACCCTGTTTGGCTGCTAAACCCACGTTAGCTTATATAAGCTTATGTTTTCACTTAACAAAAGAAAAGACTTTTGACTGATGACTATCCAATGTTTTTGCTAAACTTAAGGCTCTCTGTGGTAACATATGCTGGGGTTGCTGGAGTATAAAATACCCTGAAGTTAACAAAGAGCAGGACAGAATTGTTAACGTTAGCCTGAAAACATCCTGGATTGGCTTCCTGTATGCTAGTCACTACTGTTATATGTATTAATGTATTTTCTTGATTCTGTGCTTCTTGGCCTTGAAAGCAATTTTTAGGTCCTTATTCTGTAGGTAGTTAGCAGGAAAGGCAGACAAAAGCACTGGTTAATCCATGGCATACACTTTTGCTTTTATGTTTTTGGGTTAGAAAGAAAAAAAAGGACCAACTTACAAACTCTTTAGATCAGAGGTTTTCAAACTTTTTGTGCCCAAGGCGCACCAAAGGGCAAGCCAATATCTCAAGACACACCTGTATTTATATCTGTGCACAATGGCTTCTGTATCATGTGTTATCACCCTTATCATGACATAAGAGGACAAAAATAAGAAAAAATAAGACAGGTAGCTTTTGTGATACTGTTTTTTTTTTTTCTCTTTTCTTTCAGTGGTAGGTTGACTTCGCTGGTGCTTTGTTGTAATTTGCTCCGTACAGTCAAGCGATCCATTGTCCCACTCACAGTTTTCTCCTTATAATTGTTATCATGGCTATCACACTGGCTGCCAATCACAGCTTTTGATATGTCACACACATACAATTCCCACACATGCAAACTGTGACAAATAGGTTCCCTGTGAAGATTTTTTAAATTAAATTAAATGACATTTTTTTTAACTTTTTATTGGGAAATGGGTATGCACGACATAGTGATCAAGTCAATTAAAAATTAATTCATAACTTTTTGTATAGGCCCAGTTGAATATTGCAATACTAACATGTGGCTAATATCACAAAATCCCACGGCACACCTGGATTGGCGTCACAGCACACCAGTGTGCCGGGGCCCATCATTTGAGAACCACTGCTTTTGACGCAGGGTGCCTGGGGCAACCTCTAGCTCACCTGGTAGAGTGCGCCACATATAGACTGAGTTCTCTGCAGCAGCGCGGGTCAGATTCCAACCTGCGGCCCTTTGCTGCCTGCCATCCCCCCTTTCTTTCCCCACTTTTCCTGTCTATCTTAACTGACCTGTCAATAGTGGAAAAAAATCGGCCAAAAAATAAAATGCTGAGTGTCAGTCTTATTGCAGCCCCATGCACACATAGATACGGTTGCTAAGCTGTGACTGGATGATCAGCATAATGGGCACTGTTTTGTGATATTATATAGATTAACCAAAAAAACTGGTTGTTTCAGTCCTTCTCTCTCTTTCTATCCAGCTGTCTCTTGCAAACAGGTATTTATTTGTAGTTTAGCTGTATTGGGTCTCGACTTCATTCAAAACACCCTCACACACATCAAGTGAGCATATGAATCAACAGCTTCAGCCCCGCAAGGGCTCCTCCATTGGGAAATTCCCATAATGCACTTCTATTTCACCCTTATTTACAGATACAGTACGAGGCCTTCTCTCCTCTGCTCTCTCAGTCTGTTTACCTTCCTGTTTACCTGACCACCTCTCTGCACACACCATCTGCCTCCATTCTCCTCTACATCTCTGACTCTGGCCTGGTTTCAATAAAGCGCTGCTATGCTACCATCATCATCCGTAATAAGTCAGTGTACAGAGATAATCACAGTGCTAACATTCTTAGGGGAACTGATTCCACTCCCAGCGCTGTCTTCTCTGAAGTGTCTTTAATGGAGGGAAAGTGTAATTAAACAGAGAGTACAATCCTCCCAGGTTTCCACAGCCTCTTCAGCACTTCATCAGAATCTTTGCAACATTAAAAACCTTACGTCCAGGTTGGTTGGTATGTAGCTGTGGTTGAAAATCCGAGATAAGAGTAAGGATAGAAAGGGTGCAGTGGTGGATCAGAGGTTGAAGGGCAAGCTGACCAGTAATTCAATTTGCTTGACCTGCTAATGGCATTGTGAATAAACCTTTAAATCTGTTGCTGTTTAGGTAACTGGTGGTCAGGGCTCTCTGTTGGGCGATCCTCCTAAAGAAGTCAGACTGCCTTCCAATCCTTACCTGAACCTGGCCAGTGTGATGCCAGGGGTGGTTCTCCAAGGTGAGCATGCAAACACACAACAAGTGATCTTATCTTATTGTACGTGCAATCAGCTATATTAATGTCGCTCTTGTAGTACTTTTAAACATCTAGCAAAAGCATATAAATTCTTACGCAATGTTGGAAAAGGGGGGTGTTGCTCCAGGGGTGGCTAACAGCAGAAATACATGGGATACAGACGTACTACATACTAAAGCTGCTGCACTGACCATGGAAGCTGTGCTTGCCCACCTGGTCATCACATGGGTCGTCCTTTTTTTACGCAGCTGGTCTTTTTTCTTCTCTGCATGCTGCTTGCAGCCCTCCGACAAGTAAAACCTACAGAACTGTGTAATAAACAAGTACAATCTGCTTTAAAAGGATTCAAATGAGCACCTCATTGTACCAAAGGCAATGCGAAGCAGCAGAGCAACCTTGTGGGTGTTTTTACATTTCACATTTAGCAGTCAAATCAATACTTCCTGTAGTTGAAACGATCCGGTTAATTAATTCAGTAGCAGTTAATATAGCCTACGCTTCCAAACCCTGCATAACAGCTACATTATCACTTAGCAAAACTCAAAATGCACACAGTAAAGCTGCAGCAAACACACTAAATAGACAGATTTTGTGTAGCAGGTAAGGAATACCGCTCCACCCTGCCTATATAGTGTGTCGCATCCATGCTTCATATACTTTGTAATTATTGGGAGTTTTAAAAGACTACAGCTGCCATCCTTCGTGAAGATGCAAGCTACAGACTTTCAGAGCCAAGTTTCAAGGGCACAAACAGATGGATTTTTCTTGGAGTATTTCTGTAAGATATTTTGCAATGTTAATGTGTATATGAGTGTGATTATCTAATGGTTGCTTTGACTGTTGCTCAGGGTCAGTGGGGAGTAAAGCCCAGGGAGGACAGCCCGGCCCCGGGGTGTATGGCAGCACGGTCGCTCCTGTCGTCTCCCAGGGCTCCGCCTCCTTCTCCCACAGTGCGGCAGCTACAACAACAGCCCCGTACAGCACTGATAACTCCACTGACTACAACCAATACAACCAGGCCTACACACAGGTACAGATACAGACTCACTGAACAGAGATACGAAGGAAGAAATATGGTGGATAGATGGATGGATGTGGGTCTGCCTGTTCACAATTGTGTTACTCAGCCTGTGAGAGAGAGAGGGATGGTAGCTGAATAGATGATCGATGGATGGATATATAATGAGTGGATGGATGAGAGCAGCAGTGACAGAGTGAGCTGTAACTAGGGGAGGCAGGGAGGTGGAAGAGATGAGAATGGGTATGGATATTTGGACAGACAGTATGAGAAAGGATTTGGCACAGAGCGTGGTGTCTTTCCATCTGTCCCTGCTCCCTTCGTCTCTCTTAACACTCCACTCTGAACAAGTCATGAAGCCTCCCTACTGGCTGTTTGTCTGCATCTCTGTCTTCCTTTTTTTTCTGTCTTCCTCTGCTCTCATCGTAGTTTTTTCCCCCCTCCAGCACCAAGTGACATATCTGATATTTGCAGCGCGATGCAAACCCAATTTTAAATGTTAATTACAATCTACTCATCCAAACAAATGAATCATGATTAGATAACCAATAAAACGGTCGGTTTAATTTGTCTGGAAAGACGAGACAAAGGAGAGGAACAGGAGAGAGCCGTCAGCAGGAACAATGGTGAATGAATGACAAAGAAAGAGAAAGAGACAGAAATAAAGGAGGAGGCAAAAGAAATCAGCAAAGACAAGAAAATTACTGAGCGAACATTCATCTGTCTGCACCTGATGATTGCTGATGTGTGTGTGTGTGTGTGTGTGTGTGTGTGTGTGTGTGTGTGTGTGTGTATGTGTGTGTGTGTGTGTGTGTCTGTCTGTCTGTCATAGGAGGCCATGCAGCAGTGGTACCAGCACTACCAAGCACAAGCTCACACCTATAGCACCGCTGCTCCACAGGACAGCACGGCCACAGACTACAGCAAGGAGCACACACAGGTAACACACACACACGCACACACATTGTGTGTTTTTTTTTGCACGTGCAAAATTATGGTTCATTCAGATTGGTTGAAATTGTTTTTTCTGGTGTTTTATGTCTCCACACATGAAGTTTTGGTGCACTGTTCATTTCCAGTTACAGAAAACAGGATCTTCTAATGGTGAAGGCAGCTCAGAATATGTTCTCAATTACAGAAAGTGAAGAGATAAACAGGGAGAAGACACTTAAAGATGATGCAGATCAACCAAAATCAATCCAAATCATTAAAAAATTCCCACTGAAACTACAGAAAAAATGTTTTTGTTGAAGCTCATTCTCATTTTCACTGGCTTCACCGAATGTTTGCGTCTTTGGTTTCCATTTTTACCTTTTTAATTAATAATAATAGATACAAGTCCTTCTCACACAGAGACTGCACTATAGGGCCGCTACGAAGTCCCTTCTTTATGCCACCTTTGCTTTTGTACACAGAACCAAACAAGAGCAGCATGATTCTGCTCCAGAGTCTGATTTTAGACAGCATGGCGGCATTCCTGAAGCAGAAAAGGTGTGACGAGTTTGACAGGTGTGACATGTAACACAACAGCGTTGGCCTCTAGTGTGAAATATAACATACATGTCAGCAGCGCTCTATAAACAACAACAATAGCATTAACATGGCAATAATAATCAATTACCATCCATATATATGGTGGCTGAGCTTGTCCTGTGCTTGCAGGGTAAGGAACTCCCGAACCTTGGGCTTTCCCCAATTTCTGGACATTTTTGGCTACTGTTCTCCTTTTAGTTTGTTGCTAGCTGCTTTTTAAATCTACTGGGGGTACATCACACATGTAACAGATAAAACATTACACCCATCCATGGTCCTGTCCTGCTGGCAGTCCAATTTACACAGATAGCATTTTGGCGCTGTTACTACCTCTGTTGCAGGCTTAAAAGTGAGACAACGCTGCCCCTCCATTCCGTGATCATACCTTTTATACAGAATGGCAAGGCGGAATAGCAGCATGACATTCCCGCCTTGAAAAAGCAGTGCATAAGGGGTTACAGATAGATTCCTTGATCTTTACCTAAAAGTTAGAATAGATAATTTAAACATTTGGCCCTGCAGAAATTGGTAATGACACTTCTTGTTTTTCAGGCTCCACCGGTGTCGACCTACGGAGATTATAGTTCCTACATGCAGGCGGTCACTCAGTACTACTCCCAACCTGCAACAGCCAACCAGGCCTACGCCAGCAAGGTACACACATAAACACACACACACACACACACACACATTCTTGTGCTTCTGTTGTTGTGAGGCCCCTTACTGACGCAATGCATTTCCTAGCCCCTTACCCTACCCTTAATCATTACAACTAAATGCCTAACACTAACCCTTACCCTAACTCTAACCTAAACCACCTTATTCTAACCTGAACCCTAAAATCAAGTCTTAACCCTCAAACAGGCCTTTGAAAAGTGAGGACCGGCCAAAATGTCCTCACTCTGTTACTAAAATATGGTCTTTGGTCCTCACTGTGTAGCATGTACAAGTACACATATACACATACACATACACACACGCACACACACACACACACACACACACACAATGTTGGGGAAGCAACTTTGAAAGTGTAGCTTTGCAAGTTACTAACCACTTCACCCTGGAAGACATTGAACTACAGCAAAGCTGCCCCAGGAAAAAATATAGTTTGGTAACCTAAAGCTACTTAACAAAATTAGTTCAAACTACATTGAAACTGAATGAATACATTGTGATTGAATTGACAATGTACTGTACATGTGGCTATAAAAAATGTCCCATGTCAGTTAGGGCTGCACGATTAATCGTAATAAAATCGTGATGGCGATTCATATGCATATGCAATCTAATTTTTCAATGACAGTGATTCTGCCGGCCCCGCCCGTGCCGGGAGTCCGGACATCATCTGCATGAAAACAAGCGCTCCCAACGATGCAGCGTTAAAGAGTGCCGAAGTCACGCCCCTTCCGGTGAAGCTCATGGGACCTTAGGGTCCTTAGTCCATTTAGACTTTAGTTTATCATAACAATAACAATAAATATTATAAATTGTTCACATTTTAATTTAATTTTAATAACATTTATCACACAGCATTTTGTGGAAAAGTCAAATGTTCAGTTTACAGTTTTAATAAACTCAGTACTGTTTTTCAACACATATTGTTTTGTCTTCATTCAATGTAATTAGTACATATTGTTATTGCACCATTGGTTTTGGCCTTGGTGCCCCACATTTTGGCCGTGATGCTTCAATAAATTTGTATTTATCAAAGGCCAAACGGGCCTTGCCCTAAAAATGACTTAAATCCAGGCCTGGAATACATACCTCTGAAAAATGTTGTTTAGCATTGATATTATTGTTAAAATTGTTCAAAAGCTGTAAGAGAAGACGAGACTAAAGTTTGTTTTTACGGTCAGTGTCAGGCTGTTGCATTTAAGCTAAATTACTGACCAGAGATTTTTTTATTATTTATTTATAATTTTTGTTTCTTTTCCTTTTGTATCAGGAAATAAGCACAATAAATCTTTATGATGAAAAAAAATGTGAGAGAATCATGATCTCAATTATAAGCCAAAAAATCGTGATTCTCATTTTTTCCAGAATCATGCAGCCCTAATGCCAGTGTAAAAGTGCCGCACAATTTAGTTTATTGCATAAAAGCCCACTTGTTCACAGTTCACAAACTAAAAAATGAAAATACCTCAGTGTTCATTAGAAAGTGCAGAATTTTCAGCCTTTCTTTTGTTTATAATGGCCATTAGTCATGCCTTCCAGAAACTAGAGACCATGTGGAGCTATTGCACAAAGCAGGATTATTTAGTCAGCCAATTAACTTCTAAAATAACATGCAGCAACTTCTGTGAACATTTGTTAATAAATAAAAGTACTCAAAATATCTAACTAATTGTGGTCAAAGGGGTTCAGCTACAGTGGAGAAGCATTGGAGAAACAAAATACATTTTTATTCCTTTTATGGCCCAAAATTGTTTATAGTTTCAGGAGTTAACGACACAAAAATGGCCAAAAAGAAGTAATTTCACTACCTAAATCACCATGCAAATATGAATGTTGTTGAACTACTAGCAAGGAGGCCAAGTCTTAACCCTCAGACAGCTGTTCGAAGAGACAAATGCCAAAATGTTCTCATTGTTAAGGTCACAGACAAACACAGACTCTCATCAGTTGAGCTAAAGAGCCCAGCATTTGTCAGGAAGGAACATTTGATACAAACTTGTCATTTGCTTACTCAAATAAGTGAATAACAATTTTTATTTCAAGGGCACAAAATTATGAGTTTGAGACAATACATTACTAATTCATTGTCACAGGTTATGAATCCCAGCATACAAATTACTCATTATTTTTGTAAAATATCATCAGGAAATTTGATCCGTGATACCTAACGGGCTCGATACAAACCACAAGCTCTCTGAAACCTGACTTCAGTGTCTGAGTCAAACAGCGTCCTGTCCTGCAGATGCAGTGTAAATGATCTGAGCTGCGGCCCCTCAGAGCAGCATGCTGGTATTTACATGCAGTTTGTCTGTGACCTCTTTCTAAGACACCGATACCCTGTTAGAGTGTACGCATCACTCTGCACCCAGCAGCTGATACCAATCATCTCCACACACCCCAAGCAGCCAGGTCCAGGCTTATCTGCTACTGCTGCAGGAGGGCAAATGACTATGTGTGTGTGTGTGTCCGTGAGCGTATGAAGGGCTCGCTTGAAGATGCAGCCAGAGTCACATTCTGGTCCACTGAGCTCACTGTTGGTGGAGAAACTGATATCTTGGGGAAAATGATACGATGGGTCTCTGGTATTAAACTGATCTGAAGACATGTTGACATGATATCATAGCATTTAGTTTTAGCTGGTTGTCATTAAGAAAAAGAATAAGCCCATATGACAGTGAGTGATGCTGGTTCAGTGTGTCATCTGTAGAAATTAGCATGTCTCAAAATAGCCACCAGGGGGCAGAAAGGTTAACATGAATGAATGAATAATTTGGGTAAGTCACTGTCAACTGTCAAGTATGTCAACAAAATGGACCCTGTAATATAACTTACAGTCTTAAGTGGGGCTTCAACTAAAGAATATTTTGATCTATTATTATTGAAATGAATAATCGACTTTTCGGAAAAACACTGGAGTAGGTTTTTTTTTTTTATGATTTTATATGATCAGCATGTTCTCACATATAACTCTGTGAATCAAGGGTTTATTTTGACATAAAGTTGGTGACTACTAAACTAACTAGGTGACTAACAAGACAGTTTTGGTTAGTTTTATTTTATTTCTGCCAAGTTTAAATAAAGTGTGTTTTACCATGAGTTTATAAAAGAATTAAGGTGACATTAGTCTTAGTTTGGCGAAAGATAGAAACTTGGATTGGAGTTCGGTTGTATTTTTCTGTTTAGTAAAGACAATAGGTGTAAGAATAGGCCAAAACAGAGTTCTTAAACCAGTGAGTGTGACACACTTTTATGGCTCCACTCAGTTTGTTGTCACCACAACAACTAACACCAATCAATGATCTCTGGTGTTCTCTAAACTTGAGTAACGTGCACTCGCCATAGCAGCGGCACATGTTAAACATCACCGATACAATTTTAAATCATTTCTTTTGAAAATGAGTCAATACTTGCCGATATTACAAAGTCTTCCACGATATGTTTTCAATTCGATGCGATGTAGGGGCCTGCGATTGATATGAGACAATATTTTCTGCCTACATAACACAATCATTCACAAAAGAAGCTGCCAGCCCTTTTGCTTATGGCCATAAAAGTAAAAAACAACCTACAACTGTAACTGCTTATGTGCAGTAAAGTTCACTTTAAGGCTCATTTATGCTCCCTTTATGTACGAAAATGTATACGTCCGTTTCAAATGATGTTACCGACACTGCCCACATACTACCATGCGCCCTTTACGTTGGCATGGATGTTAACCAATATATCTACCAGGAGGCAGCCCAGCGTCAAAAGTTTATGACAACAACACACTCAAAAACAAACATGGTGACTGTGGAGGAGATATTGATAATGTACCTCTTGCATAAAAGACAAAAACAGAGGCAGCGTTGTAGGAGGCGGTGGTCGGTGAGGCCGTGAAATACATCGCGACTGGAGGACGGAGAATTCTTTTCTCTGGTACTGCCAATGACAGAAATTGAATTGTTATTTCCTCTTCGTGTCTCACTAGAGCTACATATCGGGTAGTGACAGCAACACTGCCCCCACAGTTCCCGGTGGTACTGCTCCGTTTGGCCCATATCCGTAAGCTTTATGGAAACGTGCAGAAATACGGACGAAATGAACGCGGTGCACGGACAGAAGGCTCCTTCCGTATCCGGACGCGTATTTAACGTTGAGCATAAATGAGCCCTTAAACTGACTCTACTAACACACAAAAAAACACATGGGATAAGTTAACATTCAGGACTTTCTGCCAGAAATGTTTGTACTTAAACTTCAGGTATATCTGGCTTTAGGATCTGAGGGCAAACTTCTCCAAACAGCCATAAATCATGGATTAACAACAACATTGTTTGACAAAAGTGTCAAATTTAGCTCAGTAATAACTGTCAAGATTCAGAGACAAAACAATTGCTCTTTGCTAATGACCTATTATTAGCTTAAGCATGTTTACATTGCATAAATTAGCCTAGCGGCTAGCAGACTTCTTCCCTCAACTCATAGCTTAACCAATTACATGTACCGTTATTATTTGTCTTATTCACCATTGGTTAAAGTCACTGCATCCTGCATCAGAAAAATGGCTACATCCCCACAATATCAAACACCGCAAAAGTTAGTAAAGGACGTGTTGAAAACGGTTCAAAACTGCTACACAACCGGAGGTGGTAGGGCGGGACTTCAACGGGTGGCTCGTTCCGCCCAATGAGAGGCTGATCTATGCAGCGAACTTCCGCCCACTCAGACTACATTGCAGCTGATGACATTGTCTAAATAATCGACTGTTAAATTCCTTGGCAGCTAATTTTGTCACTAGTATTTGTCAACCATTTGATTATTTATTGCAGCCTTAGTCTTACAACAGTTAACCACCTAACATTCAATGTTTGTTTGTGTATGTGTGTCTCTCTCTTTTCAAGGAGGTAGATGTGTGTAAGCCTCTCGGAGTCTCTCTGCACGCAGTCAGTAACGGCGCCGCCCCTCCACCGGCCGTCCTGCCAGCTGCTGCCGTGCTCCCAGCCTACAGCACCCTGCCTTTAATGCCCGGCTTCCTTGGGGCGCCACACCCGGCGGCAGCCACGCCAAGCCCTGTCACGCACACACACACTGCCGCCACTGACTGGAACACCTACTATTATGTGAGTAAAGAAAATGTATGCTTTAAAATAGGATGTGACACTTTGAGTACATCTGTGAGCAGTGGTGAAGAGTAACTAAGTACATTTACTTCAGTACTGTTCTGTACAATTTTGAGGTACTTTACTTGAGTATTTCTCTTTTATGCTGTTTTTTTTCCTCTACTCAACTACATTTCAGTGGTAAATATTGTACTTTTTACTCCACTTCATTTACTTGAAAGCTGTAGTAATTAGTTTCTTTACAACATATAAATCAACTGATAAATTTCAATGTATATTCATTGATTAAATTACCCAGCAGTATATTAAAGGCATAATTCACCCACAAAAACACCATTTGTACATCAATTAGTCACGCCATGTTACCTTGAATTCATGAGGAAAACTTTTTTTCAGCGAACATATTAATTTACTGGGGACCACGTTTACCACAGCAAAACTATATTACAACATCTGTTAACAAACTTTCACACAACTCATGCAGTGTAATCCAAGTCCCATTTATCCAGTTGTATACTCAGTACTTCTCAAATGTGCATTTTTGCTATAAAACCTTAGCATTGGAGTCTGGCTTTGATGGGAGCTTAGACAAGTTTCACTTTCAGTTCAGTTTAAGTAGTAAGGTTTTAGGGATGTGTTTGGGAAGTACTGAGCATATGACTGAAAAATTATACTGCAGGAGTCTGCAAACAAATGTTTCAGTATAGTTTTGCTTTTGTGAAACATGGTCCCCAATGAATTAATAAATCAGTGTTTGATATTTTCTGAAAATCAGCCCCACCTTTACCAGCCACAACATTAAAGGAATGCACACATGAATGAATCCCTAACCTTACAGTAATATGATAGGATTCTAAAATACAACATTCTGCATAATGAGTACTTTTACTTTTGGCACAAAGTATATTTACAAACTTACTTAAGAAAGATTTTGAGTGCAGTACTTTAACCTGTAATAGAGTATTTTCACACCATGGTATTGCTACTTTCACTTAAGTAATAGATCTGAATACTTCTTCCACTGTTGTGTGTAATACAGGATGTGACACTTTTCCTACATCTGTGAGTGAAGCTGGAGACCTCTTTGGCTTTTTCATTGTGTTTGACAAAATCCAAACATTTCATATTGCAGCTAACTACTTCAGTGTTTCCTCTATGACTTCTGATATTAGTGGGCATTATTAGTTGTTGACAGCTGGGAGCTGAAGGATCACTGTTCAGCTCGTTGAATTTAAAGTAATAATTCAGAATAACCACTACTGGATGGATTTATGTCAACAAGATAACCCTTAAACAAAGCCTAGAACAATATGATAAATATCAGCACAGACTATTTTTTTTAACTCAAATTCTGTTGGTCATAACTGTTGTTTGCGATAAGAAAAATAGAAACACTCTTTTCTATAGCTGATTCACAATAGAAGCAAACAGGATAGTGGATAAAAGGATTTCTATGTGAGGCAGCAACAGGAAGAGATCTCTGCTGTGATTGTATTAATACCATTAATAATGACATAGTGACCAGGCTCTGGATTTGCCTTGACTGTAGATAGAGGATGGCCTTAAATTAGAAAAGGATGCATTAGTGACAGTGACAATATATTTGACCATAGTTTAAGAAGACATCCTACTGCATGTGTCTGAGCTGTTTTCTGATTTGTCTCTATTTTGATTCACTTGTTGATGCTGTTTGCTTAACGCATTTCAAAACTTCCTCCGTGATAAACTCAGTTAGATGTACATTTCTGCGGCAGCTGTAACTAGGGATGAGCGAGTACATAATTATCTGTATCTGTTTCTGTATCTGTTTAACCAAGAAAATTATCTGTACCATTACTGTGTGTGTGAGGTTTAAGTCAGATGTAGGTGGGAATCAGATGTGGGTGTGGCCTATTCTGAAGTTTCTCTTTAAGACTAAAATTGATATGGGTTGATCAGAAGTTGCTGTATTTGTTTGTTGTTTTTTTGTTTAAAGAACTATTTATAGAACAATCAGAATTAAGCTTTATATTATTTTTGATCACTAGAGGAAGAGATTAAACACAGTTACCCAAATGAGGATTTCCCTCAGTCAACGGTACAGATATTGACAGATTTTACTCGTTAGGTGCTCATATTTTTAAGAAGTACATTATCTGTACTGGATACTCGTTTAATCCGAGTATTCTGTTCAACCCTAACTGGAACATTATCAATACAGCACCATGCTCATGTCATACAGGTTGTGAGATGATGACAGGATTAGACAGCCGAAGCATTTTTACCTGCCACTTTCTTTGCTTGTTGTTAATTACGAATGCAAGTTATTTAAGTCTCTAAAGCTTTGTCTTACTTTATTATTCTTTAGCTAAACTGCTCACAATCCTGCTAATCCATATTACAACCTACAGATTTTAGGAACTTCTGCTGCAGGCTATGGAGACAGTAGATCAATGTGTTCTGTTACATGCTTGGTGCGGAGATAGAGCAACAGTACAGCCTGTATTTCTTATTGTTTAAGGCTGTGAAAGCTATAGAGAGGAGAAGAAGAGGAGGAAAGGAGTCAGAAGGAGGCAGAGAGCATGGTGACGTGAGCAGACAGGATCCAGACGCCTGAGCTAAGCCTCGTCTCTGCAAAGATTTGAGTCTGTTTGTACAGACAGCCTCCCTCACTGGAGAGAGCCACCTTTAGACTGTTAGACCTAAAACACATAAACACAGGATGTTTGCATCGTTGTCAGAATCCACAACAAGTCACATTTTTTCCATTTTACTTTTTCAGTTTTAATGTTGATCACTGTGATGCAACACAGATATTCAAAGTCACGTGTTTCATGGATTATTAAGCCTCATACTTACAGTAAGTTAGCTCCCAGTCGTGAAAACAGATGTTACAGAAGCTCATGTGGGCACACCAGAAGCAAAAGTAGAATTCCTAAAGATATTTTAACAGCAAGTGAAATTCATCAGACTTGTATTTATGGTATTTATCTTTGTCAAACCCTGAAGTATGGGACTATTTTCCCTCCCTCTCTTTTCAACCCTTTGAAAGCTGGAGCGACATGATTTTTCTTTTTGCTTTCAGAAGCTTTTTGCAAATACTTGAAACTTCAAAACTTGAGCAAAGTGGTGCGCTTTCTTTCAAAGACATGGGGAAAAAAGGTACTGAGCAACTTGGTAAGAAATGTCCTACAAACTGCAAAGATTTAGAAAATTATTGTTAAAAAAAAATAGGGAAAATGAAAAAAGTTAGGGAAAAATTGTATTTATTAATTTTTTAAATTATGTTACAGAATTATTGTAATTTTTAAGCACTCTTTCCAGGTCCTTATTTGTTTCTAAGTTTCTTTCTTTTCATTTTTTTTGTTTTTACTAATTTTTTTGTTTTTAATTTTCTCTTTTTACGAATTTTTTGCTAATTTTTTTGGGTCATTTCTTCTTCCCATGTTTTTAAAAGAATCAAGCCAGTTTGCTTAGGTTTCAAACACACATTACGACAATAACAAAAAAAATGTTGCAAAAACTCCCACACTGACGATAGGAAATTACAAATAAATAGAAATAATAAGATTTAGGATTTATTGAGTTTTACAATTGCATTAAAACAGGGAGGGAAACATAATGAAAGACCAAAAAAAGACTTCATCAGCTCAGCTTTTCCATTTTTTTTCTTTCATTTATACCATCATATACCATATACAAGAGCTAGCCTAGCACTAGCAGTATCACCTACTGGGACGATGCCGCAGCAGCAGCCTCGTCGTCTAGCCCCTGTTCTCCACTGTAACCAGCCTGCTGCTGCTCAGCTGCTCCAGATAAACTCTTTCCTCCTCTTTGTTCGGTACTGGCAGACTGTTAATGTTATCTCAGCAGCTAGCAGGATTTTGCGTTGCACCGGCATCTGTAATCATATTTTTGAATAATTTGTGTTAACTTGGGAGATTTTTTTTTTCACTCTGACCTTTTCTGTTCCACCTACTGACTTTTTGGATCCTTTTATTAGCCATTTCATTTGTATTTTCAATTTGAACTCCCCTTGATTTCATTTGTTTAATTCTGCTTGACCTCTGACATTACATGGACGGATCTATTTGAAGGGGTGGAGGAAGGTGACGACGGTCAGTACTACTGCAGCTGCCCCTAATGAGATCGGCCTGTCAAAATCAAGTGGGACACGGCCGGCAGGTTTTTTCCCACATTGCTGGTTATGGCGCTTGACCCACTGTGTGGGCTGGCCCATCAGGCATTTGCTAGACTTGCCAGATTGCCAGTGCGAGCCTGGTTTCCAGTATTGCAATCTAAAAAACACAACATGTGCAACTGTAGCTCTTCTAGCTGTTTTAACGTCTAGGACATTTTTTGAACATTTAAGTATGATAACACACACTTTCTTCACCTTTAACTCTTCCCTCTCTTCAGAACCAGACGCGGGGCCATAAGAGGGAGTACCCTCAGCTGGCGGTGCAGGACGTGGCATCATCAGATGGCGCCTACATCGGGCAGCACTCCCAAGGCCTTGGAGGGCAGTATGCTGACTACTTTAAGAGGAAGAGGCTCTAGTATGAACCAAACCACCTTAAAGCCTAAAGCTTATGGAGGGAGGCGCGCACACACACACAGCGTCTGCTGGATGTCACAGCTCCCTCTAGTGGCCTTTCTGTGGCTGCCATTTTGCATCCCTACAGTAGGTATTGAGTTTAATAGAATCTGGGGTTGCAAATGGCTCAAGTGAAAGCAAGCCATAGTGCTCTTTGATCCTGGCACTTATACACACACATACACACACATAGACACAAACACGGTGTTGCTTTTGTCCTGTTCAAGCCTTAAACTCTTTAACTTAAACTGTTGTTTCTCAGTCAGTGTGTCAACTGTACTCAACTAATATTCTCTTGTACATTTTTTCTAATATAATGTAAACTAAAGTATACTGTATCTATACGTATAAGCTGCTTTTGTATCTGCAGCCAGGCGACCTGTCTGTCTGCCTGCTGAAACTGTCTTAGGACTGGTCCTACAGTCAAGGTGTCTCCCTCTCTGTCTCTTCTCAGATTCACGCTTTGATTAGTCAGTCGAACTGACATCTGTTTGTTCCCGCTTCAGTGTCTTTTCTCTTTTCCTTGTATTGCCCAGGTTTCCTCTTTTATATCTCCCCCCTGAGGAGAATTAGAGTGTGTGTGTGTGTGTGTGTGTATGCGTGTGCATATGTGTGTGAGTGTTTATGCGTGTTGATGTGCTGTTTCTGTAGGAAGTGTCAGCCATTTCAATCCCAAAGGTTTGGGAGTACATCAGGAAAAAAAAGGGCCTGAACCAATCAAAGCCCTTAATCGTGGTGACTTTTACAATAGCTTCCCTCAATGAATGGACCTTTCTTTCTAAAGACTGGACAGAAAATAAAAGCCTGGTGTAAATACGGTGTGTAATACAGAATATATAAAGCCATGCGTAACAGACAATATCACGTTTAACGGTTTCCCAGCTCTCTTGTGAGCGTATTGTACTACATGAGTGAAAGGAAAACATTTACTGCGTGTCTGATTTTGTTTTGTTTTTTTAAATCTATACTGTTATATATTTGTAATATAATAATATTCCAAGGCAATTTATTAATATTGAATCAAGTTGTGTTGACTTAAATGTAGTTATCTGGTTTGGTTTTTAACATTTAAACCAAATATGAAGGCACAGTCCTTTCTCTACTCTCTTCTATCTGTTGTGACGCATTAGGGTGTTTTCGGGAAGATCTGTTGGGACTCAACAGCCGCTTAATGTCCACTTCCAGCTGCCATTAGAACGTGAAGGATTCAAACTGTGAGCGTGTCTCGAATCCATACTACATACCGACTCAAAGCACGTTTTGAAACACCTTAAAAGGACAGAAGTTACTACTAATCACTCAGCACGTGTATCAAAAACTTTGATTTTTTTTTTTTTAGTGTGCTGTCAATGGACACAACTTTCCCACAATGCAATACACAAAGGAAATGGAGGAGCTGCTCCAAGATGGGAAAAAAATTAAAACTAATGGTTGATGGTGGTGAATCAGCTCCAGAAACAAAACACAAAATTTAATAATTTTGGAAAAATTGGCAGTGATATTCCAGTGTTGCAGTTTGATTGCATTTTCATGATGCACATATTGCATCTTTTCCTGTTTCTATAAAATGTAAAAGTATGTTTTTTTATTGTCTTTTGACTGGGTATACTATAAAGATTAGTATATGTGCAGTTGGTATGTAATATGAGATTTGGACACAGTCTTATGATGGACGTTTAGCATTTTCTTATTTTGTGCTCATCACATACTACTGTGCATGTGTTTTTTTTTTTTTGCGGATGCTCGTAAAATTTCTTAGTTTTAAGGGAAAGAAAAAAAAACTTTAAATGTCAATCTTCGCAGAGTTCTTCCCATTTTTACAAAGCAACAGAGAAATTATTTTTCATTCTTTGTCAGAATAAAAAGACGTTTTGTTTGTTTTATCAGAGCAAAGGCTGTGAACTGAATAACACTTCATGTCCAGGAGGTTTGACGTTCATCATTGAGGAGACAGCTCGGTATTTTAGTATTACAGCTCGGACATTAGGTTTGTTATGTGCACAAACCGGCAATAACTAAGGCTCCTACTACTGTAGAAAGTTGAATGTAAAATGTTTGTTTCTTTGCTTTTGACACAGCATTATATATACTCCTACGTAACGGCTCACACGCTTGGTAAAAGCTTCTTTTTTTTCTTTTCTTTTTGCTGTATGTGTCTTTGTATTCTGCTCAGAACTATCTGATTATACATCACGGAGAAGAATATTACTTGTGTCGCCATGGCAACAACGCTCACACACTCTGAAAACCCAATAGCAGTTGAGATCAGATAATGCAGATACATCGGTTTAGTCCAGATATGTGGTGTGAGTTTCTCATCAGTGGGAATAACGGGCGGCTGTAAACATGTTTACATGTGCGGACACAATAATAATGGAGGAGTCTCAGGTCAGTGCTGGCATGCAGGTCCGCTTATTAAGTACTAATAACATGGCTTAACATTAAACTTAAAGGCAATACATAGTTCTCTATTCTTTGCTGACTCTCTTGCTCTCTTCATCCAATTATGTGTTTTCTAACTAGATTTAACTGTGATGTGTTTCAGTGTCTTGCTTTCACTTCCTGGAGATTCATATTTTTCATGAAACTTTGACACATTTTGAAGCATGCCTCCAGACAGTGATTATATATCGTGGATATGGACAATAGAAGAAAAAAAGGAGAGGAACTCTGGAGGGCAAAAAAAGTGATAAAATGTATTCTGCTTCGTATTTGCACAAATACAGGCAGAACAATGGCAGAGGATCTGCCCACCACAACCTTCTTTGTTTCCATGAAGTGCCTATTTGTGTGCACATATTTATCATCATGAATTTTCTCACTTCTTGTGCATCTAATTGCTACCTTCCTTTCTTTTCTCTTTTTTATTGCCCATTTGGGAAGTCTTTTAAACTACACTTTGACTCAACTCTTCCTGGTTCACAGTCATTTTCATACAATGGCATTTCCCAGAATCTCAGTTTAGATGGTTGAGGGATGTCCCGCTCATCCTCAGACCTAAACCCCGAGGTTATGTGTGATGCATATCAGATTGATTTTATATTTAGCTTGTAAACATTTGAAAAAGTTAGTCATATTTCACTTTTTCTTCCCCATTTTTCTTATCATCATCTATCATCTTTCTATTCAGCATGCATCTGTATCTTCAATTTCCATTCATACTTCTGTGTCCTTGCACTATTGTGGCTTATGTCCTGTCTGTTTGCTGTGATTTTGACTGTCACTTCTGGTGGCTGTGCTAGCTAATTTAAAATGCCTTCATTTTGGCTTTTTTTTTTTTTGCCGCCTTCACAATATTGTTATAATCAGATCAACTTGCATTTATCCATTTTGCCTCTCTTCTCCATTCAGTATGGCTCTAAATCTGTCTTTGCCACTGATTTCCTTTAATAATGGATATCAAAACGCTGCACTTAGGTCTATAATAATGACTGAATACAACAACTGTCAACAACTTCATAACAGAAAGAGCAAAAATGATGTAATTTGAAATGCAGCCCGGACCTCAAACTTTTATTCAGTTTATATTCGTAATATAACCTGCACGATTGCTCTTTGAATTTATTCACATTGCACAGCCAGCAATATAAAGACAATGCGAGGGCTGACAGGTTGATGCGCTGGTTTGGATGAAGTTACCAGAAAATATCACAGGTTTGGGCAGGTGGGTCCTAACATGACAATGCAGCACCCTTTTAAGATATTAATAAGTTACAGAAACATTGCGTGCAATAGTCCATCTTCCACCTCCATTCCATCTGTCACTCTCTCTCGAACAGGCTGTGGCGCTCAGTCCTTCTCTCTGTCCTTGTCTCTGTTCTAATCCTGACAGTTGAGCTTCTATAATGCATAAAGTTTGCAATTAGTGGGTCTGGTTCAGGGGCTTGATTAATGCATATTTTTGAGGGACTGGCGGTGCTGATTGGCTCTCTTAATGGTTCAGGTTGGTGCACATCACTACAAGTTATCAATATGTGGTGGTACTTGTGTACAAGCCCTCATCTTCTCCTCTGCACTGCTCCAACACCAGGGGCCAGATGCATAAACAGTGTGTAAGCACAAAAACCACGCGTACGCCTTTTCCTGCACAAACTGGTATTTATAAAGTAAGAATTTGCAGTGAGAATGTGCGCACCTCACACGTTCTCCAGACCAGGTTTACTCACGGTTTCAGCTGATAGCTGTGGGCGATATGACGAGGACGAGATTGAAGCACTTTATGAAGTCAACAAGAAAGCTATGAATGAATCATTGATTGTCCTTCTGCTGTTTAATAATAATATTGATTGTTTCAGAAATGTGATGATTAGCGGTACAGATGCTACAAATATCCACAGCTGCTCTGGCACCCTTGGAGAGCCTTGCAGATGTGATACAGTTGGTGAAATTGCACTTTCTTTGCCTTATTTCTCATCTCGAGGGGCACAACTATCGATATGCACGTGGCTGTTTAAGGCTGTTTCTACGTCTGTTCATGGCAAACTTTGGGTGCGGGAATGAGGCTCGTGTGCGTGCACCCTGACCCACAGTGACTGAGATTTATAAAACAGAATCAGGCATATGCACAGCTTTATCAACGTGATGAAAAGAATGCGTATGCACCTTTCTGCCTTTGTGCATACACGCAGTTTTAGTCGTGAATCTACAGAGTTTTATGCATCTGGCCTGAACTGCCTAGTTGTTGATTTTCTGCCTTGAAATAAAAAATTAAACATCGAGAGATCTAGCAAGTCCACCTGCTAACACTAAGCTTGGGAGAAAGAGTCTGTGTCTGCAGTCACATGATACCTCTGTCCATCTGTGGCTTTCTGTACTGTAGAAGCCATTTTGCATTTTCCCTCTTAAGCAGTTGTTTTAAATGATTTTTTCCTTCATATTCCACTCTTTCATTCTTCCCACATCAGCTGGAGCCACTTGGACACATTTTATGGCGACGTGTCCCTCTGGACTAGTTGGCTGTCTGGCTCGGAGCCTCTGTTTGGTTTGCTTCCTGGTGTGAGTGGATGAAAAGTAACCAGCTGGACTCCAGTTGATCGCTGTCACCTCCACCTCTCTAAAAGACAGGATAGGAATGTCTGTCTATGCGAGTGTGTGTGTGTTCAGACCAGAGACAGGGCCTCTGTGTTTGTGGATGTTAACAGCTGAGGCAGCAGAAGCGCTGTCTGCTTGTCTGTTTTCCCGTCTGTCTGTCTGCCTGTCTGTCTTCCTGACTGTCTGTTTTCCAGTCTGTCTGCCACAGTGGATTCAGGTACTACAGTCAGTCATGCCTAAATTATTTTAATGGTGTCAGCTTTTTCTCTGCATTATGTCTCACTTGCTCTAAAGCCATGACTGTATGAACTACTGTGTGTGCATGTGTGTGTGTTTGGGTGTCAAAACTATTGAGGACAAAACAAATATAAGCTCTTATCATGCAAGTCCAGATGTAACAGAGTGAAGGGATTTATTATTCCTAAACACACAAGGACAGAAGCAGGAGTGTAACCGATGTTCCGAGACCTCCGAGAAGAATCATGTTGCCACACTTGAATGTAGGACTTCCTTTGCTTTGCCATTTTCAAGGGTGCATACACTCAGTTTCGGCCGTTCACTAAGACTGAGAGCAGAACTATCTGTTGGACTTGACCATGAAGTTAAGTGTCACTCTGTCAGAGCCTGTGCGTTCTCTCCCCACTTTTACATCATCCAAAATCATGTCAAGATGCAGGAAAACCAGGCAGCTCAACAGGTGTTAGTTGTGTTGGTGGTCTTGAATGAATGTCCAAATGGGGAACACTACTTTTTCATGGACTTTTATTTTGTTATTGACAGAACAGTTCGTTATATCACACAAACATATTGTGCTGATTTTTCACCATCATACTTCCAAGCAATTGTGAGTAAGAACAAGGATGTTGGTGACGTTTGTCTGAGCTCATTTGTAGCCAATACAGTTGACAATTCTCCAAATATGGATGTTGCTACAGAGAAACTACATATTCTAAAATACAAAGCTTCACACACATCTTCAACCAGGCAGCACAGAAGAACTATACACTCACACAGTTTTAAGATGGCCGCCCAAAATCAGTGTCACCAATAGAGATATTGATGAGAAACCGTGTTCACGTGAATGAGATGGACCAAAGGTCATGGTGACCTTGACCTTTGACCATCAAAAACGAATCGGTTCATCTTTGAATACAAGTGGACGTTTGTGCCATTCATTCATTCATTTTTCGTAACTGCTTATCCTGGTAGGGGTCGGGGGGGCTGGAGCCTATCCCAGCTGACATTGGGCGAGAGGCAGGGTACACCCTGGACAGGTCACCAGACTATCACAGGGCTGACACATAGAGACAGACAACCATTCACACTCACATTCACACCTACAGCCAATTTAGTCACCAATTAACCTGCATGTCTTTGGACTGTGGGAGGAAGCTGGAGTACCCAGAGAAAACCCACACTGACATATTCATGAGAAAGGGATGTGCGAAAAGAAGGACAACCCAAAAACATACTGCCTCTGGCTACGGTGGCACAGGCATAAGCCATAAAAACTGGGTCCGATTAAAAAAAAAAAAAAAAAAAAAAATAGTGCAGCACAACTGTCAAAATGTAGTGGAGCTCAGAAACAGGTATTTTTTTCAGATATACAGTACAGGCCAAAAGTTTGGACACACCTTCTCATTCAATGCGTTTTCTTTATTTTCATGACTATTTACATTGTAGATTCTCACTGTCACTCACTCTCACCAATCAGCTAACTAAAGAAAAACGAGTGGCCATCATTACTTTAAGAAATGAAGGTCAGTCAGTCCGGAAAATTGCAAAAACTTTAAATGTGTCCCCAAGTGGAGTCGCAAAAACCATCAAGCGCTACAACCAAACTGGCACACATGAGGACCGACCCAGGAAAGGAAGACCAAGAGTCACCTCTGCTTCTGAGGATAAGTTCATCCGAGTCACCAGCCTCAGAAATGGCAAGTTAACAGCAGCTCAGATCAGAGACCAGATGAATGCCACACAGAGTTCTAGCAGCAGACCCATCTCTAGAACAACTGTTAAGAGGAGACTGCGCGAATCAGGCCTTCATGGTCAAATAGCTGCTAGGAAACCACTGCTAAGGAGAGGCAACAAGCACAAGAGATTTGTTTGGGCCAAGGAACACAAGGAATGGACATTAGACCAGTGGAAATCTGTGCTTTGGTCTGATGAGTCCAAATTTGAGATCTTTGGTTCCAACCGCCGTGTCTTTGTGAGACGCAGAAAAGGTGAACGGATGGATTCCACATGCCTGGTTCCCACTGTGAAGCATGGAGGAGGAGGTGTGATGGTGTGGGGGTGTTTTGCTGGTGACACTGTTGGGGATTTATTCAAAATTGAAGGCACACTGAACCAGCATGGCTACCACAGCATCCTGCAGCGACATGCCATCCCATCCGGTTTGCGTTTAGTTGGACGATCATTTATTTTTCAACAGGACAATGACCCCAAACACACCTCCAGGCTGTGTAAGGGCTATTTGACCAAGAAGGAGAGTGATGGAGTGCTGCAGCAGATGACCTGGCCTCCACAGTCACCGGACCTGAACCCAATCGAGATGGTTTGGGGTGAGCTGGACCGCAGAGTGAAGGCAAAGGGGCCAACAAGTGCTAAACACCTCTGGGAACTCCTTCAAGACTGTTGGAAAACCATTTCAGGTGACTACCTCTTGAAGCTCATGGAGAGAATGCCAAGAGTGTGCAAAGCAGTAATCAGAGCAAAGGGTGGCTATTTTGAAGAAACTAGAATATAAAACATGTTTTCAGTTATTTCACCTTTTTTTGTTAAGTACATAACTCCACATGTGTTCATTCATAGTTTTGATGCCTTCAGTGAGAATCTACAATGTAAATAGTCATGAAAATAAAGAAAACGCATTGAATGAGAAGGTGTGTCCAAACTTTTGGCCTGTACTGTATGAGAACTGGCAGTAATGCTGTCTTTACCTCCTGACGCTTTCATTTGGTTTCCTGTTGGTTTGTACCTGGCGTTTAATGTTCATCTGGTTCAAACTATAGTGGGAATCTTTAGTTTTACTCAGATTGTCACTGTTCAGCATTGCTCATGTGTTGCCATAACAACCAGCCAAGTTGATTTGACCTTGATGTTGTTTGCATTTCCCTTAGTCTTCTTGATTTCCTTCCACATCCAGTAGAAACGCCCCTAAGCGTTCCAGTGGGTTTAAGATTTTATTTTGACATTTGGTTTCCTGTTCCTTTTAAGTCTGACGGTAATGTGCGTGTCTTCCTGAAGGCTGTGTGCCAGAAAATGGTTGGTGAGCACATTTTTATTTTCTTTCTGTAACTGACTGCCACACAGTTTGAGATGTGACTTCACACACAATACCCCAAAAATTTGTGCTCCAAACACGGTTTCCACTTAAAAAAAATCGGACCCTGTCTGCTCTCACATGTTGACTTGCAGATTTATTAAAGCTTCTCTTTGTCGTGTGTTCGCTCAGTAGTTTTGCAGATAGCTGGTGTTTACTTGGACTGGTGCTCTTTGTATGCTGGAACCAGTAATTGCAGGTGGGTGTATGTGTGAGCATGAGAATGTGTGTGTGGGTGTAGCACTGTAAAAATGCGCTCTTGGCAGGTAATGGGGGTAAGGAGAGACAGGCTGAAAGAAAGAGGAATGGAAAAACAACCCCAGCTGCCTTCAGCTGCTCAGCCTGCAGGGATTTCTTTTTTTCTTCCTGTGCCTTTCTCCTCCTCTGTCTGCTCAGTGAAGAGTGTTGGTTATGTCTGCCAGACTCCTGCATGTTGCACGTACCTGTAGAGCTGTCACACACACACACACACACGTTCCAACACACTGGAATTGTCTCCTCTCTGCTCAGATTATTTGTATTAGCTGGACTCTCACACAGCTTCTTCTGGTGTGATCCAAATCTATAGGAATACATTATTGTCATCATGTGCTTATCGTCGTCTCCCCCTGTGGTGTAAATTGTCCACCCTCCTTAACGACTGAAAACAATCCCAGTTGGTGAGGAGATATCTGACAGCAGTCTAATTGTAGACGCTCAAGTGCAGACCCATAAGGTCACAGATGGCCTCCAAACCTGTCAGTCAAAGGATGCTCAAAATGTGTCGGTTTAGTGACGAATAATCCCACTTAATCTACACCAATCACATATAAAGGATAAGGCTGATGATATTGTGTGGTTTTGTTATTGTTGACAAATCCATCAGTGTGTTAGTCCGTCTCTTTCTGACTTCCATAACCTGTCTGCGACTGTGTTCAGTCCCAAGCTCCTACTGAAGACATAAATCATATAGTGTCAGAGTTAAATTTGTTTGGGACTACTTTCAGAAGCGGATTAATACACATTTGGTGCTCAAGTGAGTACCATAATGAAGGCGTATCTAATGCAGGGAAGGACAAATGAAGCTGAGACTGGACTTGTTGGTATTATCAGATCGTTGTTGATGTCGGTCTTTTCGTGGGATTTTGACACTAGTTAAAATACAGAATATCCCCAAATTTATGCTTTAAATGAACAGATAGTGTGGCCATAACATCTGCCAAACAGCTGCATCAGTACACTCTGCTTTAGCTCCCGCATAGTCTGTATGTCACACCTGAATACTTCAAACAAAGAAGGCTTTACACCGGCAAGAGAAATGCGATCTTTTTCTTTTTAATCCACCTTGTGGAGGGACACAACAGGTGTTATATGATGTCCCTGCAGACTGTCAGGGTTTTTAACTCGGCAGTTCGAAGAAATTGATCTAGTGAGCAGTGATACATCACATGAACTGGAGGCCATCCCGGCAGGATGTAAATAATAAAAGCCACAAATAAAGTCTGCTGTTCAATTCCACAGCTTGGGCATGTTCTCTACACACACAGTGGCATGTAGATAAAAGTTATAGAGATAAAATTGAGTGTCAGTGTTCCGTCTTCCGTCACCTTGAGAATGGCAGTTTGATGAAAAATTCTCTCTGGTGTCAGATGTGGATGTCGGTCTTCCTCCAGCCGTCCGCTGTCGAAGCTGCCGGCAGATTTGGTGTTTAATCTGGTGTTCGTTCAGTCTCTCGTCCTCACTGTTTCACCTCATGTTGCGTGTGATGTTGTACACCAGCGCAGTCCTCCTCTCTCCAGGGGTGTTTTTGAGATGTTAAGGTGTTCATTTACATATCTAATCTGGGTATATCTTCCATGCTCGTCAAAGTATCAAAGTGGATTCAGGGTCTGAGGTCAACACTGGGATTAGTGTTGGTTTGTCGGGTTGATATGTTGCCTGAAGCACTGTTAATTTTTGTCCTAAGTCTTAAAAGAATATCTGGTCATAGGCTCCATCCATCAAAGGACACAGCTAATGCTATATGAGAAGAAAGTCTTGATGCTTTTTGTCGTTTCATTCCATCACCTATGATTTATGTTTTCTCGTGGCTAACTCGTGCTCTGCAATCAGATATTTTGGGGGAAACAGACCAGTTTAGTTGCTCAGTTTGGTTTCACAGGTCACTCTGTACCTGTACCTGCTCTGCAAGTCCCAAATGACCAGCTTCTCTTAGTGCACATTTGCATGTCTTATTCTAAACCTTGGACTAGAAGCTCTAGTCTTCATTGCTTTTTCAGCAAAGTCTTTGAATATATATCAATAGATGGATTTATCTATAACTGATGTTGCAATATTATCTTTAAACCTGCCTCCCACACATGGTATAGAATAACTCTTTTATTATCAGCATCTTCTGCAGAGTATCAGCCCCTTTCTTTAGCGGGGAGTGTCGGGACTGGCGGAGGAAAAGGTTGTATCTGTGTAATTTCTCTGTGCCTCTCTGTGCTACCAACATGATGTGACGTCCTCATGATGATTGTACACAAAGGGGGCCTGGCTCCCTGAAAATTAAACACAGCACAAACAAAGCCTGCACACGCACGGAGTGGAAGGTGTTCTTGAGTCTCGTGTAACGCTGGTAACCTGTTGATGAGCCAGCTGAAGTTCAGGATAAATTCTGTGTCTGTGCTTATTATTTTTGGCCTTTCAGTTGTTGATAGAAATATGATATTGACATGAAGATGCAGTCGGATTTATTTCTAGAGAGTTTTCATTTACATCAGAACAGAAAATCTTATTTGTAGTCTTGTGTAGTTTTTTTTGTAAAAGCCGAATAATTTCAGGTTAAATTCCAATTTTTCTGTTCTTGTGTAAACAACACCTCCTCTCAGCTTCAGTGCGTCGCCATTGTACCAGTACGTATCTGCATATTACACAGGGTCAGTGGTGAGGCTGGACTTTGCAATAGTGAATGACTGTGTGTGTGTGAGTGAGTGTGTGTGTGTTGATCACAAAGCTTTGCAATACTGAAGTATTTCTGATTTTCTGACATTTTAATGGCTGTAGATAAACCTAGATTTTGCCGTGCTTCTTGCTTTGTAAACAGTTTTCTGCTTTTTAAGTATGTGGATTTTTTTCTGACCTGAAATATACTGTAGATTTTGCAAAATTTTATATCACACTGACATTGCTATTGTTTTACTGTGAATAAGGTATTTCTAGAGCAATTTTAGCATGCCTACTTAAAACTGTAATATATAGAACAAACTGTTTCCAGTAGTTAATAATATATTGCATTTGGACTGATACGGACAGAACACGACAAACATTGATTTTATTTATTTTTTCATTGTGTATTTATGGATACTTTTACCTTCCATAATTCATACTTGCGTCTTATTTTTTGAAAAATATATATATATATATATATATATATTTCTTTTCTCTTATTTTGAGCAGAAGGAATTGTCTTTTACATTCCTAAATAAAATGTGGACTGAAGCGCAACTTTGTTGTCTTGAAAGTCCTTTTTTTTTTTGGTTACCGCCAACATTCACAGTAAAAGCCATACAGTTATATGAAGCACAACTGACCATTTGTTGAATCTGTTACTGAGCAACATTTTACACGTCTGATGGATTTATAACAGAAAAAACCCTCTGCTCAAACCATTCACATACTCCCAGACAAAATATACGTGTGTAAATTTCCTGTCATATTGGAGAAAAAAAAAATGTTCAGAGTAAAATGCACATACAAAATAATGACTAAAAGAAAGAATATAATTTTAACAAACATAAAATGCCATGTGATAATTGGTGATTATTCTTTATCATTTCAAATTCTGTGAACAATCTAAAGTATTTCCATATACAACCTGTAATAACATCAATTGGCTCTTCTTTTTTTTTTTTGCACTGTTATGTTTAGTATACAGACCTTTAATAAAGTATTTGTGAAAGGTTACAAAACCAGTCAAGGAGAGGAAAAGTGAAGTGATACTGCCCTCAAGTGTCTCTCACGGGTACTTCTCTTAATCGCTCACTCTTCACCTAACAAGTGCTGTGTGATCTAGTCAACTGGTCAGATGTACACAGTTCTCGATTAATTATTCAGAACTTTTAAGGAACCAAACTTGATTAGAGATTATATAGAACCATCTTAAAGTATCCGACAAACTTAACACGTAACTCGCAAAATTAAAAAATATGTAGATTTTCTGCATCTGTGCAGATGCAGCTCAAACATGCCTTCACGAAGAAGGTAGTCTCATTTGTGTCTGGTAACTTTGGGTGGGACAGGCATTTATTACACGTTTAAACAATGCAGGCTGACAGTAAATGTATCTGTAGATTATTTTTGATAAATTGCTCCATAAAATGTCTGAATATAGCGCAAAATGTCCATCACAGTTTACTAAAAACTAAAATATGACGCCTTTAAATCGCTTGTTTAGTCTGACCAGCTGTTTGAAACAAAACAAAAAAAGGAGCTATTAATGACTGCATCTGCACATCATGAACCGAAAATCTATCACACCTAACGCCACGGCTCTCTATCTAAACAAAATACAAGTTAGGCATTTTTCTCCCCAACAGGAGTCCATGAGACAAACAGCAGTGGCACAAATGTAAAAACCACATCTTCAGTATCTGTGTTAATGACTCCATGCTTCTGAGCAATTCTCAATATGATTCATCAGTGATCCACTTGGCGTCCTGCACACAGGACTGCCACACACCCTGTTTAACTGTGTGAAAGTGGGTGTTCAACAGTTCCTTTCTCTGCTCGGTCTCCATCTTTCAAGCGTCCATCAGCGAGGGCGACATCAGCCAGGAGTCCACATTATTATAAAGGCCTTCTGCGCACATTATAAGAGCAGCGAGTCCACATAAGTTTGACATTTCTGACACTGCAGACGTTTAAATCCCTTAGATACACTTGGAAGTCCTTTTGTAAGATTTAAGGTCACATTCAGCGTGGGCTAAGGCTACAAGATTCGATAACCTATGCTTGATACTCAAAGTAGGACTTAATGGGATTGTATAACAAATATGAGAAATAAAAATGTGAAAAATACGGCAGCGTAAGATGGCTGACGGGACTAAAAGTCTTCACGTTGTGGAAGGTTTATATGTGAGCGTGAAGGAGAGTGGCTTTGTGTGAAGCTCTGATCCTTCGGGACTGTCTCTTAGTACGATGAAGCTACACGAGCAGATGCTGATCTGGGGTCAGTTTTTGCTGTTTGCATCTGGTCCCGAGGTCTGCAAGCAAGAGTCAACGTCTCTCCCAGAGCCTCCAACGCTTTGAGGAGGTTTAATGGTCGTTCTGTGGCTGGAGCTGTTGCTGCATGTTGGTCAGCTCCTCCACCAGGCGCTTAAAGGTGATTCTCCTCTCGGGCAGGTTCTCCCAGCACTTTCGCATCAGCTCGTACACCTGTCGGACATCAGTTGTGTTAGACGATCAGTGGCAGAAATGTAAAAACCTGACTAAAAAATAAACTGCAGCAGCTTCTACTTTCTTTGCCAGTTGTAGGTGACATCAACATGTTATGTTAAACTGCTGCTGCTATAACCTTCCAATAGATGGCACAGGATAGTGTGTGTTAGCTCTGTGAGGTGTCTTACATTTAATAATGTTTAAATTTTCAAAGTAGGGATCTCTGATACCCCTAACTTTTTTTATATTAACATGATTGTGGCTAATAATTGAGTCAGCAGCCTAACAAACACCTAATTTTATAATGAATTTAATAAAGAAATTGAGCCTCAAGTGTGGAAGATAAATGTACTCATATACTGTAAAACCACCGCTGTTGCTCCTGCCTGAGGCCAAACATATGACTATTGTCTTTCCTTATGTTTTCTCTGCATATGTTTTGTAAATAAAGACATCAGAACACGTAAAAAAAAAGCCTGTATATATGTCATTAGTGTGCTGTGTTGCTGATGGGAAGACTTACAGGCTCAGGACAGCTCTCAGGACGTGGCAACCTCCTCCCTTCTGCCAACACCTTCACCAATCGGATGATCGTCATCTGACCGTGAGTTCGGCCAATCATGCCGAGGAAGAGCTGTGTGGGTGAGGATGAGGATGGGTTACAAAAGAAAAAAATGTTCAATACTGCTACTACTACTATACTGGCTTGATTTTTATTCAGATGTGAAACATGTCAATGAGCTAAAGACAATACTACAACACATACAAAGCCATTCAGTGGTTGTATTCCAGATATAATATCTTTTACTTTTTAGCGTCTGTCTCCTTTTTAACATTCACCTGACCTGAGCAGACCTAATTGGTCCATCAGGATAACAGTGGCAGTTAAAAGCCGGATGTATCCGAAAGATCTTCCTGATAAACTGAGCTCTAAATGTTGGCACAGACACAGCCCCTGTTGGGAGTCTGTGATCTGGCCTCTGGTCCTTGGCCAAAGACTGATACCATCTGCCACATACAAATGAATGTGTGTAGGTGTGTGTTTGCTGAGGCGTAATCAGAATGCATTTCAGAGAGTATCAAATTGCGCCCCCCCAATCAATGTTAATTTCCAGCACAACGGTGAACCACAAATGCAGTTAACAAGGATGCACTAACATTCCAAATCAGGGTTCAAAGGAGAGCATCAGGGCTTGTTCAGGTCGTGGCCAGACCAGATACTAGTTTTGTCAAGACTGTGAGGCAAATGTTGCATCATCTGTGGTGTTATTTTTGAAATATTTAGAAGCTGGATAGCAAAGTGATGCTGGGACGAGCGTACACTCTACTAATGGAAGTAAACTGCTGACACATGCTTTGTGCTGTCTCTCAAAGTCTTGCAAGAAATTTGCAGGTTTGACAAACTTTTAAACAGGTCCAGCCACGACATGGTACGTTACAAAAAATGTTATAGTGTAATATGTCATAAAAAGTCAATAGTGTGTGATCAAAAATGACAAAAAAAAGTCATCAAATGTAAAAAAAAAAAAAAAAAAAAAGTCATAGTGATAAAAGTATGCCATTAAAAACCACAATAATCATAAAAATGTCATTAAGTCATAGTATAGTATGCCATAAAAATGTAATAGTGTAATATGTGATTTAAAAAAGGTCAAAAGGCATAATATAGTATATCATAAAAAAGTCACAGTATGTCATTACATGTCATTAAAAATGTCATAGTATTAATGGTGTGTCATAAAAAAATGCCATAAAGTCAGTTTGGCTAGTCAGGAAAAAAAAGTTCGACAAACTTTTAAACTGGTATAGACACACCATACCACGTTACAAATGTCAGTGTAGTATATGTCATACAAAAAGGTCCAAAAATCTGTCATACTATTAATAGTGTGTCATCAAAAACGACAAAAAAAGCCATCATGTCATCAAATCATAGTATAGTATGTCATATTAAATTACCAAAAAAGGTCATAAAAACTTCATAATATTAACAGTGTGTCATTAAAAAAACAAAAATCATAAAAATATCTTAAAGTCATAGTATAGTATGTCATAATAATGACATAAAAAATGTCACAGTGTAATATGTGATTAAAAAAAAGTCAAAATAATGTCAGTACTAATGGTATATCATCAGAAATGGCATAAGATGTAAAAATGTCAAAGTCATAGAATAGTATGTTAAAAAAAAGGACAAAAAGTCATAGTTTATCATAAAAAAAGTCACAGTATGTATGTCATTAACTGTCATTAAAAATGTCATAGTATTATTGGTTATTTCGGAAAAAATGCCATAAAGTCAAAGTTTGGTGAGTCATAAAAACGGACAAAAAAAAAAAATCACAGTACAGTTTGTCATAAATAGTTTTAAAAAGGTCAATTAATCATATGCTGGCTCTCTAAATGGCAGTCAGTCATCAAACTTTGAAACGTTTCCCCAAATCTCCCCTGGTAGGTTGGGATGCAGGAGCAACTGTGTGGAAAGCTTCAATAAATTCAGTTCTTCATCTCTGCACTGGTACAGTGTGTGTGACATATATTTAATGTGGAATCATCTTCCAGGCTTCTAAAAATACACATGAATTAGAAGTATTTCTTGAAGGCCTGACAGATACTGAGGAGAGCACTGCATACTGACCGTCATCGGGCTCTTTGTGGAGTCGCAGTAGGTGATGAGTTCGTACATCGTCACCCCAAAGGACCAAACGTCTGAGGCACGGTAGAACTTACAGTGAGTCAGACACTCTGGAGCATACCTGGGAAATAAAAAACAAAGTGTAAGAGCACAGATAATTGTCCATTTCAACGTATTGTTACACTGTAGGTTTTTGGAAGGGTGTTCCCCATGTCTCTATCAGTATTAGCAGTATAATGCTGTTTAAATATACTGTTTTAATAATGTTTTATACAGTATCAGTATCAACAAATTTCAGAGGCCCTCTTAAGATTAAATTCTACAAAAGCAAAGTAATATTTGCAAAAAGACTGAGGATTAAACATAGCAGTGTGCAGTTTGGGTTTATTTTCCAACTTTTTGTGCAGACTTTTATTACCCAGCACATGCACAGAACGTATGGATGTGCATGTTTGCTTCAAGAAATATTAGAAATGAAATCAAACAAGTGTCTTTGTCTTATTTCACTGACTGCTAATTTTATAAAGAACACTAAAAGTCTTACAGGAAACCAAAGAAAGACTATCCAGAACAACCAAGGGTCAGATCAGCAAGGGTTATAATTTATTCTCAATATTTTACTGTATACTGTCATTATGATATGATCCCTTATAAGTATTCCATCTCTGTTAATATAGATCCAGTCCCTGGTAATTTAGCGACTACACTCCTGTCTGTCATCTCAATGCTAGCTGCTCTTTTAGGCTCAGATCCTTGACTACACACTCAAAGCTGACAGCAAAGTCAATTTACTGCTTAAAAGCATTTTAATTTAATACCTGCTGGATGAAAAGGACTTTTCAATGAAATCTCTTCACTCTTTGCTTGAACTGATCGCCATCTTACCACATTTCTCCCACACAATATCCCTCTCCTTCATTCACACACTGTGTGCAGTCGATTCCTTTCTGGTCCGTCTTATTTCATTAAGTATCTGCTCTCCTTTTTATTCTCCTTCCTTTACAAAGTCTCTCTTTCAACAATAAGATCTCAGGTGCTGCAATCGAGTCTGAGAGAGAGTGAGAGCTTTTCTGACTTCCGTTTCCTCTCCACTCACCAGAAAACAGGGCTGTCGTTTTCGTCCTTGACCGTGTAATATCCCTCGTTGTCCTTGATGGTCTTGGTGAGGCCGAAATCTCCGATCTTCACCGTCCTCTCGTTCTCCACCAGCACATTTCGGGCAGCCAGGTCCCTGTGGATGTAATTTCGGGATCCAAGATAGTCCATTCCCTAAAAAGAAAGAAAAAAAGGGCACACTGCTCAACAGGTTCAAGGTGATTGAAATGCAACCTGTGGATTTCTGTGATTGGAACATGCAGACAAAACTAAATCTGCTGGGAGAGGAGCAGCCAATGACTGAAGGACACATTGAATTGAAACACTTAATGCAACGTCAGCCATGTTGTTTATATGCTAGATATCTCTGTGGTATTTGTTGCATCACCACAATGACACCCTCTCATCAGTAACTAATTTTTAAATGAGCTGTGTGGCCAAATTTGCCAGAAAACAAAGAGTTAAGTCGTCTTTTTAAGGTGTTTTTGGCAAATAAGCAAAAAAATCTTTAACAGCAAACAACTATCAACAGCATAACTCACGAGGTTCAGGCTCCTGTTCCATTTTAACTTTTCATACCTTTTACGACTACAGTTTTGGAACGCAGTTTACCACCAGTGTCTAAACAGGAAGTGTTAAAACATTTCAAAACAGTTGGTGTGCTGATGTTACCGTCTTAATTAAGTAAGTACTGGTGAGGTGATAAATGCTAATATAAGATGCGGAAGCGCCTGATGGTTCCAGCTGGTCTGAGGAAACGGCTCTGTGGAAAGAAACTGTGTTACCTTGCATATCTGGACAGAGTAGCTGAGCAGGGTGCCGAGGCTGGTCTTGCTCTTGTTTCTGGGTAGATACTCCTTCAGACTGCCCAGTGGAAGGTACTCCATGATCAGCTTAATGGCCTGACCACCTGCAAACAGATTTAAACGTAAACACAGTCAGAGGTACAAATTCTTCAGCAGATATCGCACTTTATCATATAGAGAGATTTTGTGTGTGTGTGTGTGTGCTAACCCCAGTTTGCCCCTCCATGTACATTTATTACCATTACATTCGTCACATAGTTTGGATCTCTGAAAAATCCAAGAGGCCTTTTAACAACACTTTGCACTATTTTCAGAATCCTCAAAGGATCTTTTATCATCTGAATGAAAAAAATATGAAAAATATTTCCAGTTTCCTAGATAGGAAACTTAGTGTTGCAACTTGGGAAACAGGTTAAAGAACTTTTCCTTTGCGCTGCCAGTGGAAGATTTTATTGTCCAGATGTTTCTAAGAGTCTTAAAGGATTCAGGAAATACCTTTATAACAGCGACAGTCTTGGTTTTTTAGAGATCAGCGGATAATTCAATTCAGAAAATTGGATGCTGAAGCCTTTGACTCTGATGTAATGGTAGTACATGAGAGGCTGGGGTTATATACATGCATACTTGTTTGGGTCTGTGTGTACAACAGAACTCTTACCTGGAATTTGAGCATTTAACTTAAGTTACACAGTAAGTGACACATGCTCTTAAAGGCCACACATCTGTATGTGAGCTGCTCTAGAGGGAACATTTGTAGTTCGTATGACCAGTGAAGGAGGAAGTGAGCTACTAGTGTCTGCAATTAAAATCTAGTGGCACCAAAGATGTAACCTTCTTACAAAGACATTTATTAGCCACGCTCTTATTTTGAAAGAAGAAGCACCAAAGCTGAATTTCTGGTTTAATATATACGTTCACTGCTACACCCGACCTCTGAATATATAACCTACCAGTCAACTACATCTGTGGAAAACATCTTGATGTGTACAATGTTTGGGGACAAAGTGACAACAGCGCAGATCCAACAACACATGCAGGTTTCTGAATATATGTTTTTGAGGTGTTCATTTTTATGTATGCACTCTTCCATCTCACCTTCCTCTTGGCAGATGCCCTTGTATTTAACAATGTTTTCATGGTAGAGTGCCTTCAGGATGTCGATCTCACTCGAGAGGTTGTTGCTCTGCTCCTCCCGGTTCTCTGGCTTCAGGGATTTGACTGCCACCAGCTCACCTGTTTTATCTCCCCGAGGATCATAGCGGCACAGCTCCACCTTACCGAAGTGGCCCTGCGTAAGGAACATGTGACAAAGTCGAGTTATTCGGAAGAGCATGAATGACTTCTCATCTACTTCCTGTGTGGGATCAGTTGTTTCTTGTCATTGCCGCAAGTCCTTCAGTTCTGTTCAGTTCTCTTGATTATCTTTGGTGTCAAGATAAAATTGTCTTCTATGTGTTTTTTAGGATCACCTGAATGATTATACTCCAGGTGGCATATTTGTTATAATAACAGTATGCTGAGAAAGAAAGAGCTCATACTCACTAAACTACTGGCAGGTTATTATAGATTTTATGCAAAATATTTACCAGTGCATGTAAACTAAATGGCCAAGTTGGGTTTATTTGTGCACTTGGAAACCATCAGTCTTATAAATGGTAACATCTGCTATACAGAGATTAACACAACTGTGTAAATACAGCAGGAACAGTTTACCTCTCCCAGGTCTCTGATCTTCTTCAGGAATCTCTTTTCAAACACAGTTGGGTCCACCTCTGGTGTGGGCTGGGGTTTGATAGATGGGTCTAAGTGAAGGGGGAAAGAGAAACAAATACATTAAACATGGCAGGTAAAACATGTCTTTTCTTCAACATGAGCACACTTGCGTCATAGGAAGTGTATTGTGGTTGACAGTGTCAACGTTTTCACTAGAATTTTCTGTGGTAATGTTACTGCTCGCCTGCTCTAGTTTCCACACAAATGGCTACTTTTACTGGTAAAATGCATTACTCAAGCGAGACTCATTCTGCGTCACCATTGTCAGTGATTCTTAAATAGTTTACTTAACCATAACAGTGTTTTAAATCTAATTTTCAAGCCTTTTATGGGTGAAACTTATAGGAGATTGGTATTCCAGTTAGGGTGACTTTATAGCTGTTTTGGGGTTAATATAAGAAGGTCATTGGGTAAATTAAATAAGCTTTAAGCTTCAGTGAGACTGACTGCACTGTCCACTTCTGGCCAGCAGGTGGAAGAAGAGAGTCGATTATGTTGCCATGGGGCCCAGCTGAGGGGCAGATCAGTGATAATGCACCCAGTGAACTTCCTCATGAACATCTGAGTTAAGTAAACAAGTCTCTCTCTCTTTGCACTGCGTACTGGGCCGCTGCTAGGTGAGAAACAAAACATGCAAAACATTCATCATATTCCAACTGTAGACAACTGCCTTGAATTTTTGAACCTGTTCCTGCTTTTAGCCTGTTGTGCAGGGTACACTTGATCCTGTTCAACTCCAACATGTATTTTAGGAACCAAATCAGGCTGACAAAATGGCAGATAAAACTTCATATCTGCCTCTTTATATGAAAATACCCAATGTATAACGTACAGTACACACATTCCCCCAATACATACTCTTCTCCTCTAGCATGTCTATGTCTCTGACGATGGCCCTGAAGAAAGGTCTCTTCTTGGGGTCGTAGTTCATGCAGTGGGTCATCAGCTCTGCCAGCTCTTTGCAGTCTGGGGTGGCCAGTTGGCACTCTGTTTCATAAAACCTCTCCTTCTGCTCAGCACAAACACATACATGATAATGCAGTGAGAAAATGAACAGGATAGCCACCAGATTTAGAAAAAAAGATTAGTTTAGATGTATGGATGATTACATAGAGTCACTGTCAGATAAAGTTTTTGTGAGTGCCCTCTACCTCTGTGAGTTTCTTGTCTTTGAGAGGGACCTCTCCATCATAGCAGATCTCCCACAGCGTAGTACCGAAGCCCCATTTGTCGGCTGCGATGCTCAGGGAGGACACACTCTTCACACACTCGGGACCGATCCACGGGATACGATGCACACACTCTGCAGAGGCAATCAAAGTCAGCTTTAGCATCAGTGGATCAATTAAGCACATATTTGTTACAGTCCCAAAATTCCGTAAAAACAAAAGTTGACTATTGGAGATGTGTGAAATCAGGAACACGGGAATTCTGAACTGAAATGTTTGACAGCGGTAAAGATGAGTGATGATACCGTCAAAGGATAACCTTGCAATTTAAGATGTGATCATGGGAATGTTTCCTCCAATATTACCATGAGAGAAATACTGACTTCACTTTTGAACAAAGGTACAAACATGTAATCACTGACCTTATTACACAAAAGCGTTCAATAGGCACACCTGTATTTATATTTGTGCACAACAGTTTCTCTACATATTCGTATATAAGAATATTAAGACAGGTAGCTTTCGTGATACTGTCTTCTGACAGGTTTTTTTCTCTCTTTGGTGGTGGGTCGTCTTTACTATTGCTTTGTTGTAATTTGCTCCACACAATAAAGCGATCCATTGTCCTACTCATGGCGTCTCCTTTTAATTGTTATCATCCCTCACACTGGCTGCCAATCAGGGTTTTTGATGTGTCACACACTTAAAATTCCTGCATGCAAACAATGAGAAATAGGTTCCCAGTGAAGTTTTTTTTTTTTTTTTAAATTAAATTAAAATAAATTACATTGTTTTAGCTAGATTTTGCCTCTTCATTAGAAAATGGGCGCACACAACATACTGATACAGTCAATTAAAAATACATTCCACCAGTGCACCATGGCACACTATTATGACCACAACAGCCCTGACATTATCAGGCTGTAACAATTTTATTTCTATCTAAGTTATTTTCTATCTAAGTTTTGGGGTCTACCAATGTTCTACAACAACTGAAGTGCCATTTTTTTCATCCATGTTTGCATTTTATTTTTTTTAGTGCTGTCATTCTTTTTCTACATGTCGCAATTATGTTGAGTAAAATTTCTCTTCATGGTATCTACTTCCTGTCTGTCTACCCTGGATGCCTCCTTACCTCTTGTCCATATCGTGGGTCTACTGATAGAGCACAGTGTACAGTATGTTGTGCAGATTGTTAAGTCCTTTAAGGAAAATTTGGAATTTTGTGATTATTTCACTCCAAATAATCACAGGTCAATCAACAAGACATTGTTAAATAAGTTCTGTTATTTAAAGACATGAAACTAGAAGTGTTATTTTTGAGAGCTGATGTATCAGAATCAGCATAATTGGTCAAGTATGTGCACACTACACATACACTACACATACATTTCTTGTATGTGTAGTGTGCACATACATTTCTTGTATGTGCACACTACACATACAAGAAATGTGACTCTCTGGCTTAAAAGTTGCTCTTAATGTTCCCATACACTGAATTATTGTGTACATACAAGTACTGTAGGTGAAATATAGGTGTCCAGGTGTAAGTATAAATACACACAATAAGCCACAACATACAATGTCTACACAAGAGTAAAATTTTCTGTAGACTGTAAATAAAAACAAATTGTGCAAATTAATAAATGTTGTATGCATAAAGTACTAGATCACTTTATATACATGAAAACAAGGTGGTTATGTGCGGTATATACATGTATGTTTACAGTAGTATGTAAAGATTTATACATGCATACATGTTGAAGCAGAGTATGCATTATAAACTTTAAATATATATAGTTCTTACACAATGTGTGTGTATATAGTTTATAATTTGTTTGTTTCAGTGTTATGTATTTATTGACACTATATGATCAGTATGGTCACTTTCACCAAATGCTAACAAGATCTGTCATGCAAAAACACTATCTAAAAGTAATAGTTACGGCGAGACCTCGTGGATCTGAGCCAACATACTCTCACCATGCTCCAGATACCAGGAACGAACAGTGAAAAACAGTGCGCCTCTGACAGGCTGACTGGGCGGCCGGCTGGCTTAAAATGTTGACTGACTGACTGCATTCACTGAATCTAAAAGCCTTGGCTGAAATATATTACTCTGACTGGAAGACATGCTAACTGATTAGCTGACGTCCACTGCTCGCTTTTTGGCTCCACAAATCCATAACATCAGGTAAGGGGCGTATATTAGTAAGTGCATGCAGCTCAGACTGGAACTCTGGGGGACTGACTGGAGGGAAAGAGGAGAAGGAGGAGGAGGAGTGAAGAAGGGACCAAGTAGTGAAGGGGCTGAATGGAGCAAAGGGGGGAGATGGAGATGGAGATGGAGACAGAAATGGGAGCTGGGAAGGAGATAAGTGACTGAGATAAGGACAAAAGAAAGAGAAAAAAGTAAGAAAGTGATGAACAGATTTGAGGGTAAAGTGATCAGAGATTGCTGGGAAGCAAGGAAGAGCGCTCCCAGTGGGTTTCTCAGCACTTTACCCACTATGCGTTCAATCAAATCTATATACAAGGACATTGATGTGTAACTGGAAGACTGATTGTTCTGAAAAGTGATGGAGGCAGAACAAGAAATGTAAAGAGTTCTGGGAACAAAGAGGGAGGGAGGAGCATTCCCAGGGGCGTGCTGCGATGGACATTTGCAGAGAGACATTTCCAGTCTGTTCCGTGGTTTGCAGGTCCATCTGTGCAGCCACACCGCGTTACACCAAACATCTTCTAGCTCTAATTGACAAACAGAAACATGAGGTGGCCATTTGAGGGGAACTGTGCAATCTGAGAAATGGCCTTATTATTGTGCCGTCTTCCCTGAACCCAGATCTGGCATTTACAAAACAAATCAGTCTGAAAGGGAAATGTGCCTGATGCAATGTGTATTGATTATGTGACAAATCTGAATCCCACTGCTGTCATCCTCCGCTTGTTTAAAAATGTGTCCTTTGTTTGTGCTGTCCTTCTTTAGTTTCCTTTTCCCTTTTCTCTGTATTTTGTGGGAGGAAATTAGTACAGAGTATGACAAAACAAGACAACTAGAATTACCACCTCCTGATTGTATGGCTCCACCAACCAGTCACTCCATGTCTGTCCAGTATCATATAATATATGCAGCGATGAATTTAAAGGAGGGAAAAGAACAGTATTGCCTGTATTGTTTTGGCGAAATGGAAGAGATATCGCTTTCACAAGGATGGGATAAACGGATGGACTGACAACCCAAAAACAAAATGGCCCCCGCCACGTTTGTTGCTGGTGTGGAGACATAAAAATCTCACTCAGACAGGGCAGCACAGCACTGGTGCCGGAATAGGGGGGACATATTGATCTGTTCTGTGCGACATCTATTGCATGTCTGTCCATCCTGGAAGAGGGATCCCTCCTCAGTTCTCTTCCTGAGGATTCTACCATTTTTTTCCCTGTTAAAGGGTTTTTTGGGGGAGTTTTTCCAAAGGACAGAGGGATGTTGTATGCTGTAAAGCCCTGTGATTTGTGATATTGGGCTTTATAAATAAAATTAAATAAATTGAATGAATCAAGATTTTTGGTCCCCCTACACAAGAAGAGACCACAGGCTCTACTATCATGAACCAAGCAGCATGGCCAGAGCACAGCCAGGTGGGCCCTGCAAAGTGCGTCTCGAGCATGTCACACACTTGGTTTTTCCATGATCAGGCTGCTGTGGTGCGTCTTTTGTGTACTTGGACACCAGTGGGAACAGAAAGAACGTATTATTATTGGTAGGTACATTAATCACAGGGCTTTCTCCATTATTACGCACTGACTGTTTAGGAACCCTGCAGAGTTTTCCTCAGAGTAAACTTATTGTTGTTCTGGCGAGAAATTATTTTTATTATTTTAGTTTTGAATCCGAACAATCTCTATCACATCATGTTGCTCATCACAATCTCCCATGCACTTGTATTTTAAATAAAAATGGTGAGCTCTAGGCAATATTTTGGCTAAGATGACGTGCAGCCGTTACTCTGCTTAACCGATGTTTAGGATGGAGACACTGGGGGAAAGACTGACAGGAACCAACAGTCTTGAGAGAATTATAAGCAGAGAGAGATGTTTTAAGAGATTCGCAATTTTTCATGGAGCTGTGTGAACTGTTTTAAATGCATACTTTGATGTGGAGAATAAACTGTGGAGAATCATTCATCAGAACGACATGTTTGATGCGCACAAAAGCACAAAGGGTCTTTGGTTTTTCTACAACAGTCTGAAGCTGGTTGCATGAAATGTAAGTAGCAGATCTACCATTTGTACACAACATCACTCCAGTTAGAGCCTGCAGATGGAGCAGATACCTGCTGCCTGCATATAGCTAAAAGGAGAGTCGCCAGTGTAATGGAAAAGCCTTCAGTATATAGTACTACGGTGCATCAGAGAACACGAGTGTTGATATCTACATGTTGAAAAGAACCTTTCCGAGCACCTGCAAGCTATTACAGCTGTAGCGACTACTATCAATGACAAAAGCCGCTAAGAGGTTAAGCAGACATGTAACTGTGACTCATTGAAAGAAATCCATGCTGAATCCACCGATGCCTTTTAAGTTGATTAATTCGACAAACAACTTACTGAAGCAAAACGAGATGAAATGTTATGTCTTGTGATTACATGCCACGCCAGTGAGTGAACAGGTAAAAGAATGTGAAACCACACCCACACCTGTGCCAATTACTACCAAAAGTGAAAGAGAACAAAAGAATGTGTGCAGCCTAAACAAATAATAAACAACAAGGGTTTAATACACATTCTGGCTCCTACAATAGCAGTAACTACCAGAAAGAGCCCAAACTCGGTTAGAGCACCTCATGACATGACATCATGAAATGTTACCTACATTTTTTGGCTTTTTTTTTTTTTTTTTTTTTTAACTTTTTGTGTCTTTGAAGTGCTAGTTCATAACCAAAATATATATTAGAAATTAATCTAACCACTCTGTTATAATTTTAGTTAAACTTTATTACATGTAGTTGTATAATTCTGTTCTCACTTTGGTTTCACTGTCATTTACAGCTGACTGGGACAGAAAGTGGAAGCTATTAAGACATTTTCCATGGTAGCTATTTTGTAACCATTTAGGTTTCACTTTTGGTAACCCAGAGACAGACAGAGACAGACACACAAAGGAAAAGACAGACAGAGAAAGAAGGAGAGTGAGAGAAAGAAGGAGTATATGTGTACTTTGTACTCACCCTCTCTGGTGAGCACTGTGATTGGTATTCCCGGGTCGCTGAGCTTGATGAAGGGCCCTCCTTCATCAGTGCCCAATCCGTCTCTGGCCAGCAGGATGTTTTTAGCACACACAAAGCCATGGACCAGCTTTTTGTCCTCCTACAAACACACACACACAAAATGCAACAAATCTATTAGTCCAACAACGAGAAATAAAAATAAAGACAAAGATATAATGACTGTGTTGACAAAATTAGTCTAACATGGTGCAGGTAATCCCATAGATGCTTACAACCCTAACATTCTTATCATTCCTATAGTTTGTGTGTGTTTGGTGTGTTTTCCTGTCTCACCAAGTAGCTGAGAGCTGAGGCCAGCTGCTTGGCCACCTGGAACTTCCATGGTGTGCTGAGTGGGCTCTGCTGTCTCCTCATAAATAAATCCAGTGGTCCTAGCTGAACAAACTCCTCAACCATGATGTCTGTTCCACACAAACACAGAAACAAAGGCGTTAGAAACAGCCCCACATGCTCATACACACGTACACACACAGTTCTATTAACATGCACTTACTCTCCTGGTGGCGGACACACACTCCATACAGCAGCACTATGTGCTTATGGGAAACTTGTCGCATCATGCTGGCTGTTTCGAAGAAGGCCTGTCATCAGGAAGACAAAGATGACTCAATGCTCACCACATTACAGGAACTGGTATGGTCTGTTTAGATTTTAACACAGCTTGTTGCTAATAAATATTAGCTTTCGGTATGTTTAGATGTTACAGAGTGGATATAGTCCTCATGAGGATCTGTGAGTGTGTCTTACCAGGGAGATGTCCCTGTGTCCAGAACCCAGCACCTTCAGGACCACCTTGACCTCCTGGAAGGATGAGTACCCTGCATCCTCCTCCGCCTCCTCACTCTTCACCCTCAGTGTGCCTGAGTAGATGTTGGTTTTCGTGCCTCGGCCAAGGTGCTCCTCCTGGTTAACCCAACAGAGAAAGACAATACTTTAATCCAGAATTCAAACTATGATTACACAAACAGAGCCTCTGAGACTTTTATTACATGTATTTTCAGTCCAGAGAAAGAGCCTTGGTTAATGTTTCTTTATTCCATGTGTGCTGGAGGAAAAGTAACCTCCACTTGTGAATGCTTATTTAAAATGAGGAGACAAGTGCTTAAAGGTAGACAGAAATAAGTTCAACTGTGTGCTCTGCAAGGAATATATGTAAAATTTGTAGTATGATTTATAGAAATATATACTACAGAAGATACACAAGTTCACAGAGTCAAGATATTGTCTGCATAAGGCTGATGAGGGTTTTTTTTTTTTAAATTGCATTAAAAAAAAAGATTAAATAATTTAATGATTTAATGAAAATCGAGTTTCTATTTAAAGTCCGCCACCACCGCGACTCCCATAGTTCAGAGTGGGCTGACACCCCCCCTCCCCGCGAGCGGGGAAGAACTCATTCTCAAGAAAGTGAACGAGTTCTTCAGCGCTTTTGTGTGCACACCTGTGTCTGTGTGCTCACCTGTGTGTGTGTGTGTGTGTGTGTGTGTGTGTGCACGCGCATCAGGGCCAAACTCAGCCGTGCGCAACACAGAGAGCAGAGGAGGATTTTAGACACGCACTGTGTAGGGACAGAAATGACATGCCGTTGTGTAAATAAGATAAATAAGTGTTACCAACGCCAAGCTGGCAGACCCCCGAACCGTAGTAAAGGGACCTCTGAAGACCATTAGCTCTTTTAGCTTGTGTTAGCTCATTGTGGCAACAACACATCAACAACGGGACTTCATCTGCGTTAAAGAACGGCACTTTATTTTCAGCACTGCAGGGATGATGCACAGCCTCTCTCATCAGTGTCTGACTTTCACATAGAGGGAAATAACTCAAAAACAGCATGCAGAACTGCGTAGGCTCCTTCACTGTGGCTGCTCGATGTAAACAACATAGAACATGCCTCACTTTCTTCCTGGGGCGCATCAGTCTGCAGTCGCCATGTATATTGCAAGAGATATGGTGCCCATATATAGGCTGAAAGTTTTGGACCCCAGGTATGTGCTACCAGGCCGCAAATATTTTTTTTTAAGTAGGAGGGGAAAAAAATCGATTTAAATCGTTTATCGGATTTTTTTTTTTAGGCCACATCGCCTAGCCCTAGTGTAAGGTCAACTGGATTACTGCGAATATGAATGGGGGGGAACATACTGTACCATTTCAAAAAAAACAAACACCTTGATAACAAATGCAGAGGTCTGTGATAGTATAATTTTAGTTATTTGTGTGTAGACTCAATGGTGCTTTATTTTGAGGCTGTACTTTGTGGTGGTCATGTAGAAGACCACATTGTACTTAAGGTGATTCTATTTCTATTTTATGACAGAGCATTGTTGAATACTTGATTCTAACTGGTCAATAATGGCATTCTGTGGTCTCTTATTCCGAATAGTAGACTGCTGCTATGATAAACAAGCTGTAGCTCTGAAGGGATGAAAAAAGAAGGTTTAGGTTCAACAACACTATTACGGCTGCCCACTAATAGTCAACCAAACGTTAGTCGACAGAAAGGTCATTGGTCGGCAAGATTTCATTGGTCGTTTTATTGTCAAAATAAATCAAAACCTATATGACTGGACCATGTGGGAAATTAATTTGAAGGGACAGACAGAGGAAGTGGCCACGCTCAGCAGTCAGACAGGAGTCATGTTACAAACCAATCACAGCCGACAGATGTATTTCCCTTTTTCTGTAAATATTCAGTCTCAGACGCAACTTGCCGCCACACTCTTGAAAGCTGGCACAGAAAAGGCACAAGAGTAGCAACCAACGCCCAACCTCAAGATGCGGCATGTGTACGGCCTCTAATTTCCAGGGCTGGTACCTGCGGTTATTACACAGGCTAGTTAATAACATGTCGGGCAGGAAATCCAAAGTGTGGGATCATTTTGAGAAGGTGAAGGACGAACCCAAGGTGATAGGTACACTCATCTTCATTGGTCGACTACAAACATGACGTATCATCTGTAACATGTAAGTAGCTACATGCCCATTAGCCACTTAGCACAATCATTACTGCTTTGCCGACAGCGTCATTGACAGGCGGCTCGCTCAGTGTGTGACGTTGTAGATAAAATATAGGCCTATATTAATGAAGGTTCATTAGTGTGGTTTTGTATTTCTCTGTAATGTAGCACAGTGTTAACAATGTTACTGATACTATTCTTTCTCACACCTTGAACTCAAACCATTGTGTTGCCCCGCCCAAAATACGCAACAATAATTAAATTAAAGCTGCAGTAAGTAGAAAGCCTGAAAACGGTTGATTTTTGAGTCTCATCTGAGTTAGGTTTCGTTCGTCTCCGCCCTGAGCCCCTCCTACCAGACAAGCATGCGAGTATTTTATCCTACTTGGTTCTATTTCTTCCTCTCTGGGAGCCTCGGCTCTCCCTCACCGCGCAGCAGCCCTCCCCATGCCTCCCTCGGGGCCCGCACATACTCCCGAGCCTCGGCTCTCCCTCACCGCGCAGCAGCCCGCCCCATCCCTCCCTCGCGGCCTCGCACATATACCCCCGAGGCTCGGCTCTCCCTCTCCGCGCAGCAGCCCGCCCCATCCCTCCCTCACGGCCCCGCACATACCCCCGAGGCTCGGCTCCCCCTCTCCGCGGAGAGCCTTTGCGCCCTCCGGCCGGGCCCGGCCCCACCTCACCCTTCCCCTCCCTCCGGGGCTCCAGGAAACCGTGTTCTGTCTTCCTTTTTTTGGGTTGTTTAGCCGTGTAGGCAGTTGTAGCCAATGCTGGAATAGCTATTTTACCTGGTGCACTGTTCGCCATTACCGCTTGCTCTCCCCTTCTGCCGGCGGCACAGGAACGCGCATATGTAGTAGAACAGCCAACAGGAACGCAGTGGTCTGAGCTGACCTTTCATTGGTTAATGCACATCGGCACGATACTGATTCTTTAGAGGCTGAACACAGAGCCATGGTGAGGTGCATTTTTTGATTGAAGCATGTGTGTAAAAAAAAAAAAAGTCTAATGGCCAGTCAAAAAGGGAAGTAGATCATCGTACGCTGGTCTACTGCTCTGACCCTATTTGTGTCAAAAGTGGGATTGTGCATACCAAGCCGTGCATTATCGCAGGGTTTATTTTGCAAAATAATGACCCACTCACTACACATTAGCCCACTTATTATCACCATCATTTACATATACAACATGCAGATCACTGGAAGCTCTAACTGAATCATAAGAAAATGTAATACATTGTGTGGACTTATTTTTTCATTATTTATTTGCATCTTTACATGTCCATACATCCTATAACTCAACTGTATTACTATAACAACATAGGAGACAGACATAAATATAAGAAGGTGTACCTGTTCAATCTCCTCCTTAAGAATGCGATGGAAGCTGAGCTGACTGTCCTGCATAGGTGTCGGAGGGGTCGGCGCTCTGTCTTTAGTGACCACCAGCAGGTTAGAAATCTCTGCAACACAAACACAAACACAAACACACACACAGGATTTCTGTATAAAGTTGTGTATACTTTTTCACAAGTTTTCCAAAGTTTGAAAAGTGTTTTTTTCTTCTTTGTCAAAATCAAGCCGCAGAAAATTGACAATTGTTTTTTCCCTCACAGAAAATGTGATGCCTGCTTGTTTTGTTGTGAAGGTCATGCTATTGTAACACTGTCAGAAGATGACTGATTGAAAAACTCACACAACAATGCACTCTGGAAACAATAAAAGCAGGTGTGATGTTCACCGCGAGGTAAACTTGGGTTGAAGTGTCACAGCACCCACGGATGCTGCAAATGTATAGAGGCTTCTATACATACTGGTGTGCTCAGTGTTGAAGGCAAAACTGTGTTTACATGTGGTAAAATAAGCTCTCAACAATTACGTCAATGTGGCAATGATGTGAGCAGCTATTCAGGTCGGGTTGCCATACTGATTCAGTCTATTTTTTGTATATACAGAGCTGTGTGTGGGAGGATGAAGTGAAAATGTGTCTCTGTGCCTGTCGCCGTACTATATGTGCGTGTGTGTCTGCATGTGTGTGTCTGTGGGCGTCTAATGTTGTGACAAAAACCAGTGCACTGTGGTTTAAGGGGGAAAAAGTATCTGCACTCCATCAGCATCACCCTACATTCACTGTCAAAGAGTGTTAAGAGCATTGTTGCGTAACATGCAATCCGGGTTTTTATGCAGAACTTGAATACAACATGCACCCATGAATTACTCTGCATAAAGTCCTTAAGCCCTTCACTTAATCCAGGCCTTACCTTTATTATTTACATCAACACTAAGGCAGCATGATCTCATTCAGACTTGCTTATGTTTAAAACCCAAACTCTAGCGACAGCTATACACCCCTGCTCAAGCTCAAGCCACACAGTCCTTTCATTCATTATCAGTTAAAACAACAAAAGTAAATTGTGTGCATCATATTCTTGGGATGTTGGGACACCAGTGTGTTGTTGTCAAAACAAGGACGTTGTATAATGCATCATTAATATTTTAACAGGGACAACAACGCAGCACTCCAGTCTTTTATCTTCCTCTAAGGCAGATAAAGCTAAAACCCCCAACCCCAAACAGTTGTGCCTTATGATAATAATCAACACTGCACAATCCCAACAAACATAAACAGCACGAAACATCCATGCTTGCACACACACGCATACATGGCTCCACCTTTCCCTGAGCGAAGTAAACACAAGAGTGCTAGCTTGGCGCCGGAAACCCACATTTACAACTCTCTTCCTCCTTGACACCATTTCACAAAGACACACACACACACACACACACACACACACACATTGTTCATGCCAGATTCAGTTACCTTCAGTTAGCAGAAACACAAACACATGCACACACATACATGCACACTTTTTGTGAAGGGCAACTACGCTCTAAATCCTGTACGCAGGCAATGCTTCACTGACCTCTAGGGTTTGACAGGTTCAAGTCTGCTGCACTTCTGAGCCCACCCAATACCAAAGTAAGGTGTGGTCTGTTGTACGTGCTAGCACACCAAGCAGTGATGCAGCATTGCATATAATAGTGCTTAAAGAACTGTTGTTCTGCACAAGGTGTGGACTTGGGATGCAGAAACTGGTAGATGCTAGAGCAAGCAGGATTTTCAGTCTACAGTAGCATTTATGTGTGAACACTGCAGGCTGTTCAAAGCATTTTTTCTTAAGCATGTGTTGTTGCTTCTTGTGATGAGGAGCATGGAATCAATGTATCAATTAATCTTAACCACAACCAGGAAAATGGTTTTCTGAATATGCTCTTTTTACAGCCATCATAATAGATTGCTTTTTTCATTTATAATAAATAAAGGGTGCACATGCTGCAGGGGGGTAGAAAACATGTCACCACACTGTCATGATAGCTTTTATAAGGACATTTCAGTATTAATTAATGAAGAAACTTGCTGTAAACCAGTAGTCTTTTACCTCTTTAACCTCTCTTTGAGGTTGAAGAAGGTGCCTGACCTATGGCAGACCTCCTGCATCGTCCCAGTACCTAAGAAAGGACGTCCCAGCACTCTGAATGACTACAGGCCGGTGGCGCTAACGTCACGTCATGAAGACATTTGAGAGGCTTGTTCTCCAGCACCTGAGGCCACTGCTCTCTGCCTTCCTGAACCCCCTGCAGTTTGCTTACCAGCAGCACACTGGTGTGGAGGATACCATCATCTTCCTCACTCACAAGGCCCTGTCTCACTTGGAAAGCGCTGGAAGCACTGTGAGAGTGATGTTCTTTGACTTCTCCAGTGCCTTCAACAGCATTCAACCCAGCCTCCTGAGAGACAAGCTGCTGGATATGCAACTTCACCCGGACATCACTGCCTGGACTTTGGATTACCTCACAGGCCGGCCGCAGTACGTCAGGGTGGATGGCTGCGTATCTGAGGTGGTGTCCAGTAACACTGGGGTGCCCCAAGGAACTGTTCTGGCACCATTCTTTTTCACCCTCTACACCTCTGATTTCCGGTTCAATTCTGGTTCCTGCCATCTCCAAAAGTTTTCCGACAACCCCTCTATAGTCGGATGCATCAGCAATGATGATGAGGAGGAGTACAGAGGACTGATTGAGAGCTTTGTCGTGTGGAGCAACCTTGGGGTCCACAACAACAATAAACTGGACTGGACTAACACAGATGCCCTCTATAGGAAAGGACAGAGCAGGATGTTCTTCCTGAGGAGACTCAGATCATTTGGCGTCTATAGTGGGCTCCTCAAGACCTTCTACCAGTCTATGGTTGCCAGTGCACTCTTCTTTGCTGTAGTGTGCTGGTGGGGTGGAGTTAAGACTGGTGAGGTCAACAGGCTCAACAAGCTTGTGAGGAAAGCACGCACTGTGGTGGGACTGGACCTGGACAGTCTGGAGACAGTGGCTAAGAGGAAGGTGAAGGAAAAAATCTGTGCAATACTGGACAATCCTTATCAACCTCTGCAAAAAGAGCTGTGGCTGATGGGCAGCTCATTCAGCCAGAGGATTATCCCACCCAAGAGCAGAACTTAACGATTCAGACGCTCTTTTGTGCCCATCGCCATCAGACTGTACAACAGCGGTTTGGCTTAAGCAACATCCAGCTCTGAAGTGACTTATTTTGACTAACTTTATGTCATTCAACACTTTGTCTGCCATTTTTGTAGTCACTTTATTCATCTGTTGTAGCAATTTTATTGATGTAGCAATTTTATTTTATCTTTTATTTATCTACTATTATCTTTAATTTTTACATGTTTTTCTTCTCTTTAATCTTATTCTATTTAATGTCCTTTGATTTTGTCTTGTGCTGCTGTGATACTTGAATTTCCCCCCTGGGGAATCAATAAAGTATATCTTATCTCATCTTATCTTAAAATTACTCAAGATTGAATTTGTGTGTAGCATCCACATTTCCTGTTTTTTTTTTTCGTATGAGTCTACTGTAACATAGGCATATATTAAATTCCTGCTGCTATTCATCATAGGCTCTCAGTCATTCTGGGTTGTTTTCTTTACCCCCACATGCACACCTCTCAGGAGTCTTTTATCACATCTATCACACTTCTTGTGATACTTGAACCACAAGTGCTTAAAATAGCTTTCATTTATATATACATATATACAGTACAGGCCAAAAGTTTGGACACACCTTCTCATTCAATGTGTTTTCTTTATTTTCATGACTATTTACATTGTAGATTCTCACTGAAGGCATCAAAACTATGAATGAACACATGTGGAGTTATGTACTTAACAAAAAAAGGTGAAATAACTGAAAACATGTTTTATATACTAGTTTCTTCAAAATAGCCACCCTTTGCTCTGATTACTGCTTTGCACACTCTTGGCATTCTCTCCATGAGCTTCAAGAGGTAGTCACCTGAAATGGTTTTCCAACAGTCTTGAAGGAGTTCCCAGAGGTGTTTAGCACTTGTTGGCCCCTTTGCCTTCACTCTGCGGTCCAGCTCACCCCAAACCATCTCGATTGGGTTCAGGTCCGGTGACTGTGGAGGCCAGGTCATCTGCCGCAGCACTCCATCACTCTCCTTCTTGGTCAAATAGCCCTTACACAGCCTGGAGGTGTGTTTGGGGTCATTGTCCTGTTGAAAAATAAATGATCGTCCAACTAAACGCAAACCGGATGGGATGGCATGTCGCTGCAGGATGCTGTGGTAGCCATGCTGGTTCAGTGTGCCTTCAGTTTTGAATAAATCCCCAACAGTGTCACCAGCAAAACACCCCCACACCATCACACCTCCTCCTCCATGCTTCACAGTGGGAACCAGGCATGTGGAATCCATCCGTTCACCTTTTCTGCGTCTCACAAAGACACGGCGCTTGGAACCAAAGATCTCAAATTTGGACTCATCAGACCAAAGCACAGATTTCCACTGGTCTAATGTCCATTCCTTGTGTTTCTTGGCCCAAACAAATCTCTTGTGCTTGTTGCCTCTCCTTAGCAGTGGTTTCCTAGCAGCTATTTGACCATGAAGGCCTGATTCGCGCAGTCTCCTCTTAACAGTTGTTCTAGAGATGGGTCTGCTGCTAGAACTCTGTGTGGCATTCATCTGGTCTCTGATCTGAGCTGCTGTTAACTTGCCATTTCTGAGGCTGGTGACTCGGATGAACTTATCCTCAGAAGCAGAGGTGACTCTTGGTCTTCCTTTCCTGGGTCGGTCCTCATGTGTGCCAGTTTCGTTGTAGCGCTTGATGGTTTTTGCGACTCCACTTGGGGACACATTTAAAGTTTTTGCAATTTTCCGGACTGACTGACCTTCATTTCTTAAAGTAATGATGGCCACTCGTTTTTCTTTAGTTAGCTGATTGGTTCTTGCCATAATATGAATTTTAACAGTTGTCCAATAGGGCTGTCGGCTGTGTATTAACCTGACTTCTGCACAACACAACTGATGGTCCCAACCCCATTGATAAAGCAAGAAATTCCACTAATTAACCCTGATAAGGCACACCTGTGAAGTGGAAACCATTTCAGGTGACTACCTCTTGAAGCTCATGGAGAGAATGCCAAGAGTGTGCAAAGCAGTAATCAGAGCAAAGGGTGGCTATTTTGAAGAAACTAGAATATAAAACATGTTTTCAGTTATTTCACCTTTTTTTGTTAAGTACATAACTCCACATGTGTTCATTCATACTTTTGATGCCTTCAGTGAGAATCTACAATGTAAATAGTCATGAAAATAAAGAAAACGCATTGAATGAGAAGGTGTGTCCAAACTTTTGGCCTGTACTGTATATATATATATATATATATACGCATATACATATACATACACACACACACACACACACACACATATATATATATATATATACACACATATATACATATATATATATATATATACATATACATACACATATATATATAAAGGTCTTAAAAATACTTTTCTGCTTGGATTCACAATGGTCTTTCACTATTTTCTCTATTGTTAGATTAATATTATTTGGTGTAACTGCTGTAGGGGAATACAAAAAAACAAACCGAATAGGAATGCATATTGTACATTTTAGAGTCAGCCATTTTGTATTTAGTTATTTGAAGTTCCTTAAAAGCAAGGGTTACTTGAAAATGTAGGTCTAAGTTGAGTCGTTTCAACATTCATGAATTTGTAGTACTGTGTGCTTCCCCTCTTATTTTGGTATTGTGTGTTGGGTGCATTTGCCTTTGAGTTGATCACCATGTCACGTTCTAGGCCTGTGACAGTATTAAGCCTACCTCTAGGCTGTGGAGGGCAGCAGCGCAGCAGCTGGAACTGGAGGTTGTCGGTGCGGAGGTTTTGGCCCTCCAGGTGCTCCAGCAGCTCAGCAAGATTGGGACGAAGAGTCTCAGTGCCGTAAAGGCGGAACCCATCTGAGCCCACCTCAATCTGGAAGTTCTTATACTGACGCACAGGGCGAGACTCCTTCAGGTCAATCTGGATGCAGAAAGAGAGAGTTTTTAATTGGTCAAGAAGGTTTAACTTCAACTTCAACCATATGTTTGTCCCTGGAGGGCAAATGGTAATACAGGAAGTAAAGGGCAAGAGTGAACAGTAGACACTGGAATACTGCCACTGACATGCAAAAAATGTACTTTGCAAACTGAATGATGGTTTATATAGTTCTATTTAAGTTCTATGGACACATGTAAACACCACAGAGATGTGTCACTACTGTAAGCCATTAACATTTACTTAGTCCTCATATGAACTGTGACTGTAAACAGTGGTTAAGATAACCCACTGGGTCAGCTCTAAATGTCTGAATGAATGTGTGTGTGTGTGTGTGTGTGTGTGTGTTTGTGTCTGTGTTCCCTCCCATATTGACTCATAAGGCTGAGGTACACTGAAGTGACCTGTTTTAATTTAAGCATCCTGTAATATAATATAAAATGAACTGAAAATATTTGGTTTAGTGATTCTGTGTGTCTACGTGTGTCATTCACTCGGGTTAATGAAGAACCTACACAACATGACATGGCCTGACACTATGTTTTTCTCTAAGACATTTTAATGCAGAGAGGCCTGCAGATATTCAGTTGACACACAACTAAGATGGGAGTAGTCTTGATTCCGGTTGTGGTTTACAAAACAGGACCGACACTACAAGTTTTTGATTGCAACAAAAAAATGTATCTTATGAAAGTGATTACAACAGAACTAGGAAGAGTTTTTTTCTTCTTTAGTTTCTCAACAGCCACACCACCTTGTCAAGTTTGGGTTTTCTCTGAAATAATATTTTAGTTCAATTTCATTAATTTTTGGCTATAGAAACACGTATCCTTCTAACACATGTAACAACTATAATTTACTAATTATTACCCACTATGAGTCCAACAAGTATGGGGTAGCTGTAAAACAATTCATGGGGCTTATTTGTCAACTGCTGATTTCACTGCAGGATATAAATAAAATACAGCTTCCCAACATCTAATGAATTAAGGCGACACTACCTCGGTGCAGACCACCGTGATGATGATGTACTGGTAGTCAGTGCAGCTCCAGCGCAGGATGTAGGTGCCCTCCTCGTTGCCCTCCTGACGCAGCTTGTGGATGGCATACTCTGTGCTGGAGAGGGGAAAACACAGGAAATGGAGAGGTTCAATCAAAAGTAGACCAAAAGTTGTAAGTTAGAAAAAAGACCTAAATACAAGAAATGCATTCAATGCAAGAATTAATGTTATATTTGTAGTTTTATTTTCTTTCACGGTGTTTGTGGTCCGTTGTGAGCTGTACATTGGTGACCAAACCAGTTTCCCGTCTACAGATGAATAAAGTTATCTGTTTACCTGCTATTGCTTCATTTTGTGTGACTAAAATTTTCTGAAAATGAATACTATAGAAATATAGAACAACCAAACTGCCCTAATTAGCCACGAGCAGCAACAAAATCTAAATTTGGATAAACTTCAAACTGTAAAAATGGAAAGGTTGATAAACAAGATGAGCCTTTCTTACAAAACCTTAATTTAGACTGACTTTAAAAAGCAGTGGATTATCTCTCAAGCAGTGATCCAGGGGTCAAGCGACCCACGGGTTAGGCGGTTCGAGTAAGCTTGTTTGAAAATATAGCAGGTTTCGGGTGGGCAGGTCATTGCGTGGCAAAGCAATGTGCAATAGTCCACCTTCCACCTTCTCCTTACTTCTTTCTGTCTCTGTACGTCCCTCGGTCTCTGTCTCTTTCAAGCACACACAGCAAGCAGCTTTATCATCAGCGCTTCTGCAGTCAGAGTTACAATTTTTTTTTTTTTTTTTAACCATGAAAATATGGTTAAGTCGGATGTATTTAAATCCCTCTGCTTATTGTGTCCGGTAAAAATATTTCCATTGGAGAATATGTAGGCCTAATACTGTGTCCTAACAGCAATCAAACAGGTGTCTCTGAGTTGTTAAATATACACATATATTACATAAGGAAAAGAAACCACTGTACCTATCAGCTGTGCGCTCATGTAAACAAACCAGGTGGGACATGTATCAGTTGTTTGCTCGAGATCATGCTTCAGATGTAATCAGTTAAAAGATGCATGAGGACTTGCTATCTTACTACATCTGTACTTTTTCAACAGAAAACACACATTTTATATTGTGATATTTACTGAAAATGACATATAATATAGCCAGCGGGAAATAATTTCAGCTCCCATTTGCCTGTTCGCAGGTGAGGTTCGGTTAATTGATTACTAAGTTTGTGGATCAGGCAGGGCGGATTGGCTCTTATAATAGACAAGGATGGTGTGGGTTAAATACTAATCAGGGTCACTGACAGATGGTTAATGACTAATATGTGTAATAAGACTGCCTGTGTCCAGTAACACTTTGTGAGGAAACAGGCACATGCTTACACACACATTTACACCAATAAAACTACAAGTACTAACCAGATAGGTCCATGGCAGCTGTTTTTGGTATTGTGCACCACTGAAGCAGGGGCCACCTCCTTGCACAGGAAGTGATGAGCATCCACTGTCAGCCTGAAGTACCCGTCCACGAGGGCTGCGAAAGACAGAGCCTCATTCCTGGAAGGCATTTGCAGCTCCTGAAAAGAGAAGATACGAGGAGAGAGCGATAAAGAGAAGGAAGAGGAGGTGATTAGAATAGGAGCTATTAGAAAGCCACTGTACTCCAGAGAGCTATCTAAAGGAGCAGTGGTGTATTACAAAACTCCAAATCTATCATCATGATGAAGCATGATATCACCATTAGTCACGGCTGAAACCATCAGGCAAGAGGAAGGCAGAAACAAAAGTATCAACACAAATGAAGCCGTTCGTCACATTAACTATGGAAACAAGTCAAAGCAGTTGTCCAAGTTGTTAAAATATGCAAGAACAAGTGATCCTATTATGACTGTGCTAAGACTCATCACAATGGTATTGACTTTAACATGTAGACCTGAGGGCGCTTAAACAGCAAAGCCACAAGAATAATTTATTTTTTAAAACTGAATTCATAAATACCAAAACTTTGGCAGGTTCCTACACATTTTCAGTTTCAAAAGTCCAGCTTATTGCTTTTATATTTTAGAAATCTGAATACTGGCAACAGTCTTGAAATAAATATTGTGCCATACTCGCTTTTCTTTTTTTCATATTTATCCAGACCTGGAAATGACTAAAATCAAATTCCATGCTGCGTAGAAATGCTGTTAAAGAAAAAAATAATGGAACAATGATGGCAAATTCTGGTGTTAATATGAATGAATTAAGAAATTGTTAGAAGAAACCTGTTTTTGGATACTCAAAGACAACATTATAGAATATTTACTGTAAACACAGTTTGTTTACAGCTTCCATCATAGTGTGACACTATTCCACCGTGCAGTGACATGTTGTTACTGACAACTGTATATAATAAACATATGAACTACAACTGAGGTCAATGAAAACAGATTTGGATGTCTAAGTGACAACAATGGAGGTCAATCCCACCGAAACGCAGCGCTCTTTGAATTGTTTGCCTCACCATCCTCTTGTTGTCCTGTCTGTAGATGGTGACCGTCGACTCCTTGATGACAGCGTGTGTGATCTCGTGGAAGTCGCAGAACACCTCCCAGTCTTCGCTTGCTTCTTTCTTTTTGTCATTTTTCTGTTTGCCATCCTGCTTGTTCTTCTTTGACTTGTTTTTTTCCTTGGTGATCACAGGTGGCTATTTTAAAGAAATACAAACAGATATAAACACACAAACCATGATATAAAAAAATAAACCAGCAGTATTTTTAAACAATGTTAAACACTGCCATCTAAAAATACTGTTATGACCTGTGCAAGGTTTGTCCCAGATAATATACAGTACCATCACATTTGGACAAGTCAAGTCACCGCAAGTGCTTATTAATTTCCAAAGTAATTCACACTCAATATCAAAATGATAGGAAATGTGTCCACTATGACATCTCATCATCTCATTTGTTGAGTGGTTTGATTGAACATATTTCAGTTCTGTGTGCATAAAAATGGAAAACTTAAAGTTGAAGTGTTAAAAAATTAGCGAATAGGAACTACAAACATAAAAAAGAAGGCACTAGTTGACTTTCTTTTCTGTAAAATATTCTTATTTTATGCCTATAGGGACTTGGAACTTCTAATTTAGTGACTTCATATTGATCTTCGCATACATAACACTCACACACACACTAAAATAACCTTCTCTAATGCCAATATTCTGGTGACTTTATCCAACTTAAATCATAATTTTTCATGTAGAAATATGTTCTGTTGGAGCTACTCAACAAGGAATATGTTTTTCTTTTTTGATGTTTGACAACTGTTTGTTAGTGCTAGTTAATCCAACATTAGAAAAACTATCACAGTGTTCTTCACACATAGTTTGACTCACTGCAGCGGGCTTCTTCCTCCAAGAAATGCCAGTGGTACCAGTAACCAGGACCTGCATGTCATGGCTAGTCTCTATGTTCTGACTCTGGCTCTGCCCTTGATTCTGGTTGTAGTACCCTGAAAAGAGCAAACATACATTATATCGCAGCAGTTACACATGCAGCCAAAATATTTAAATACTGCAGATATAGAGCACATGCATTGTAAACAAAAAGAAAAACATTTATATGTTAAATAACTGGTTTCTCAGTATTGTTTTTGGAAAATCTTTCAGTGATTATGCAGGGATTAGTGAAGCCATGGAAATGTTTTACGGCTACTATATGTTTACACCTGCTCTTAACCAGGTTGCTCAAACCATCCAGCTCTGCATCAGTGCTTTATAATTTCACACATTGGTTAGAATCATCCAGGGTCTGGTCTACCCTGTGATAAGTGGGTTAATGTGACATGTAAACATCTTGTTCCTTTCACTTTTGGTTTTCACCATCTGCACAAAGTCACGCAATGTTTTAGGGTATACTTTGATGTCAACAACCTGTCTTTTTTTTTGTCAGAAGTGTGGGCAGAGCACCACAGATACTCTGCATGTAAACACACCAAACTAACCACTGTCACGTAACCACTAGAATCCAGTGCAGCTGATTAAAATATTGCAACGGAGAAATTATGATATTAATTTGTGGGAGAGTAGCAACCTATCTTTTTCTCATCATGCTTAATAATTTGAATAGCAATAATAATGATATTACTTGTCTCTCTCTCAAGAGTTAGTCATTAAAGCAACTCCCACAGGGATTATCTTGACAAACAAATAGTTCTCTTTCTAAAGTATCTATAATCTCCTGTAATACTAGTAAAACTACATCTCAAACCTGTTACAAGCCACTAATCTGACATGGTGCTTGAGAACTTTAAGTCATGGGCATCCCCTTATCATCTTCCTGAATTCTTACCATAGTAACCTCCATTGCAGAGATCTCCTTCCTGCATCACGCTGAGAGAGACGGGCTCAAACACCTCACTGCCTAGGCCACTGGTCAGGCCCTCCAGTGTAGCCAGGTACTTGATCTTCAGATCATACGGCGTGATGTTGCTGTCCTTCATTGTGCGGCGGTTGAATTCGCTGAGGAATTTCTTGAAGACGTTGTTGATGCGGATGCGTGTCAGGAAGTTGCGCTGCTTGATGTTGCGGTTCAGTGATTCTGGGATGAAACGTTTGTAGCTGATGGGATTAAGATAGAAAGATAGATGGAAATGAACAATTTTGCAGAACCAGTGACATCTTTCAAATCCCTTCTCAAAAGTTATCCCTTTAAAAAAAAACCACTTCTTTTATTGATGCTAGCATAGTGTTTTATTTCTAACATGTCTTCTCTGATTTATCATTACAATTGTTGTTTTTATCTTCTATTAATGTTGGGTATTTTATTATTTTTTTACGTGTGTATTATTCTTAATTTTCTGACTTTATTTGCCTCATTGCAGACTTGAAATGTTAAATTCTGCTTCAACCATGGAAAGCACTTTGTAACTTAGTTTTAAAAAGTGCTGCATAAATATAGTCTATTTATCTATAAACAGTTAAATTCTCTAAGTGCTTCCTATGCTTTGTGCAAGGGTTTTGAAGGTAAGGAAAAACAATGCATGATTTCTCATAAACTACATGTTAAAGTGGCCTTAAATAAGTGGCTATGTAACTTAGTATGGTATGTCCGGCTGTTTTTGTACTGTATATCTACAGGGTCTCGAAGCTTAAAATGTGGGGAGGGATTATAACGCTAAAGATATAAGCAACAGCGTGTGAGGTGTAGCTGTATGGAGTACCTTATGCATGTGCAGTTTTCCCCATGTACTGAATCCATCCCAGAAAATAATCTCAATCAAGCAGGCATATTTCCATATTTTTCAAGTACTTATTTTAAATATTCTGTGCACATGTCTGTTTTTTGGGGCAGTGCATGAATGTGGCCAGAGTCCACTTGTCTGATAAGAGACACTTGAAATGAGCTAGTAGATTTTTATAGAAATTCTCAGGACAGCATTAGAAGGGTCTTTAAATGTGGGTGTTATTTAAGACCTTAATCAAAGCAGCACCATCCAGACTTGTTTACAAAATGAATGATTCAAGCCCATGCCATGTTGTGTGTTTGCTCTACCTGATTTCACGAGAATCTGTGGGTGAAGTCATATCCACGTTCGTGGTATAGTGAGTGATAGCAAGCACAGCCATGCCCAAGCACTCATTTTCTATGTCATGCTGATCTACTTCTGACTGGGACGTCCTCAGTGGAACCACGCCTGTTTGGAAGTCATGCTGGCCCTGCACAACAATCACATAATATTTAACACAGAGACACACCAAATGCATATCAACATAAACTCCATTGGACATTGGGTAAGATATACTGTATGATTTGGTTCTTTACATAGCACTCAAATCCTGTCAAGACGACCAAATGAAATAAAATGAAGGAGCTATACTTTGGAATATCTGACCAGTTGTTATTGGAAAGTTTGAAACATCAGTTCCTGCTGAGTTAGAAATTTTTCCTGTCTTTTTATATATTCACTGGACTGAAAGGACGTAATTGACAACAGTGGCTCCTAATTACACTCTAGGGGTGTTACTGTCTAAAGCTGCACTTCCTGGTATTGTTACATTTCCTTCCAGCTGTTGATGTTTTGAAACTCAAATGTGAACTGTGCTGATGTTTATGCCTTTAATCACAATGTACTTTCAAAGGTATTTTAGAGAAATAAATCACATATACAGTTAAAAAAATGTTCTTGTTGAGTGAATTCTTTAAAATATATTCTCATATTTGCAACAATGAGAGAGTATGCCTAAAATGTTCCCATAACAATGTAAAGAAAGTCATCAGTGACTGATTATTCTTTCACCTGGGCAAACAGGTAGTCAAGGGAGGCAGCGTCCAGTAGGGGAGTTCCTTCCGGTGTTTTCTGTGGGCTGAGTGCTCCTTTGAGTTTACTGATGCAGTGTCTCCAAACTGGAGACTCTCCTTCAGTGGTACCATGCCAGTTTTTGAAATAAAACCTTTCAGGGGGGAGAAGAAGGAGAGAAATTAACAGAATTAATGTGGGGTGTGCAAGAAAGCATGCACAGCTTTAAAAAGGCACTCTGAATACATAGTGGCTGGCATTACAAGATAACAAGGGTTGTTTTATGTCCAATGAATTCCAGAAACATACTGTCTTCTTGAATGTGCTGATTTCGAACTCCGGTATCCAGGAACTCACTACTTGGTTTGTAAATTATTCCCAGCAAAGAAGAGTAATTTTAGTTCTCCAAATAACTAGATAGACCTTACCTTTGGCTGGCCTTTCACCAAAGGCTGAAAACTCATCAGTGCAGAGTTGAAATATCATAATGACACAGAGAAACAATACAACAGGAAGTGCTCTACTTCCTCCTGTATTATATACAGTGATTAAAGTGTAAAGATGTCCATGACTAAAACTGGCCCATGCCTATTTTTCTGTCATGTTTACAATCACGTTTTACAGATAAGATACGTACCTAGCCAGATAGAGTTTTAGTGCTGGGTAACATCTACGTGTTTTTTTTAACTTTTACGTTTTGACCTCTTTTCCTGTTTTCTCTGAAGTGAAGCAATTTTTCAGCTAGTCTGTGCTTTTCAGAGGAAATATCATCAATGTCTGTTCAGCGTCACAGACGTCTGTCTATATCCTGTCATGACCAACACTGACACTGGGCAGTTAACAGGGGAAACTGACTGAAAAACATACAAAAAAAAAGTAAATAAAAGAGAAAAAAACGATACTAGCAGCAGATAAAAATCCGCAAAACGAGCACATACATCCTAATGAAGGAACTGCTGAAATAATACGGGCCAGAGAGAAGCATTCAACCAGAGGTCATGAAGATATAATGCTTTTTGATACAGACAGGACTCCTTAAGACAGTGCAGGATGTGGGAGGAAGCCCATAGGACAAAGGGGAAACTGTTTGGGGCAACAATGTTAACTATACTTGCTGCCCCTTTCTTTCTCTTTAAGCTGCACTAGTAGTTAGGGATGCATGATGATACTAGCATCTCATCAGTACCAGCCGATATTGGCTTTAAAATTAACTATCAGAATTCGGGCAATGTTTTTCACAATGAATGAATATTACATACATTGAAAATGAATTGTATTTCATGTCTCCATCTGCTGGTGGGCCATCCCAATAACAGTATGTATGCATAATGTAATGTTAATTCCACTACAGAAAAGACCTGATGATCACTAAAATTAGGTAGGGGAAAGAAGTGATCATCAGGTCTTTTCTGTAGTGGAAAAGACCCGATGATCACTAAAATTAGGTAGGGGAAAGAAGTGGGTATACCGATATCGGTGTTGGTTATCGGTCAAATGACTTGTTACATATCAGCATGTCAGATATCTGCAAAAAATCCAATCCAGATCCAATATCATGCATCCGTACTCGCAATGATGGTAATATTGTCAGACTGTCAGTAGGCCCGCAACTTTGGTCCAGACTGATATATTTCAATGTGTAATTTTGTACAAACATTCATGGTCCCCAGAAGATACTCCACTTATCCAGTGAACTTTATCAACTTTTGCATTGGCACAAGTTTTGTACAGATATTAATTGCACCTTGACAACATATTATTTAGTTATGACATTCCCATCAGCCCCAGTTGTACTTTGCAATTTAGCAAACATTAGCATGCTAACACACTAAAATAAAAAAAAACATTAAATATGGGAGACATTACACATGCTCAACATCAGCATGTTGCATTTAGCAAAAAGTACTGTTGTGCCTAAGTGCAGCCTCACAGCCCCATCCATCCTGGTGGCACTTTAATCCATGTATTTGTGTTTGTGTTCAACATTTGTTTATGCTAAAGATTGTGTGACCACAATACCCCGCCTGTCTGGCAGACTGCACTACGGTACGCAAAACAGGCTGCAGCAAAAAGCACATAGACACAAAGCACACACAAATATACACACAACACACGCCACAGTTAGGCTCATTGCACGTACGCATTATACTCCACAAGCTACTGTCAAAGCAGAGCACAGAGAAAGAGGAAGTGCAAGTGACACCACAGTTATGTTGTTTTCCCTCTTTGCCTGAAATGCTACCCCTAACTTTTAGAACAAAGAGGGACTTACAAACACATGCTCACAAAAACAAAACAAAAAAGACAGTGTCATCATTGGGTCAAGTATGAAATTTGGCGCTACTCTTGGCGTCACTTGTTAAGTTTGTAAAAAGCCAGTTACTCACTGCCTTCTAGTCCTTCTCTAATGGCCACATGCTTTTTCTGAGATTATATTAGTGTATGGCCAACAGTTAAAAACAGCCCATTCTGAATACCAAACATTGTTTCCGATATCTTTGGCCATTTTCTCTTCTCTTTATTGAGCCAAAATGAGAGTCAAGAACTAACAAGCATGTGGAAACTTGAAGAATGTGTCTCATCTTGCCAAGCCATTCAGTGCCATTTGCTATGTTATGATCCTGTACAACCAGAATCAAAGTACTGCTGATTCATAACACACATCCACGCTATTCAGCAAAGTGTCTTCAGACAATGCCAAGAATTTAATGCTATTATGAAACTGTATGCAATTAAGTGATAGGCCTTCAGGATTCATCTGATGGCACTGACAAGCACATGTCCATCCATCGCCTTTTATGTATGATTAATTCAACCTTTAAAACTTTCTAGGAACAGTAATACATATAATATAATTATAACACTTTTCTGAACAACGTTACATGATGCAGTTTTGACTTTGCTTTACTCATTTCACACCCCCAAATATCCTCACAATACTTCTTAATGGTGTGTTATTTACTCTTTATGAAAATCCACCAATAATCTGCATTTGCTTCTACTTGATAAGTTCAGTTATGGTTAGAAAACCCAGCAGGTGTACATGCATGAAGCAAACAAAATATTTATTTTTTTTCTTTTTGGTATATTTGATTAAACACAAATTCTCAAAGTAGCCAGCTTCATAAAAATGAAGACGATTGTAGATACAATTTCCTATTTCAAAGCTGGGGTGTGAGGGTGGAATTGATGTTGTTTGCAACACATTTAAGTACACTCATAGATGGACACATCACTCCCTAGAGTCCAGACTAAATATATACAGCATTACTCACTGTATTCCATTTATTTTCCACCAATTGTTGTGGCACATGTCATTGTGGCAGCGTGATAAACAAAGTAGCCCTGGCATCCACCTTTCCATGTCTTTCTGTTCATTACGGGGACTCCTGCGGTGACACCAGGCCATCTAGGATATGTAATGCCTCTAGTGTATTCACAGTCAGTCCCAGAGTCTCCTCCAATTTGGACATGGCCCTTAATACCTCCAAAAGGAGGCCTACAGGAAGCATCCTGATCCAAATTGGATCCTTTCAATACGCAGGAACAGCACTTCAAGCAATTTCAACCAGTTAGATCCCACAACTCATTCTTTGGTCACCACCCAGAGCTCCTGGACCAAAGATGAAGGATGGAATGTAGACTTATTAGTAAAAAAACAAAATGTCTGCCTTCAGGCTCAGCTTCCTCATCACTACCAGTGGTACATAAATCTACTTGTCCAAACTCCATTACCATGTTATATTTGAAGTCCATCACTCAAGGGAGTAATTGTAACCCACTTGGAAGGGAATGCTCCAGAGTTTTCTAATAGACTTTCATGGCCTCTGACTTAGAGGTCCTGGCTCTCATCCTAGTTTAAGTTCAAACCACTCCTGTGTGTACTGGAGGTCAGAGAACTAAATCATCGGCTCTGTGATCACACTGGAGGTCACAGAAAAACTGCATCATCCCTGCAAAAGGGAGTGGGGACATAATTCTGAGATCACCAACCGAAAACTCCATATTAGGCAAGCTTTTTCCCCTAAATACTTCCTTTCTCGTTTTTTGACCATTTCAGTTAGGGCTGGGCAATATGGAGAAAATCAAATACCACAACATTTTTACTAAATTCAATGACATAAATATTGCGACAATATTGTAAGAGACATCTGGTGCTCTGACAAATTATTTACATAATGAAATTTTTGTTAAATTTAATTATACGTAGTGTGGGTAAAGGCAAACAAAAGAACAGCTAAAACAGTCTGGTAAGTTCAGCATATTACATCACTTAAGAGTGATACAGCCTCTAAAATTAGGAAAAGACGACACGTAGGATAGTATGAATCCCCTATTACGTCTGGAACCTCCCATCTACGACGGGCTTGAGACGCACCCTTGTTGAAAACTTGGCTCAGATTAATCTGATCCCGTTTGATTCGGTGGTGGATACCACTTGCGACGTCATCCCCAGCAGTATTCGAATCCTGAACCTTCTGCATGGAAGACAAGTGCTCTAACCACTACACTAGGGAGGCCCCAACACATAGGATTTTATGATGTCCAAAATCTAAGATGATATTTGGTCTCATATTACAATATCGATATAGTATCGATATACTGCCCAGCCCTAAATTTAGTCTCCTGGCAGACCTATGGTGACATAAGGAAGCACCCTTTCCAGGGACCAACCCTAAGACCCGAAAAAGGCTAGATACACTAATCTGCTGTTTAGCACATAGGTAAAAACAACAGTTAAAGCTAAACAAGAGAACAGGCCTGCCCCTGTCCAGGAGTGTGACTCCAGAGCCTAAAAGTAAGCTCACATATCTACCTCTGTGATGGCGTGCAGGCTGATTCATTATGGTTTGTTTGGTATCGCTCCACCTCCTGCTCCTCCCAACCAGAAAAACAAATTCCACATCCCAGGAGCCCGCTTTCATAGTCAGGTGTCAGCATGCCAAAGTTCCTGCCTTTGCCTGCTGCCCAACTGGCAATGCACACTTTATCTTGTAGGCTGGGTCTTTCCTACGAGTGTCTCATATAGTAGATCTTTAAATTATATTAAATAATATTTCCACTACCTTTAAAACTACACTGCATTTGATGTAGTTCAATGAGAAAAACACAGTTTCAAGTCAAGAAATGAGTTCATGGAGATAAAAGGCAGCCAGAAAACTAATCTTCAACTCCAATGTAGTCTTACCTCATGCGATAGTGCAACTTGACACTGGTTTCATCTGTGATCTTGAACTCGTAGTTGGGAGGGTACCACGTGCCAGTTGTCTCATCATACAGGGAGAAGAGGTTATGGCACAAGGGAGAGATTGCTGAGAAGGGAAAGAGAAAAGAGGAAAAAAGATCAATATTCAGACCATTTATTGGATTGGGGTTGAGGCTTATTTGCAGGCCTCTGTCCAAAAAGAGGATTTAAGAGCAACAGCAACTAATCTTCTTATAAAAGAAGCTAAACACAAAGGTCTACATGCTCCATTTTTATACTCAGACATATGTGAAATGTAGGACTCTGGTTTTAGTTCAATGTAGGCCCTCAAATGCCTGAAACAAAAAGAGATCATATTCATATTTGCTAAGCTAACCAGAGTCACCTAAACAGTCAGTTAATATTGGTAATGGCTGTGTAGACACAGAGAGATGCTTCTAAGAGGCTCTACAATGACACTTAATCTAGTTTTACAATAACCGATTCATAGCTTTTCACCTGTGGTTGTGACTGATTTCCAGTAGTGCTATGTTCATATGACTGCTTAGAATGTAATGCATTTTATTTCACATGTTGACAGCTGAATGGAAGCACTTTGAGGTAAGGCAGTAATAAGCATTTATCTACATTTGAAAACATTAACACACAGAGAGAAGTTCTCCTCTGTGAGAGTGGAGTTTAATACTCTCATATTTATTCCTCGCTGAACAGTTAACTGTGAATTGACATGTTTCATTAAGTTAATCAGAAAGACAACCGTCAGTAGCTGAAAAATTACTCATTAAAGGCCGTAACCATTTTGCCAAATTATTACAGAACAGCACACCCAAATGACAGCTTATTACCTTTCAGTGTGGCTGGTGAACGGGGCAAAAGTGATTAATAGGTTAATCAGGAAAGTGCACAGTAAGTGCTGCCCAGAGCCACTCTAGACAATTCTTGTAATTCCAGCAGACGCATTACAGCGCGTTTCAGAAGCACCCCAGAAGCTACTAAAAATACACACCTTGTATAGATTTGAGAGCTGCAACACATTGCAAAGATCAGACAATAAACTAAATTAAAATAGCCAAAAAAAACACCTGATTATCTACGTATGGTAGATGCACAATATCAAGGGAAAACTACCAAATCAACTAAATCTGCAAGTCTACAAATTTGGACAGCCAAAACACTCTGCAATCCCAGTGTGGTTTGACGTAGAGTGTAGGACAGAACAAAACTGGTTTGCAGCTGGACCACGGAGAGCTGCAGATGGTGGAACTGTCTCTCCCAGTTCGCCTACACTCAAGATGGCAGCAAAAATAACAAAAAACAGGGATTTACTCGTCTCAAATCATGCTTAACTTAAGTGGATCATAACATTTCGGGTATGGGATTAATCTGCAAATGCGAGACCCAACTGGTCAGGGTACACCTGGTGGAGATTATGAATATCCGTTTTATCTGTGTTTTTCAAAATATTCTTACTTGATCTATGTAAAATCTGTGAATAACATTTTTTTAATAACATGTCATCAGAGAGTACATCATTAAGCAAAGCAGGCAATTTTTGATTATGCCAATTAGCCAACAGGTCAGTAACTCACAGCATTTCTTAGCAGCATCCACACAGAGCTGCTCCACGGTGTAGCAGCCTTTGAAGTACTCTAGCTGGTGCACCTCCGGTATGTAAAAGTGGATCTCCAGGCCCTGAGTGGAAGTAGGTGAGGAGGAGAGTTGAGCCCTCTTATTGGACCTCCTCATCTTCCCACAGAGTTGCCTGCTCAACTCCATCACCCACAGAGTTGGCATTCAGACACTGGATAAGTGAAGTGAAAAAGAGAAATGGGAGAGTGAACTTTGTGGCTTTCAAATTACACCAAAGTAAGCTTTGCATTTAAGTCTATTCAGAATAGGCAAGACAAATGAGAAAACACACATGGGAAACAACCTAACTGATATTTCTCTTATACACAACTTATTGTTTTTATATGGTTTTAAAAGTACTGATATTATTAATCATTCACATTTTCAATAAAAGTCTGTTTTCACACGAATTGGGGACTTTTGATACCAAGATCACTGGTATGAGTTTCCCACCCTGGTATAATTATATAATCGACACTTTGAGGAAATGGTTGACCACAATGTAGTTAACATAGCCAATCAAGTGTTAAAAGGCGCGTGCGTGTGTTGCAGTAAGACTAAAGTGTTAATTGTGAGCTCAGCAAACAGCAGCAGAGAGTTCAATGTTCACATACCTGATGACTCATATTAATACAGTGCAGAGCCCCAACTCACAAAAGCACAGAGAACGCAGTGATGTCTCACTAAACTACAAGTGAAATGACGTCAGCCTTGTGAATGACCTGATGACATCAACATGGAGGACAGATCGCTTCTGCGCAGGGGCTACAGGAGACTGTGTCCACTGCGGGATGAGTCGAATTGCCTGTCTACACCCCTGCACAGCAAAAGCAGCAGTCATGAGTCCATGTGGAGACAGCACTTACAGCTAAATGCGACTTGAAATAAAGATTGATAACCACTGCATCTAGGCATCTATTCACATTTGCTGTTACACACGTAAGTGTATAGGAACAAACTTGAAAAAGAGGAGAAAGGGGGGAACAGAGATATAGACACATGAAGAGACAATACAGTGAGAGACAGACTGATAAGAGTTTATCGTCTCTTTTATCACTGACGTTTTTTGCTTGTTGTAACTGCTGTTAACTTCCTACTAAGCTGACAAATAAATTCCATTTAATTACTGAACCCTTGGACGGACACTCATTCCACCCTGTTAAACGCATCCTGTTTCACACTAAGCTAAAGCTGATCAATTCAGTAAATATTAGCTTTATATATATATATATATTTTTAACACTGTGTGAACTGGTATGTGTCAATCCTCAGACTTAACCATGAGTGAGCGGATGTCAGCCTGGCAAGCGGAGCATCCTCTAACAGTCATCATTTCTCTTCATTCTCAATTATTACAGCTAAATTTCTTGAGAAGCCATTTTACAGTGAGTCATCACCCTGCCTTTTAGAGTGAATGTGTTAATCAGTAAGTGTGTCAATCTCCCTTGCTCTTCCTCTTTCTACCTAAATTCAACATAACCTTTCTGAATGCCACTACAGTTTAACGCAATAAATATCTCTTGTAAAATCTAATGTGGCATATTAAGAAGGTTATCTTTGACAAATGACATGTCTGAGACTGGTTGAGACTGACAGTGCTGAACTGATGCCAGTTTCACAAGAGTTTCACAATCTTTGGACCACATTTTTCCCAAGATTACTTGAGCTTGTCAGTTTTCTTCTGAGTTAACTTCTCACTCCCCCTCAACAATGTCACCCTGCCTTGTGTGCGTGCCTTAGTTTTAAAATGACTAGAAATATTGTTTCTGCCAGACAAAAACAAGACCTTGGAGCATTTTATAACACAACTAGTGATAGACAGCTGATCCTGGCAGGTGTGGATGATTCAGGTACTTCCTCCATATGCATCTGCGTTTTACCAAATACTGAACTAGGGCTGTTAATAATTACTGTCATTATCAATTAAACTTTTCTAGAGTAACCAATTAATTGTTTGGTCTATATAATGTCAAGAAATAGTAAAAAAATAAAGCCCATCACAAAGCTGAAATCAGATTTTTACATTATTTTTTAACAAAAGCTTTAATAATTGAGCAGTTGTCGATACTGTTAGTCGTAGAAGTTGTCAATAAACCAATCTATCAATCACCTAATTGTTTCAGCTCTTAACTACATAATTTTAAACATGCATGTTGTCACTTAGATCAGTTTGGGAAATATTCAACAGAGTTTGGAAGCTTCGGGTGGACTGGACCTCAAATAGCAGTTGAATTCAACTCTACTCAGTTATTGCATAATGGCTGGTGTTAGTTAAATTTAAAAAAAAAAAACAAAAACAAATAGGCTATATGTTTTTAGATTGCGTGGTTCAAACCAATAAGAAAGACAATGAACGCTAACCAAACAAACAAATAAGCTCCTCTGCATCATTTGCATCAATTTAGAGTTTCCCCTGCCTATTTAAGTCTGAGGTAGGCAGCCCAGCTAAAAAAGGTGAGTAAAAAAATTGACCACAACCATCACAACAAAGGACAAGAAACTGAAATAAAGTTGATCACAGGTTACTTAGGTGTTCCCTGACTTTTTCTTTAAAGGTCAAATCAGTTTTTCCATACAGTAACTGCAAAGGTGAGGAGCTGCAGACAGTGGCCATTTAGTTAAGCAAAGCATCAAGACAAATATTCAAGGTAAGCAATAACTATCCTGTTCCGTAACAGGGTTGTAAAACTAGCCTACACAGGCATTTAAGTGGTCAAAAGAAGGAAGACAGTGGCTAACAAGCTAACAGCTGCTCATATATTTTTAAAGATGTCACAACTGTCCAGCGGAAAGTACTGCGCACTGATCAAAACAATGACACATCACAAATGGCAAGACAAAGTGAGAAGTACATCAAGGCCAGTCTTTAGTCTGACTGTAACAGCTTTTCATTCCAACACAGTGGATTGCAAAGGCTATATGAAGGCTTATACCTGATCAGATTCTCATTAATTACCATTTTTCATTTGGTGAGCGGTAATCGAATTCTCTCTACCTAACATTTTGGAAAAGACACTTGTGGCACACATCACAAAAATATCATTGTCACATGCCTTGTATCAAAAACTGTATTAAGATAAACATTGCCAATCATCACTAATCTACAGTTTAATTAAAGCACTGGATAAAATGAATTCTACTCAATCAAACAAGAGCAGTGTCCAACTCAGGCGCAATGACAGCTGCTTGTAGGTTAAATCCAAAGACAATTTTTTAACTTATATTATTATTTTATATTATATACTTCTGATTTCTCACCACATCCCTAACTGCTACTGGGTGTGATCCAAACATATCTTTTATCAGGTGAAACTAGATCCACGCACTCATGAGGCAAGCCCATCAACTGTGAAATTCTTGACACTATATCCAAACAATAATGCCAACCCTCAAAAAATGCTGCTCATGCTCCCGCTCTGCCAGTCATTATCCAACAAAAAGCCAAAACTTGGCATCAACAAAAAGGGCTGCTGCCAATCAGGGCAGACAAAATGCCAAAAATTGGAGTGAGCCTTCCTCACAAAACATTTCAGCCCTCCTGCTCTCATGTTTGAGATGGTGATTATAATAATGATTAAGGTTAGTGAATGAGTAGATACTTAACTCACATTGACTGATAGACTAAAGATAAGGCTTTTATGTTTGTTTACATTCCGATACAAGGAGAATACTTGGATTTATTATCTGAGTACTGGCACTTGACATTGATGGGGTTTTTTTTAATTTTTGTATGGCACTTATGTGCAATCAATCTTCCTCTCTATGTCATGTTTTGTGCACCTTTTTCCATCTGTTTCCTGTTTTGTTTTGTCTTTGATATAACTACATTACTGCACTTTAATAATGTAAGAAAACCAGTGGTAAAAAATACATTTACTCGGGTACTGTATTGAAGTACAACTTTGAGGTATTTGTACTTTACTTGAGTATTTTCTATTTAATGCTACTTTGCACTTCTACGCCACTACATATCTTTTTACTTCCCTACTACTATTTGACAGCTGTGCTGCTGCTGGTTACTTTGTAGTGTCAGATTAATACAACATATAATAAACAAATGAATTGTGATGTATTATTGTAGATTATGCAACCTGGGTCAGCAGTATATAAATTTGTTTAAAGTCAACCCACTTTTCCCAGCTGCAATGTAAAGTGGTGCTCACACATAAATGCATCAATAATTTTAATCCAGCTATATAATTGACTATATATATTATTGTTAAATGGGCCATTCTGCATAATGTGTAGTTTCTACTTTGGTACTTAGTATATTTTGACTATAATACTTTCAAACTTTTACTCAACTAAGATTTTACATGCATGACTTTTACTTGCAGAGTATTTCTACACTGTTGTGTTGCTGCTTTTGTACTTAAGTAAAAGATCTGAGTACTTCTTCCACCACTTCCACCTTGTACGTGCTGAGCTAAGACATCCCCCTAAATGTCAGAGCATTCATACATCATTTAATTAGTGTGCTATCCCACCAGGGGGTTTCCTGTACCTGTTCTTGATGATGCAGCACCCATGTAAGTACACTGACTTTAAGTGTGTGCATTCATTATTACTGCAGTTTTGGTATACCTCTGTCAATTGGTCAAAGTCAGGACACCGCCCTTCAAAAGTTGACACTGTTTTCACTGGATGTTCATTAAATCAATTACAACTGTACTATTTTGTGCAGGGAAAAAAAATCTATATTATTATTATATTATGGGTTTCTCCTTATCGATTCACTGTCTTTAAGGCATAAAAATCTAATTCCATGACCTAGTCTATAAACTTTTGATATTTGATGTTATTTAATATCACAATAACCACCATGTCAATAACTCTATTAGGCCTAACTACAGTAAAGCACTGGTCCCAAATTAGAAAATCTAACAATGTGACACTATAAACAAGTTATTTCACTGATTAACTGCCTTTAAATCAGAAAATCAGAAACTAATCAGTGAAATATTACTTTAATGGCAATTTACAAGACATCTTTTTGGTAGGTATGTCAATTCAGGATACATACTGTCAGTTCAATATTTTATGCCCCTGACTTTTATAACCCTAAATTTAGGTTAGTGAGGGGGGACTATGCTTAAAAAACACACAATGCAGTAATTTGGATGAGCAGGATTTTTTTTTAAATGTCATCTTATTTGTTTCATTACATTTCATCAAAATGTTTTACAGCATATCTCACCTTTTCAAAGTTGCAAAAACAAACATGCCTGAAGTGAAAATACAGTGGGAAGACAATACGCTGTTACAGAAATGATGTCACAGAAGCCACTTGGTTATTACAGGGAAAAAGGTCAAATAAGTGATAAATCTAAAGTTCTTTGATGTTAAATATCAGGTTACCATTTAGCATTTAAATGTAATTCCTTTGACTGATTTTACATCCAGTACAGTACTGAGTCTGAGTAGAAAATTACTCTTCACACAAGTACGTTGACTTGATATCAAAGTGAATTGGGTTAAAGAAATTTTGGTCAAGTGTTACAAGTAAAAATTAAATAGCTCTGCAATTAAGGATGCCATGTGTTCATTCGGATCTTAATAAAATGCAGATCAAACGTAACGGTGTGGTTAAAGTGCTTTAAGTGTTCTAAGAGTTCCTGTCAAGGGGAGAGCTGCAAAAAACCACAGTCTTTCATCGTTTGAGATTAATTTTTTTGTGAGTGGTGGTAAGGCCAGAAATTCTGTGTCTATGTGTGTGTGTGTGTGTGTGTGTGTGTGTGAGTATGTGTGTGTTGGGCCCAGGAAGAGGCACCTACCTGACTGTCAACCTCAAATGCGTGAAGCCGTTTACCTTTTCGTTGACAGGATTTTGCATGATTTAATAAAATATTTACATTACAAGTTTTTATTATCAATGAATCTACATTATATCCTCAATTATAGGGTTAATTGTCCAGTCTATACAAAGTAAAGTATGTGTCGAAAAGGCCTATCAATAGCAATGGTACATATTCAGGTCATTACCACAGAGAAGTAAGAAAAACAGGAAATATTCACATTTGAGGAGATGGAACCGGTGAATCTTTGCCAGGCTTGTCTAAAGAATTACTTAAATATTATATCACTCATCAGAATCATTGCCAGCTGATTTTCTGTGTATAGACTAATAAAATCATCAACCAAACGTTACAGTTGTAATGACAGGCGTGGGACACAAAAGTGACAGCCATCTTCTTCCTGCTCTGTTAATGGGTTTAATTCCTGCTGACATAATAAAACCTAAGCATTGTACTTGAATGCATCTTCATAGTGTTGGAGCAGGGTCCCTGCGGTCCCTGTAATCCTCTCTGGTCCGACATTAAAGTAATAATAGGTTTCACTTTTCTTTCCCTCCCCATAATGCAAAAATGGAGGAATACGGACAGCTGGCTATTTTATAAAGACATTTCTTATCAACAGTTCGTCTTAAAGCGGTCAAAAACCCATATAATTCAATCCAACATTGACTGTCGTTGTCAATTTTGTAACGTTAGTGTTAATCCAATATACGTTATGTCTTGAGATAATGTGAAACTTTTTATACAATGGCAGGGCCCTAGTTTGTGGTGGCGTTGTTATATTGGATTGCATCATAGTATGGCTTCTCTCTAGTAATTCGTCCTCACTCTGTCCACTGTGTAGGTCATTCATATTAATTAAATGCATTTTATCGCTGTGTACATCAGCCCCTGGCAGCATATGCGACACTGAACATGAACGTCTCACTGCTATCATGCCAAACGGACGAACGTAGGGTGACATTAGCTTGTTAGCCAGTAGTTGACTTACACAGTCAAAGCAAACAACAGCTGGATATTTCCCAACTTGACAACGAAGGGGAAATATGACAAAAGAGCGAGTGTGTTAAATGGACCAGGAGCTAGACGTTTCTCTCGATGGGAACATTTAATAAACGGCTATTTACTCACCTCGCGATGCTTAGCCAGACAGCTGGCAAGTTACTTCCGTTTCGTATCAGTACATTAGACGCTTCAACCAAGTTGTAGCTCCCCTCTCGACGGATTTTAAGTGTCGTTTTTCGGCTGTTTGATAACGAAACCTCCCAAGAAATATATCCAGTATCCAGGGGAAAGGAAATATGAAGCTAAATCCACGGGTTTTGTTGATGCTAGAGCGGAGACGTAGTCCTCGGTACTTGTCTATGGCTCTCGCTTGCTTACCCTTCCTGACAAGTTCCAGCCCCTTTCCCGAAAACAACGTCGTGGCCTACTGTAGAACTCGGCTGCTGATTGGCTGCTTAGCCTGTCAATCAAGGTGACGACATCAACCCATAGCATCTCAGGCTGGACTCAGGATAGGACACATTGTTCATTTAGAAAGAAGAAGCATTACATTTCATATGATAAGAATGATACTGAATGAAAAAAATATTATTTTTTAACTTCTATTATACACTATATTGAAATATTACATGGGTTGACGGTGGTAAAGCAATGAAAACAAACATTTTGTAAAGCCTTACATATTTTTCCCTTTAAAATGCCTTACATATTTTTCCCTTTAAAATTATACCCCTATGTATACAGTTTTTGTCTTGCCCTTTTTTGTTTCCCTTTTTAAAAGTATAACTACCTTTTTCAAAGATAATTGTATGGATTGAACATGATACAGCATTTTTTTTTTAATCACAGTGTCAATATGTTTTTACTACTCATGTCGTGGGGACTAAAATCTATTTCCATGAGGATGCACCTGCCATGTTGAGACAGAAAGGTAGATCCCATATTATTAGCCATAAAATTAAGAACTTATCTTGAGTATCTCCATTTTATGCAATTGTAAACTTCTTCTCCAAACACCCAGAATATGATGAAATGCTGTAGAAAATAAACTACCAAAAACTATATCCAGTAGTTAAAACTAGTATAACCTTAATGTGCAATGAACACATGAATGCAGCAGTAATAATAATCCAGAAATATAGTATGTAATAGTAGAACACTGACAGGGATCATGAATGTGAAACCAACCTTAGTGTCAAACTCAATATATCATTCTGAAATATGAAGGTCAAACATCATACTGAAATAACAGTAAGTAAAATACTTTTTTGTAATGGGGGGTTTAGATTAAGGAAAGTCTTCAAGGAAAGGCTGTAACATCCTCCTAAGTGAGTAGAACAAGACATTAGGACAGAGGGTGGCACACTTGGTGGCATGTAACTAAGTACATTTAGTCAAGTACTACATTAAAATACACATTTGACGTACTTGTACTTTCCTTGAGCATTTCCATTCCAAATTTCTGTTTCTACTCCACAACATCTCCTGTGCAAATATTGTGCTGTTTGTCAGGCTGACACCTTTATTTACTTTTCAGATTACAATTTTGCATAGCTTTTCTGTCCTGTAAAAACCATGTAGCTTCCCTTTTTTTAGTCATAAACTGAAGGATGAAGTGTTTCTTTATGGGTTGAGAAAATTCTCTGACATGTTGAGTTAAAAATAAACTATTAAAAAAACTTGGATGAGCTGGAAAATGCATCAGCACAAAGGTGAAAACAGGGCTGTTTTTAGGAGTTCATGAAATGGTGACTTTTTGGAGATATGTGGTTCTCACAGGTCAGCGAAACAAAGGATCTTATAAAATACAATGAACTGCCATAGATTAAACTACTCAACAGTATATAAAGTAATTAGTATCAATTAATGTTTAACATAAAAAGCAACATACACAATAATGCAACATTAATATTAACTCAAAAACTAAATAATATTTGCATAGCTTGGGAAGCTTACTTAAGTAAATTAAGTAAGCTTTTGAATGTAGCACTTTGTACTTTTACCTGGAAAGCAGTATTTGTGTTGTATTGCTATTTTTACATAAGGACTGGATCTGAATACTTCTTCCAGTTGCACACACCTTTTGAACACTGTAACAGGGAAGGTTATCTTTTATCTCTGCCACTCTGTGGGTCATAAAATGTAGGAAGTTCCTTCCGGGTCTTTGTTTGAGCTATTTTGTGGTTTATGTTTCCCAACCCTGACAACATGTTCTCATCATTCCTGTTTGTAATAACACAGCATGGGGCCCATCTCTTGGAAATTTGCATAACTGTCCTTTTGGAAGTGGTTGTTTACTGGAAACTGCCTGAGAGCATTCCAGTGGCGAGACATTCCCATTATCTTAAGTGTGTTAAGGTATACCACGCTTCATGTCTTGCATCATGAGATTATCTTGCATGGTATGTGATATATCAGTCTCTGCTTTTAAAGAGACGTCTTGAACAGGAGAAAATCAAGAACATGGGTGAATAATTGAAGGAAGTGAGTGAAATATGTGACAGATTCTCTCTTTACAAGACTAGGAGTCAGCACAAGCTTTGGTGATGTCATCACAAAACAAATAATGGAGTTTCCCCAGTGACTGCAGATTAATGGCACACTATAGTGACTGACTACTAAATTTCTATACATAATTTTAATCGATATGTATACAGTATTATAATAAATGACTGTGAATGTGGAAAGAAAAGTTTACTTCTTTATGTATGTTTAGGGAAAACTTAACTTTAAGACAACCTAGAATACAAACATTTATTGAATGGTTTAAAACACACTATTATGCATTTTTACGCAGCTATAAGGGCATCATAAGTGTTTATTAATGTGCAGTATTTGTCAGCAATTATAACCTATGTAGACATATTCTGCATTACTACAACTATTCATATACCAGCCTCCAGAGCAATTATATTTGCTTGCACCTACATAAAAATGTGTTAAAAAACCATTTATTAAATGTTTTATACTGCTTATACGTGTTAAATAGAGGGACTCAGAGTAAGGTGTGGTATTTTTTCTCTCACATTAGTCTTCAATGTACAATTAGTGGGCACTTCAGCTCCAAATTACATCAGTGCAGCTGTTATCAGTTGCAAGGTCCACTGGTTTATTATTCCAGCAGGTTAGGGAATATACAGAGACCTGTGTAAATAAAAGGAAAACTTTCTTCCTGCAACAAGGGAACAAGGATATGAAGGTTTCTGTAAAACAAACAAAGAATTACATAAATAAAAAGGGCGGTTCAGTTAAGTGAGGGACTTCCCATGCCTCATCCCAGTGAGCACTTATCGCCTCGCATTAACAGAAGTGTGACAGAAATCCCCCGTGATCGTGGCTGACAGTGGCAGACAGTCTTGGATGTTCCCCAGAACAGTACTTGAGTATATTATCATCAGATTTAATGAGTTGAATTGCCTGATCTCATTTAGACAATACCTCTCTCAATAATTGCAAACCTCACTTCACTTTAATGTTTTATTAAAAAAATAAGCTTCACCACAAGGTATCTAGATATCAGTAAATGAGTCAGAAAAACACGTGAATCAAGGCGAGTTGAGCAGATTGAGGTTAGAGTGAGACAAAAACAAAATATGTATCATGACTCTTTGGGGATTTCCACGGTAGATACAGTGCGTACCCTTTGAGTGAAACATTGTAAGGACAGGTGCAGTGACCTGTGGTTTATCAGACATGACTCAAACAGTCATGTATTATTCAAAGCAGGGTTCTGAAAAATATGATTCATTTCAGCAAGGTGACATCACCAGCACAGTACAAGTGTGTTTTGATCTGTTATATATTGATATCACATCTTGAACGTTACGTAAGACTCTCTAACACAACAATGACTTGGCATTTTATACCAAATTTAAGACTTTAGCAATGAATGATGTGAATTATACATGGTTGTCTTGGATTATGTTCAACTGCTCTGCTTTTTTGGGGGGAACAAATCTTTTTCATGAAGTAATGGAACAACAAATATGAGCTTCTTTTTTGTGTAATGAAAACTGGATTCAGCCAGATCTTTTGGCTATGCTAAATTTTACATCAGTCACAATAAATGGGCACTTCATTTGTTTTAACGACTTTGCAATGAACATATTCATTATTGAGGTTTCAGACATCACAGGTGCATCAATAAAAGATCTTTAGCTCCCTCTGTTGACAACAATGTGGAGCAACCTATCAGACTACCTCACAGTTCAGCTTGTGGACCAGTGCTCCCAGTCAGCATAGATCCTGATTCTTAATAGTTATGTTGCAATGCAAGGTTCATCAGCATTAGAGCAGTCAGGAAGCAAATGTGGGCAGTTTTCTTTGTCAAGTTTGCATGATGTAGCTCATTGGCAATGCTACAGAGAGCTGTGACAACGTATTCAATATGATCTTAAAGCTGAACCCATGGAGACTTCAGTTGGTCAACTGTTGTGTGGCTGTAACCTTCAGTATTTAAGACACACTGAATTTCCAAAAGCAAAGATATATAAAAGAACGTACACACTTGATTAAAAGAGATGTCACTTTATTTTTTTATAGTCAAGCATAAGTATAAGCAGTGAAGATAACACTAACTTACAGGTTTTGAGTTTATCATTTTGCACACAATGTACTGATTAAAAAGGGGAAACAATTATGTAAACAACATGTTTTGGATATTCCATTAAAGTTTTCTAAATCAACATACCATATTATTTTTTTGTAGACATACTCACACTTGTTCACCCTCTCTGCCGTCCTCTGACTCATCAGCCGAACGTGCTTTGACTCTCTGCACTCGTGTCAAGTTGGCAGCCATCCTTCAGTTATCACAGTACTGTACCTTCGATGGGGACAGCATCAGCACTGTGATAACTGAACCAGGGCAGCCTGACAAATCTAGCAGTCTGAGGCTGCGCTGTACTCGTCGTCCGGCCAGGATCCCTGGTCAACAGGTGCAAAGGTAAAGTTTTCTTTTTGTGTGTTTTTTTTCCAGCATATTCTATGGTATCAAAACAACAAAAGCTGTGTCTCCAGAATTTCATTTGTTACCATATAAATAATTTTCAAGTAACATCCAGTAGCTAATACTGGAACAGATGAATCTACAGAAGTAATATGTTCATTTGAATACATTAGTTTGGATTTTTTAAATGTCCTTTTGCCCTCTAACCATGCAAAATAAAGCTTTAAAATTCAATTCTCCACATTTCAAATTTGAGGGGAAATATAAAAAGACTACAAGTAAATAAATGATTAAAGTAGGAGCAAAGAAAGATACAAAACATAAACTACAGCCTATTTAATTGTTTGATTCAGGGAATATAATAAATAAAACAGTCCGTATGCCACAATGGGCTCATAGACTCCTTATTATCCAGGTTTCCTTTATACTTTATCCTAAGTTTGTGTCAGAAAATTTTAGATTTGGTGAACGTGGCTCACCAGTATGTCTTGGAAGTTAGACTAAGCCAACATACGCAGTTGTTTTTATTTATTTATTTGGATTTTTAAGGTATGATAGGTTTTGTTATTTGCACAAGCACTGAGGACAGACTCTGCTGTTCATTGCATGATGAAACGTGTACCTGTGAAGGCTGGGCAGTTAGTAATACACAAGCACTGACATGCAATCTGAACACTATGTAGGTCATAGTGTGATTAAAAACAACACTGCTGTTAATAATAGAAGGACTTTTACTTTGAAGCCATGTATTTTGGCATGTTTAGTTATTTTGCAGTCTCTTTCCATTTCTAGTTTTCCATTATTTTGCTTCCTGCTGGTGCACTGAGCTCGTTAATGTTTCAGCTCATTAAACAATTACGGGCACAAAGACTTTTTCCCCCCTCAACCTTTTGCCTGCTAGGACTTGGTCGAGACAAACTACTGTATATTATTCATACCAACCACAAGGCCGAGTGACGTCAGACTTGTTATGATTCTCCGCGCAGGCTCCGCCCCCCTCGGCGCGAGCAGCAGCCTCTCGAGCAGTCCGGTGGCGTCTCTGGCCGACGTATCGGCTCCTCCTCCTGCCCGTCAGTCCGCCCTCCGCACTTCATGTAAACAACTCCATTAGCCCCGCTGCTCTGGGCACTGGCCGAAAAAAAATGTCCATGTCAGAAAAAGCAGCGCAACATGTGCAAAATAACTAAACATGGCAGAGGACAGGCGCGTTGTCACTGCTGAGTGCTCCGTGTGTCTCCAACAAGAGACCCAGGACAGAGAGCGCGTCCATGTTGTATAAACCCTCAATGCAAATAAGTGGGGAATAGCTTTAAAGCTACTAACCGATAAGGTAACAGGCAGAGATACAGATATGGCTCCGGGACTAATGATAGAGACCGTGAACAACAGCCAGAAATGCAATGCGCGCTTGTTGCTGTTTCCTCCAAATAAAAGTTATCCAAATCCAAACGACACCGTTATTTATGGCATTACATAATAACACGCATACCTGCTTTCATAAAGCTAAATATGCTCTTTAAAAAGCGACCAAAGGCGAAATGTAAGTGCAATGTTCGTATTGAATATTGTGCAGCCAAACGTTAACGCCCAGCATTGCATACACACCCCTTTTCTGGGCAAAAACAAACAGCATGCTGTCGGATCCAAATATAATCATTAATTCTTATTTACATTCAGTCCGCGTTAAAAACATTGAGCTGACTTACCTGCGATTTGCCCGTTTAATTCCCCGTGTTTACATGAATATTTTTAATGACGCAGCAAGACCACACAGAGCAACGTGATTGTCGCCATTTTTTGTTGTTATTGAATTCTCACTAAGCCATGTGACAATAATGATCGTGAAATTAAAAGCAGGCTTCCGGGGTGCGGAGACGCAAAAGTTGTTTCGCGAGGCTTGAAAAAAGGTTAATCTTCCGAGTTGTTTGTCTGATGGATTAGTCTGGTGACTCCACTGACTGGAGACTGAAGGCTGTGCGCAATATCTGACAGCTCCGGGACGATGCCGCCGCCGTATGGCTCGCAACAAGTACTCACTAGATTCCGCCCGTCCGCAAATGCTGCGCGGAATGACAGCGACTCATGTGCTTTTGTGCGCCCGCTGCCAAGCAGTGCCAAAAGCATCAGGAATAACAACCCCACGAGCCGTGATGAAGAATGAAAGTTCTGGATTTTGAGGGGAAATGCTGTCAACAAGTGGCGGAATCCAAGACTAACCCACTTTACTAATTAGTAAGATAATACATGATATCACTAACTCTCATTATCATTTATTTTAATCACAAAACGGAGCCTCAAAATGTAAATGTCACCTTTTAAATAATAAAAAGTTAGTTACTATGCAAGGACAATTACGCATATAACAAAACAAATGAGCTATCTATATTTCTATGGGGTCAGGTGACATTCAAATGCCTGACACGCCCTTTTCTGGCTTGTAATAAATTAGTGGCATGACAGTTAGTCTCCATAAAATCATCAACAAGCCTCAACTTGAACTGAAGTTGTGGTTACGTGATTGACACATTAAAATAACTCTTTATAAGGCTCCCCAAACAGGCTGCTATAAAACTGTCCTTAACCTTCTGCACAGAAAGGCACTCCTTTACTGTAGTGAACTTTAGATATGTTGCAATGAACTGAAATGGTAATTTTATTTCTATTTTAGATTTGAGTTTTGCTTGTAGGTCATGTCCACAGATAGATAGATGGATAGATGTTTTTCCGTCACATCCGTGTGCTTGCAAATTATAATCAGGAGCCACAGTTCCACTCTCTTAAGGCAAACTGATGTCTTAAAGTAGCAGACTCCAGTTGTTGTTGTTCATCATCCCTGCTCCATAAAAACTACAGTAACCAGTTTACCCCGCAAAGTTCGTGCGAATCAGTCATCCGCATTTTTTCTGGATGATGTGCGCAGGAAAAATAGGGCGTTGTGGAGACTCCCTCATTCATTCGCAGAGAAAAGTCTCTTTCTAAGGACGTAACGGGTTAGATCTTTACGAGACGTTAAAGAAAAGGGAAAAAAATAGGAAAAGGGCGTTTCGGTTTGATCCGAGTCACAGAGCAGGGGAGCGTCAACGTGCGCGTAGATTGGGCTCTGCGTAAAGACCCGCAGACCCTTCTGGAGACACGCTGAAATTTACATTGGCAGGATAAGTTTAGAGGTTCTCCACGCTTTGGAGACGTCCACAATTTGGACTCGCAACTGCTCAGGAGTTTAATTGACCTCCTTCTTTTGCGCACAGAGAGGAAAAAGCAACATTTGCGCATCCTAGACATTTTTCTTTTCAGTTGCAGCTCGTGTTTGAGGAAGACATGGCTAAGTTATTCAGAGCAGCTATCATGGGTCCTCCAGGATCGGGGAAAGGAACGATATCCCAGAGGATTGCGCAAAGCTTTGGCCTGGTATATCTGTCCAGTGGCCACTTCTTACGAGAGAGCATAGCGGCAAACACAGGTAGGATACTGTACATCTGGCTGTGTACTGGAGCTCAACGTCAATACTGGCGGTGTCGACAGGAAGAAGCAGTCTGTAGGAAAGCCTGTGTTGTCTGTGTTGCATGAACCCTCCTCTTATAATATCACAGTAATCATCACAAACATGTAAACATAGCTGAAAGGAGATGCGGAATTAAGCAGGGTGTGCGCATTTTCGGATACACATTTGTTTTTTAGAGGCTTATTTGACTGCCAACCTTCACATTTCATCCATGCTGCAAAACACGAGACATTTGGATGACTGCAAACTTATTTTTTCTTTATTTGATTTCACTCTAGTGCAAGGGCTGAACTTGCAGAGGTGTCTTACACCACAATGACTCAGTGTTGCTCCAGTTACCCCTACTAGGGTTTTTACATAATCCTCCAAACTTGCACCTTAAACTATTGATTGTGCCTCCTTTACACTTCCTCATTATAGCCACTCAACTGGAATCCATTTATTTCCAAGCATGTGCAAAGCCTATGTGTACTGATATTGAAATTGGAGTTCAGTGCAAAGAGCTTAAGTGAAAAAATGTGTGTAGAGTTTGAACTTACAGGATAACTTTTCCTTTGTGCTTTGAAAACAAGTTGTTTTTTTAAATATAAACCAGTAAGTTCAGTATGTGTTTTTGTTGATGAATCCTAACTGGCCCCAGATTTTCAGTGTCGTTTAAGTTGAGTAAGGAAGGGGAGGTTACAGGCAGCACATAGCAGTGAGAGTTTTAACCATTTAGTATCTGAGACCAGGAAGTTAGATTAACAACATGCTCCCAAGTGATACAACGCATGTGTTTTGTGATTTTTATCAAGGCCTGGATGGATTCAGCACGCTCTGTCCTGTCTTTCAGCTTTAGAAGCAGGAAGCAGACATGCATTGACTGTCTTTGCTTGTCTGTTGCGTATCAGAGGCAGGTTTAATGGTGAAGACCTACGTAGACAGAAGCATGCTCGTGCCTGACGACGTGATGACCAGACTGATGCTGCCCAGGCTGCAACAGATGATCGCCCACAGCTGGCTGCTGGACGGTATGAATAACAAAGTGCATGATCTGTGCTTTATTCTACTGATGCATTATGGTACACCAGCTTTGTGTCCATTATCTCGCAGCAGCCTCCATCCTTTGCCATAATCATTTGTGGTGGGGGGGATATTTTCTTCATAATGTAGAGTCATTGCCAGTAATGGGAAGTAACAGCCACCCCTTAAATGTGATTGGCCACCCTAGGTGCCACCCCCAAAATCCTTGGACTGATGTTAGAGGCCATCAGGCAAGCATTTTCTACAACTCTGCATGCTCAGACAAAGGGCCCCCAAAAGTGCCGTATGCAGTGCGTCCTTTACGTGAGTCTGAGGGCTGATTCAAAATGGGAAAATACGCTCAACATTATCCTCCATCTGTGGGTAATTAGTGCTGCAGGGTACTGAATCCACTACCAGCGGTTCCGCACATGCTCTTTACTGTTACTCAACCCACAGCAGTCATAGAGGATATCCATCAAAATTTAAATGAAATCAAACTTTTTAAAAATGATTTTTGCCCTTAACATCAGGAGGGTCCATTAAGCTCCCTGTGCTTTTCTAACCTCTAAGTTTCACAATGTATTATTTGTTTACACCCAGCCCTGAGTGACCTTTGTTACAACATGAGTAAGTCTGAAAATACAGGTTTGTGTGTGTTGCCTCATGGTTGAGTTCATGTCACTGTTATTTGATAGCACCCGATACATGATCATCCACATTTTCCCATGCATACACAAGAGCACAAGTACAGGTTGGGATTGGCCTCATAAGTGCAAAGGGTTAGGAAGTAATAAAATATTTACTGGCCGCAACAGTGGGGCTGGTATTTGTTTTCACCTTGTGAGTCTGTGTGTGTCATCGTGGCAAAATGTTGTCCTGGTGACGCCTTTTGGTTCTGAGCACTCAGTCACATGTTTTTATGTCGGTCTGTTTTGTCAACACCTAACCGTGCCAGACTCCGTCAAGAAACTTGACAGGTGTGTGGTTGAGATCACAGTGAAGGCCGAGTGTGAAGATGGGTGTGGTCTGAGCAAGGGTTGGAAGTAGGGTAGTGTCCATTGCCTCCGAAATACACTTCCGCCTCTGACCCAGTTTTAATCGCGGATCGCTGTATCCTGATGACATCGCAATATGATCTCTAGCTTTAAACAGTTTTTATTTTCCTTTTTTTTTTAGGAAGGTGACATATTTATTTGTAGCCATCAGTAACAGAGATTATGAAGTCCTTAGATGACAAACCAAGTGGATCGCTGTGTCTTTTCCAAGTTAAATATTATCCACTATCTCCACTTTAAAAGCCAAACATTGATGAAACAAACTAGTTGGTGCTATTTGTGTTAAAACCTTGAAACATAATCACTAAACAAATACCTCTTTTTAAGAGGAGAAAGCTGCAACCAAATCAAGGTTACACACACACAAACTCCTGCATTTATCTGAGTTCTTCTTGTTTGTTGACAGCGATAAACTAAGATGAACCCCCCTCTCCTGACCAACTAACACTGACACATCTACATGTATACATCCTCTCAAAATAAACAGACTCTTTCCCTCTTGTAACCTTTGATTGGTGCTTTCCCGTCACTAATTTGTGGGCAGCATGATGCTCTTTTAGTTGCTGACTTAACAATGGAACACACAGAGTGATTGCGAGCATAAGGAAGCAATAAACAGAAGACAAGTGCAAATGTATTCATACCAAAGCTTACTGAAACAAAAACAAGAGGGGGAGGAAATGGCCTTAAAGCTAATGGACTTACATTTACAGTAAGCCTGCTATGTGAACACCCCCTCTGCTTAAATCCGTATTCAGGGCCTCATCGGGGCTGTGCTGACCTCTAACCTCCTTTTAGAGTATGGCAAGATGAAAAAGAGTTTCAATTCAATCACAATTGTAATATACAAGTGCTAGCAACAGGAATGTAGTTGGTCTGTCAGTCCAGACTGAAATATTTCAACAACTAATGGATGGATCGCCATGTAATTTTGCACACACACTCCTGGTCCCCTGAGGATGATTGCTATTGACTTTAGTGACCCCCTGACTTTTCCTTTAACACCGCCATGAGGTGAGATTTTTGTTTTCTAGTGACATATCTCAACAACTATAAGATCGATTGCCGTGAGAGTTGGTACACATATTCATGGTCTCCAGACGATCATTTCTGCTGACCTTGGTGATCCCTCTACTTTGCATCCAGTGCCATCAATCAGGACAAAGTTTTCACTTGTCCAGTACATAAAGATAGATTGCTACAAATGTCATACAGTTATTCATAGTTCCCACTTTGGTGATCATGTGACTTTATCTCTTGTGCAACCTTGTGGTTTTGAGGGAGATGACCCAGCAACTATTGGATGTATTACCATGAAATTTGGTAAAGACACTCACGTTCCCTTCAGGATGAATTGTTATAACTTTGGTGATCCCCTGACTTTTTTTTTTTTTTTTTTTTTTATCAAGAACCAACATTTCAGTCTGTCCATAAATTTGTTTTTTTGGCCATTTAAAGTTTATAATGTAATTTTATAAGCTGCAGCTGTACTTTGTGCTGAGTGCTAACCAGCAGCTGTCAGCATTATCTGCTAAACATCAGCATGTTAGCATCCTTGTGAGCATGCTAGCATGCTAATGACTCAAAGTGCGACAGTGCCTCAGTACAGCCTCACAGAGCTGCTGGCGTGGCTGTAGACACAAGGCTCTCTTGTCTTGTCACTACTGCTGGTGGTTCATCCAGGTCATGTAACTGAGAGCATTGTTTTCCAGTAAGTTCATTCACATGTACATAATGTTTTTATTATGTCACAGCTTTAGACTATCTCACTGGAGAACTGGAAACAGCGTGAATCTGAGATTACTTGCTGTCAGCTACTGCTATTAGCAAACACTGAAACAGGAAATAAACTGTGAAATGGCCTATTATTAATGTACAGTGTTCTTCCTGATGTTATTGACTAACATAATCATAACTTGATAAATGCACATTCAGTCCAAAAGGCCATTCATTTATGTGTAACACAAACAAACATGAACACAAACCATGCCTCTGACATTCCTGCTTCTCCCTCTGCTCTCTGTTTAGGTTTCCCCCGGACTCTGTCACAGGCCCAAGCCCTGAACAACATTTGTCAGATGGACCTGGTCATCAGCCTCAACATCCCCTACGAGACTCTGAGGGAGAGACTGAGCGACCGCTGGATCCACCCAACCAGTGGGCGAGTCTACAACATGGGCTTCAACCCACCTCGAGTGAAGGTCTCAAAAGTCTAGAAGTAGTGGCAGAGTTACAGCGCTTGCAATATTTTACACGGCATTTAGAATTTTTTGTGGCAGTTTATCGATTTTCTGAAGGACAAGTTTGTCCTTTCAGTTGCTTTGTGTCAGTGTCTCTCGAATCTTGTAGAAATGTAATGTCTGGCCTCGGCACGGTGGAAGCTTGTCAGAATGAGAGATTGGAACCAGATGAAGGACACTCCCTTTATTCACTACCCCACCATCCTGCACAACAACAACACTTCTGCTGTTTGTTATTTCACTTTACAAGGTTGTTGCGACACCACTGCAGTTTGATCATTTGATATTATTATCTTTCTTAACTTTAATCTGTAGAAATAATCTTTATTCATTCAAAGAACAAGTTTGTAAGTTGCCTCACAGACATAAGACGTGATAAAATGGGCCTCATGCAGCAACAATTCTAAAATTCCTCTTATATTTTCTCTTAATTTTCTATTTCAAAGAAATAATAAGAGAAGTTAACTCCAAATACACCAATTAGCATAGGTAATGCCACCTAAACACTATATAAGGAAAGATGTGCCTTATGCAGAAACTCTGGCACATGCCCAAGAAATGGGGAGATGCCACCAAAAAAGGCTGTAAGAACATGAAAACTTCTTTAGTAGGAAAATCGACATATTGCTGAATAAACTTAAAAAAAAGTAAAGAGTGTCAGTACTGGTGTTACAGGAAAATCAACAGCCCAGCAATGGCAAAACATTTGTAATGATGTAAATGCCATGTCAGCAGCAGTGGTAGAGGAAGTAGTCTGATGCTTTAGTTTAGTAAAAGTATCAATAAGACACTGTAGAAATACAGTACTATAAAAAAATGTTGTATTCAAAGTACTTAAAGGATAACTTCGGTATTTTTCAACCTGGGCTCTATTTCCCCATGTGTATGTGTGCGTATGATTCATAGGTACAACTCGTTCTAAAATTGGTTCAGTATTGAGGGAGGTGGATGCAGCCGACAGCCGCGAAATGAGCTAAAACGGTAACGGGGGCAAATGCGTCCCGTGTAAGTTTGTGCATTAAAAGTGCTTTTTTTTGCCACTGACCGGTTCAGATTGCCAGTGCTATCTCTGTAAATAGCATACTAAGCGTTTCGAACATTGTTTATATAACATTACCTCCACTGTGTCTGTAGCTCTCTCTACTTCGTGGAACAGCCGTTTTCTTGAGGAAGAGGTGTTT